CTTGTCGATATGTCTAAAGCAAGAATTTACCAATCCTAAAACCTGTGACCTTGACCTATGTCTAAATTTCAATGTTAGGGTCAGAACACACCCCTACGTCCCAAGCAACCCTTGTTTTAAGTATAAGCCCCCAATGTTTATCAATTTCACAGTTGTGGCTGAAGAATAATTCAATACTTTTATACCATGTGACCTTGTCAAAAATGACCTTTTTACTGCAAAGACTGAAATAGTATATAAAGTTTTCATAAAAACTATTAAATCTTTTCCTTGACAACATCTGTACAAAATACATTTAAGAGCAGACCAGGACAGCTAGACAGACATTGTTATTCCAGAAATACTGACCTGCTAAAAAAATGGGGGGGGGGCAGTATAACAACATATACTTAGTATTGCTGTCAACTTCCCAAAAATTTAAAACTGCAGCTGGACTTAAGTTATAGAATCATGGTCCCTTATCATTACATAAAGAAAAACATAATGTAGAAATACATGTACATATTTATACCCATATAATAATTAATATTGATTTTGATCACACATTCAAAAGGGAAATTTAAACATCATCACCACCAGTTAGAATCACCAACCACATTGCTAATGAACTCGGTGAATCAAATGAGCAAAAAATTTAAAGTTACTTCTTTTCAAACAAGATTTACTGTTTCTAGTGCTTGGTACTTTTTTTTTCTTTTAGCACAAATTGAATTGCATTTATAGGCATCTTAATTTCTCTTTTATCTTATACTCTTTGTTAAATGAAGGCCAGATCTTATTAATACCCGGGATCATTCCTTTCAGAAATTTTAAGGCACCTTGTCATTTATCAAACTCAGTAATCAAAGACATGAGAAAGCTTTGGACATTAAGGACAACTATTACTTCAATTTACATAGAGATGGGTGGAGAGGATATATCAAGGCTATATCCTTTAATTACTATTTACTTTTTGTCAATTAAAATCACCATTTCTTGAATTCTTCAAACTTTACCAAGATTGCAACAAAGATTTACTTTAAGAGCTCTCAAAGTGCACTGCCAAGTTTAAAAGAGCATTTCCAAACAATCTTCCTGTTTAATCGGTTAAAATCAAACTTTGCATGAAATAGATTCCCACATTGATCAGCTCAATGAAGTGCCCTAGGATATACTCACTACTCCATTTAGAGCACTTGTTAATGCCAGGTTACCCGTGTCTCTGCATATAAACTGATTACAGCAGGTTTATCTTGAGTGCAATTTGTTGAAATCTTAATTCAAAGCATTTAATTGTTAGCTGAAGTCAAGCAATTATAGAATGAACTGAATAAGAGAAATCATGGTTGAAAACAAGTTATTTTGACCAAAAGAAATTGTCTGAACACATACCTTAAATTTAGAACTTCTACAATACTAATTTTTGGTATTTAAGTAAAGTGGACCATTCAAGGTTCTAATTTAGATTTGAAAATCCTTCCCTGAATTTTACAACTTAATTAAAATTGAACATTATAATTTCATTTCATCAACGTTATGAACAACTATAGAGAATTGTTTTGTTTTTCTTCACTTACCACTCGTTGATTTCATCTGGTATAACAATACCTATATCTGACACAGTCCGAGTTGTCATTTTCCTTGGGTTTCTGGGAGAGTCAGCCATTTTTGATATTGTCTTACAATAATTGTCAAAATACGTGGAATTGTCTAAAAGTTCCTTGATCCAGTTCAACAGTTCAGAAATACAGAAGACACCATCAGTGACAACTCCTCCAATATTCCCTTCTTATCACTGTTTTAACCACATAGAAGTCATTGATTTCTGTCCAAACTTTGATAAGGATTTAGAGATTTAAGGTACCCCCAAAAATCTCCATATACATTATTATATATGTCATGCAGTAAGTAATTCTTCAGATCAATAATTCCACGATTTCCTTACTTCTACCTTATTCTGATAGAGGAATTTCTCCAATCTATTATCTATTTCGTCTCTGAGAAAATACCCTTGTTAGAATTATAAATTGATCCTTTGCAGTGTCTGTTTAATTTTGATCTGTATAATTCCTAGACAAGTGTATATAGCTTTCAAACCAACATTAAATTAAATCTAGAGGACATTTAACGCACTAGTCATAGAGTAAAAGTACAAACTGACTTATCCATGATTTCTGATAAGGTACCAAATGATTAACTCTGTTAATCCATCAGTTAACGCGTGACAATTAGTCCATGATGATTTCAGGTAAACCAATGGCTGTCACTTAAATTTCAGTCCACGTTCTTTCAGCAAGATAATGTACACTTTTAAAAAAAGCTAGGATTTTAACTTCCACTCTTTGAGTTGGTGTGATTATTTGGCACTTTATTGATGAATCCTTTTACTGAGTTACAGACCCCAAAATAGAATGGTAATGTTAAGAAGTCCTTTTGACGTTTGAAGTCCCAGCATGTATACACTAACTCAACCAGAGAAAATCTTTACCAAAAATAATTTACACATGTGATTTTCTAACTGTTCAAGAATGTTTGGGAGGCTTATTTTCTAGTTTAGATGTCATATTTTTCATAAATAATGATTGAATGTTCAGTTTAATTGCCTTGTTTGAAAGATTTAAAGTTTAAATCACATGGGGATTTAAGAAATGGTTCCTAGTCCCCAGAAATGATTTAACTTAATAATGTTGACCTGCTAACCCACAAAGCACATATGTGCCACAAATATTTTCATTTGTTGGTTTATGACTTTCATTACAGATAATGACCTTATATTTTAAAAAAATATATTTTCTATTATCTACGTAATTTACTAAAATATAGCTAGGCATTGTGCTCCAAATGTAAACAGAATTAACAAATGATCTTCACAATAAAATAAAATGAGAAAACCGAGACAAAGCTTTATTAACTCCTGTTGAAAAAAAGTAATCAGTAATCAACATTATTCTCAGGCTTTGCAATCAGCGCAGATAAGTCTATACTCTTTTTTTCTGGTAATGGAATATTTTAGAGACTGCTGGGTTGATTAATATAAACTATATAAGGATGCCATTTATACAGCTTGAAGGTGGTATACGGCTACAGTGATATAAATCACTTCACTCATTCAGCTATTAATGTTTGTTACATAGAGTCAGAAGACTTTGGTCATATTTAATTTTCTTTGACTTTTGAAATCAAAAGAAACTGAGTGTTAGTGTTGTGTTTGACAATTAAATATTTTGTTTTCAGATTTACTAATTTTTGTCAGGCCTGGCATCATTTAGTTTATTTCTGATCTTTAAAAGTTAAACATGTTCATTTCTTTTAATGTTCATTTCTTTTCATAACCTAAATATTAATTTTGTTGAACAATTAGTTTGATACTTAATGTGGTATTCCAAGACACTTAAAAACAGCAAGCACTAGCTCTTTAATGTCTCTGGATTATTATTAAATTGCAAGGATGGATCCAGGTTTTTCCCACTCAGAGGGGGGGGGGGGGGGGGGATGGTCCATGCCCACTCAAAAAGAATCTGTCTAAGCAACCCCCCTCCCCCAACACATAAACACAAATGTGGAATATATATATATATATATATATATATATATATATATATATATATATATATATATATATATAATATTGCCGATAGTAATGATTTTCTGATGTTCCCAAGGATGACAAAATATCTCAACTATTGACGGTAAAATATACTGCATGCAACGGTTATTTCGTTTTTTTTACCAATGTCTAAGACCTGATGTGAAATATGTATAGCATGCCTCACTTTTTGACTTTATATGCTCCTGTATCGAAGATTTGGGGTATATAGTTTTTGCCTTGTCCGTCTGTCTGTCTGTCTGCAAGTCTGCAAAAGATTTATCATTGTCCATAACTTTTGATTGGTTGGAATTATGGCTTTCATATTTCACATGTGTATTATTTGTGACAAGACCTTCATTCGGGTACCAACATATTTGACCTCTTGACCTTGACTTTAGAGTTTGACCCCTTTTGCAAAAAATTATCCAACTTAAACCTTGGCCATAACTTTTGAACAGTTGGTTCTAGGGCTTTCATATTTCACAGGTACATGTATATTCCGTGTGACAAGACCTTCCTTTGGATATCAACAATCAGTGTCAGCATCAGTGTTTCACAAACACATCTTGTTTGTTTTTTTTAATTTGTTTTGTTGTTTTTGCTTTTTCTTTTAAAATGAAATTTTTTACCAATTTTACATAAGAAAAGACATCTGTAATAAGGTAAGAAAACGATTGTCTTGAAAAAACTAAATTCTAACTGAAACGGTGTTGGACATTTTAGTGGACTGACAGGACCTTTTAGCGAAAAAAAAAGTTTTAGCGGAAAATTTCTGGACATTTTAGTGGAAGATTTATAGCATATCAAGCAGAATTTAAAAATAAGATGTGCACATTTTAGCGGGAGAGTTTGGACAAATAATATATACCTTTTTTGCTAGCCAGACTGTGCACACAAAGTGCCCCCTGCTCTCAACGGATAGTTGGAAAAAGGATTTTAGTTCATGATTCATTATTTTATTTTTTTTTAACATGAGGACGGTCTGGGAAGAGCCATCAGTTGGAATACAAGCTTGGCAGTTTTTCACAGAGCATCTCAGATTCAGGTATTGAATTTAGTGATGCTTACCTTATTTAAAAATGATATGTGGAGAAAACGAACAGTGATTATTCTCAAAAACTGTGAGTTCAAATTGGGAGTAGAGCCAACACCACAATATCCATAAATTGAGAAATTGGACAAAAAACATACCTTGACCCCCTTTTTATCGCTTTGAAAGCATACACCCGTGCACAACATAGTATACACCCCACGTGCGCAGCTGGGATATACACGGTGCAACACGAACCTCTGAAAAACAGAGGTAAAATCAGGTGCCAAGGAGTGTCGATCGGTCACACCCACCGTGTACTCTTTGTGACGATCGGGTAAACGGAAAAATCAGTGTGAAAATAATAGCTTAACAACAACGTTCTTCTATAATCATACTTACCATTTCTCTTTTTCAGCTGTAATCAAGGAACTGTAATTTCCATCTTCTTTTCTGTGGAGACCAAAATCGGACACTGACCGCTTGACCCTGAACTTGTTGATGGTTTTGACCTTTGACACAGCTCTCACAAAAGCCTCGTTTGTGTGTGAATTTCTTCGGTCATAGTAATGTATTCCCTAAAAAATGAAATCACCTGTTGTTAAAAGGCTGGTAATTTTCTTGGAAACATTAAACGACTAACAACGGTAATAGTCAACATACAAAAGCAGTCAAACATACCACTCCCCCCCCCCCACCCCTCCTCCCTCTCCAACCCGACCCCCCCCCCCGAAAAACCAAACAAACAAACATAATATCTCTAATAAAATCAAACAAAAACAAAACAAAGAGCTTCGAAAATCACTCTTGGCGTACAACCTTAAAGTGCTGGGCCAGGCTCCAGTCTTAACTGTTAAAAGAAAGTAAAATAATGAGAGTATTGATCGATTACAGTTACTAATAAAGTGATAATTAAAAATCAGTCCATTTATTTGGATCTGAGACTTTGAGAAACCCTAAGGCTCTGATACATTCACCAGGGTCATTTTAAGAAAAATGTTTGTGAAGTATGAAGTTTAAAGAGGCATAACTCTAAAACGATTTGAATTTTTGGTCACTAATGAAAAATATCACGGATCTAAATACTATGTACTGTAATATTTATATATGTATTGCTCTCACCTGACCACAATCACATAAAGCATAATATAATAAAGAAAGAGACAACGAAATGTACAATCAAACTGTTCTAAGTAAATGTATGTAATCCCCCCTTCCTGAGAATTTTTATTCCCGCGGCCCACTCCCCTTTTTTTAGTATAGTATTTTACTATTTTTTAAATTTTCCTTTAGATGCTGGTTGCCCCCCCCCCCTCCCCCACTTTTATTGTAAGGTCGAGCAATGGCAAATTCCAGGATTTGGAACAGTAAATATTTAGGGCTTTTTTTTTTGCTTGTCAGATTTTTTTCAGGGGAGGGGGAGTTGCCCCCCTATTGAAACAGTTGCTACGGGCCTGACTAGTACTTGATTTCTTAGATTATACCTAGAATATTTTTGTTAAGATTTAGGGGTTAGTATTTTATATAGCGTTGTGGGACAATCTCTAAACTTGATTGATAATTATCGTATCTGATTAAAATTCTCAGAAGGGGTGGGGTAGGAGTACACCATCAATACGTCAGGTACCCGTGCATTATTAGGGCTACACAATTCTTTAAAATATTTTACCTTTCGAAAAATTTAAAGTTGGTACTATACGGCAAACGTCTGGAAAATACTTTTCTCTTGTAACTTTACACGGCATAACCATAGATAAAATACAATTCATTCTTCCTTTAACTAAAACAGTTTACACAAAAAAATGACAAAAACCGAGTCTCTTAAATGGTATGCAAGATTTCGAATACCTACCATTTTTTAAATGAAGTGCAGAATTTCTAAGCTCTCTTAAGTTTGAACGTACAACTTTATTAATATGTCATTTCATATATTCTTGTAATATATTCTTTCTTGATTTTACTTAAGCAAACAAACAAAATTTTTCTTGACTTTGTAAATCCAACACTTTTGACGTTGCATATTTTAATTTTAATTTCAATAAAATTTGAGTACACTGTTACTAAATGCAGAATTGGCAATTTATGTACATGTGTATGTTTAATGATGTTAGTTTTAGTTTATCTTTTAATATCTTTTTGTCTTTGACAGTTATTCTTAAAAGCAATGTGGTAAAGATAATCATACTCTTATTTAGCTGCTTTGAGAATTTCATTTGTAGCATTATTTCTAGTATTAGACCATAAATTAGCCTTATAATATTTAAACATAGCAAGGAGGGTTTCGAAACAGAAAGGAAACGTTCCTAGTTCACACCAAATTCGAAACTTGAAGCATTTCTCAGTACACCAATACATCTTTGAAAATAAGATAGGTATTTTTTTCTAAGAGTGGATGATCACAATTTAGAAGATTGATATCATAATCTGTGTATCATATTTCAGAATCAAAGTACTAGAGGATTATCTTTTATGGGTTCTATAAGTGGGGGAATATAATTTGAGGAGACTTTAACAGATAGTTTATTATGAAAGGGTATAAAAGACTGTTTCAGACTAGTTTTTCAAACACGACCAGTAAGTTGCTTAGTAGATAGATGGTCGGTTTATCTTCAAAGACCATGAGTTAAAACTGAAATATTTCAGTGTACAGAATATAAAATCATTGCACACCTCCTCCCTTCCTTTTTTATTTCCATGTACTTCTTTTGTATTGTACATTTGTTGGTTGTACATCATGTATATGTGTACATGTATTTGTATTATTATTATTTTGGTGCTGCAGAGGACAATCTAAGCTGGTAAAACTTGTTTCCAATTCTACTGATTATATTTGAATTTTCGATATAATATGTTTGAATACAAAGACATTTATTAAAATACGAATAACAATAAATAGAATGATGTACACTCAAGTTGGCGATACTTCCACAAAACAAGTTATATTCACGGTATGATTCATATACATACCTTTTGAGCCATGTTAAATTCCACACTTTAAATCCTCCTAAATGAACAAGAGGAAAGAGCTGAATCGCATCTTCACGAGCACACGTGCTTCAATGTATATCATTGTAAGCGGAAAATTCAATACATACTTTTAATTATCAAAATAACTTTTAATCGCCTTTTACACACGGAACAATTAAAACTGCCACAATTTAAATATTGAGCTACAGTTCTGTTTGTTACGAATGCGCCGACCAGTGTTCTTGCAAAAACAGAACACCATTTGTTTTATGTATCCAATAGCGAAAAAGTCACTGACTAGAAATCCAGACACAAACATCATTTTTCTGGACAGTTATTGTCCGTGATGCTTCATATTCCCCTGTTCTATAATGTATGAAATATATAAATAGTCTTTTAAATGTCACTTAGTCAAAGACGTTCCAGTGTCTCTAATATATTTTGCAGCTAATCCCAGAATATATATAAAGTTTCCGATAAACGAATACCTGTATATTTATATGGAGGCATTTGCTTGACAAGTCAAAATTGCCACAAACAAACAAATCTCCGTTTTCGGCGTTAAATACATAACTGTTATTACCTTTTCATGTTGAAGAACCTCCTTAAGAGGGTTCAGTCCAAGCCCACAGGCCGTCATTGAAGTTTTATTCAACTTTAATTTATAGAATTCAATTAGGCTGAAAAATTTTCAAAATTCCCTGACGATGACTTGTGACATTAATAAAAGACGGAAGCCAAGTCCTATAACGGGGATATTAAATGGATATTAATTTCAGTTTCAGTAATCTATCTAGCCATTTAATATTCAGATTTAAACTCTGGAGTTTCTGGTTCTGAAATTATTAGGGTTACACCTCCGCCACGTTGAAATATTTTAATTTCACTTTGCTTCCATTTTAAAGATCAATTGGTTTTATAACAATGCTAGCAAAGACTAACATTTCTTATCTTTAAAAAATGATCGTCTTCAAGACTCGTTTAATTTCCATTGATTTTGACATCGGATTTTAAATGTTAAGAATCCTACGGTGAATGTCCTCATTGACTTACACTTACGTTATTTGGCGGTTATTTGGCGGTTTAATCAAGATCAATGTATTTTGTACAGAATAAATCTGAATGTTTAATACCAAATCATAATTCATGAATGAATCATTTAATGCAATTCTGTGTGAATAAACTATCAATACTGCACTTCATACAAGTTTTCTTTGTCAGAATACATTTACATACATTAAGCTCTAGATAACAAGTTCAGTTCTTCAGAACACATTGTTCTTATAAGACAAATCATTAAAAGAAATGAAAATCAGTTTTACTGCAAAACATTAATTTTTACTTTATGGAACATGGTCTTGAAACTTGAACAGAGCGTAAAGACCTTTTGACAATTAACAAACTCTTCGCCTTTTTTTCAAGTTTTAAAACATATCAATTACACAAATCCTTGTAAGTGGTTCACTCTCTAATGTCGTTATAGCGGTTTACCAGATTTGCCGTGATAATCATGCCAATGTCCTCGAGTTCAGTCGATCGATGAACCTTAATCATACCGAACAACATCTTGTTTAAAAACAAAGTATCCGTGTTGTTTTCGTACATTGAGAATATATAATGAAGAAAATTATCGTTCTTGAATCAATAATCAGTATTCTATCGGTCTGTACGTAAGATACAAAATGTATTAAGTATCTTCAATAAATTAATGAAATGTATCGGTGTATTTCGAACTTCGTTTATCTTCCTGTCACTCCAGAACATATTTCAAAATATGACACCTCTTCGGCACAGACATCAGCTAGTATAATACATATGGAGTGAATAGAACTACTTTCCATAAATTACCAAACTTAAAGAAACAAGACAGTCAAAGATTTCTTCAAAAATGAAATGAAGTAAATATTTCTTTTTATTTATTTAATTTGGTCAATCAGCCACCACTGTAGCAAGTTACACACACATAGTTGTTTATAATCAGAAAAGTTAAAAACAGATTTTGATACTGGTTTATTAATTTTACAATCAACACTTACAGATTTATAATATAAAGGTCTTGGTCAATGCATACAGTTCACACCATACACTACTTTACAGTCAACATTCACAAACAGCTACAGATAACACGTCTAGAGTTTACTGGAATTTGCAGTCAATACTAACAATACACAATAACCTTTGCATTAAAGCTGACTGGTCTACAGGAATGTCGAATTTTCGTATCAGTTCAACTGTTGTGTAACGCATGCGCGTACTCCATGTTCATGGTCCAGATTTGCAAAGTCATCCCGTTTATGCCGTTATTCGTTTCCTTGTCATTTGTGGAAGAAACAGGCCTGGAATCTCCTGGGACAATAAGAACAATTTTTTATGGCTAAAATAATAGATTTTAAAATGAAATAACAAAATCGTCAGAATAATTAGATTTATCTTGTCAAAACAAGTACTCGATCCCTGGTGCAGCGATAATGCACGATCCGTATTTACATTTCATAGTAGTCGGCAATTTTATCGATAAAATTGCCGACTCCTACAGCTGCCATATGCTCATTCTAACCTTGAAAACAACCGTTTGGCAAAAGAAAACAAAATAAGTATAAATTATGATAGAACTGACCTGGTTGGGCGTTTTCAGCATGGTTGGAGCTGTTTTTGTTTGTTGTTCATCAGTTTCTGCAAGGTTTTTCGGGTGTGTCCATTCGGGTCGTGGACATTGGTCCTCTGCTGTGCCTCCCGTTTTGACCGCCCTTTCCCGCTATGGCCAGCATGGATGTACTTATGTTGTTCAATATTGTACACATCAGCTTTATCAAAATAATTTTCAATAAAGTATGTAGACATACCGCCTGAATTTAATACTTCACAAGAACAGATTTCTACTTCTCGTATGTAATGGTTCGTGTTTATGTCAGGCTGTTTATACCAGGTTTATATATATATGTGTAGCTGTCGGAACAGGTTAGTCATGTGACTCATATAGATAATAGGTAAATAGAAATGATGTCATCACTGTATAAATAAATCAACAGCTGTCCACGAACGCAAGGTATGAGTACTAGTAAGATGAAAAAGAGGTCGGTCGACAGCCTGGTAAACATTTAATACTTTTGATGACACACAGACGTACACTTACAATAAAATCAATATCATAATCTTAACGAGCAAGTTGTTTAAATTGACAGATTTAATACATTTTTTCATTTCCATCATACCATTACTATGAAAACCTAAGAAAAGTAAAGTCATGTTTCTGTACGAAAGCCTAGAAGGGTCAAATAAGAAAATAAAAAAAAAATTAAAAAGTCGTAATAACGAGATAAAAAGTCGTTATTACGAGATAAAAAGTCGTAATTACGACTTAAGAAAGTCGTAATAACGAGATAAAAAGTCGTAATAACGAGATAAAAAGTCGTTATTACGACTTAAGAAAGTCGTTATTACGAGATAAAAAGTCGTTATTACGACTTAAGAAAGTCGTAATAACGAGATAAAAAATCGTTATTACGACTTAAGAAAGTCGTAATAACGAGATAAAACGTCGTTATAACGAGATAAAAAGTCGTTATTACGACTTTCTTAAGTCGTAATTACGACTTCTTATCTCGTAATAATGACTTTTTATCTCGTAATAACGACTTTTATTTCGTTATTACGACTTTCTTAAGTCGTTATAACGACATTTTATTTCGTTATTACGACTTTCTTAAGTCGTAATAACGACTTTTTATCTCGTTATTACGACTTTTTAATTTTTTTTTTAAATTTTTTATTTGACCCTTCTAGGCTTTCGTATTTCTGCTTATCAAAGAGGTATAATTTACGCAAATATAGAACTCCCGACTCTTACTCATATACATGTATAATAATTATAGATAAGTAATTGTAGATGTTGTAGTAGCAAAAACAAAACAACAAAAAAAAAACTTCAATGCCGAAACTAATAAGATCAGTCACGGAATTCACATTTTCGGCGCATTACTTTTATACTCCAGGTATTTTCAATATTTTCCAAAACCATTTAGTATACGCAAAAACCTCGAAAGCATTTCTGCTCTACAAATTACATTTTCATTCGAACATTTACACTTACTGGCAGCCTAATTTATTATGCATATAAATTATACAGTATATTATCATTAGCAGGCAAAATATATTATATGTCATTGGCATTAATATTTTGATTTAATGAATGAAAAATGCTGGAGTCAGCACCACCAAATCTACGAGTTAAAAACGCAATGATTCTTCGTAGTTTAAATCCATTACGATTTAACTCAGGAAGAAGATCACGTTTGTAATGACAGATAGGCTGCATACAGTGATGGCTAGGGTTTCGATGGACTCTGTCGAAGATAACTAAAAGAAAATATTAATAATAAATACTAGTAACAATTAATTTTTAACCAAACAAAAATGCAAAAATATCTAGGTTTTCATCACATATGGTCCTATACTCCGATATCATTCACAAAAACCCTAATTTTGAATTGTGAATAGCAAATCCTGTGAAGAAAATGAAATAGGCCTATAGGCCATTGGACACTGAAAACATCAATCTCTATCCAGAGTTATCGTTCCCGCTACGCTCCACTTGCATGTTGTAGCGAAGCGTAATACGCCCTCTGGTGAGAGATTGTGAAAACATATAGGCCTAAAGACGTCACAAACACTTAAATTTATGACGTCACAATTGTAAACAACATGGCAATAATATCCGAGTAACAAAGATCAAGCAAACCTCTTCATTTGCTAGAATGTCGTTACCTTTCACTCAGCGAGGTTTGTATACCATAATCCACTTCTGTTTTGTTCTTGTGTCTTCAAATACTAGCTTTGTGACTTTATCTTAGTTTGGTGGAATATCAAATTTCACTACATTTTTTGAAGGTAGGGTCCTACAAGTTATACATATTTGGCCTACCATCAAAAAGTATTCAGAATACAATTTAGTGAATTAATGTAGATGTCGCATTTATTTCAAGGTTCGAAAAATCCAACCAACGAAGAATTTGCATTCTTGCTTGAAGATAGAGCTTTTGCAGATTATTTCAACATATTTCTCACTTTACCGGTAAGCCATATAAAGAATGCAAAATATTTTTAAAAGTGAATACATGATTTTATGTTATTCTTGGTAAGACAAGTAGACAGATGTTTACCTTTTACCATTACAGGTATTCGGTCAGCAGTTATTCTACAGTTATATTGAGAGAGGCTTTGTGTTTGAACCTCCCATAAAAAAGAAAAGGAACGTACGTAATTATACCATTTAAATTTACCAACTTATTCCAGAAGTGAGAACTATCTAGATATATGTTCATATTCTTAGCATTTATCTGTAAAATCACAGAAAAAAATTGTCTTCTTACATTCGGAAATCTCTTGGCTTTTAAACAAATAAACTTAAAAGTCTCAAACCAAGATATCCAACCCTCTATCTGTGACATTGGTATGGGATTTCCACCTCAAGACATGGAAACTATATAGATAGTGGTGCACGAGGCAATCGCGAATATTCAGTATACTTTCATTTATCCCATGTTTACCCCTTTATCCCGTGGATATGACTCATTGGATAATTTTTTTCATATTCCACAGTTAAGTGCAGTTGTGACGTCACAATGGTTTTAGCGTTAGCGTGATGAAGTAAAATAAAGTGGAGTCCTACATATAAAACAGTGCAAAACATTGGTTGTGAAGTATTAAACATGGGATAAAAAGAATCTCCCATGATTTGTAGTTGGATATGACTTTTATCCAAATCGTTGTGTGTTTTTATCCCCTCGCCAAGGCTCGAGGATAAAAAACACACAACTCGTTGGATAAAAATCATATCCAACTACAAATCATGGGAGATCCTATATGTAAATGACTTGTTAAAAAACGCTGTTACCCACTGAATGACGAAATCTTCCAGCCCTCCAGTGCGATAGAACTTAGCAACATCATCCGATACATTGCTTGACGACGGGTGATATTCTTAAAAATAAAAAAAAAGAAGCTGATCGCGCGGAATTTATTTGAATTTTGGATAAACATTCAGTACATGATAAATACTGCATTTAATTGAGGGTAACACTGAAAATTTTTATTCCTCGAAAACCATTGTCAACCGAGGTGCGGCAAAGATTCATATTTGTAGCAATGATCTATCGCTTTTATCAAAGCAATTTCTTCCACAAGATAACCCCTTTTATAACCTCTCTATGTCAAATAAAAAACAATCAAAAGATTTTTTTTAATTTCAAGGAAAACTAATGTGGAGTGTATTGTTTGTTGGTAATTTTACACTTCTCTGAGAAACAGCTAATGCTCGTTGTATTCTACGGCCAGTATCGATCAATATCCATCAATCTGAAACTTAATTTCTAGTTATAGTTTGATACACGATCTTAATTGTCAATACACACCTGTAGAAAATGTCAAATCGATTTTTATTCTCTCTTAATTTTGTTCACACAAGAATTAAACAGTTACCTATTTATATGTGCGATTCTTGTTCCCCTGAAGAATCAGCTATCCAGACACGTGTACTATACTTTAACATCATTTACTGTATATAATTAATTGATAATCTGTCGCAGCACGTGGACCGGCGATGTGTGTTCACGTTCCTGACACAGGAGAGATACCCTCTGTTTGAAAACACAAACCTTTTCCACGAGTATCTCCTCTGCTGCCGTCTTCGAGATGTTGAGGTGGATTTTCAATCAAGAACTTTTAAAGGTAGATTATTATTAAGTATTGTACATCAAGTATCATTTTCAACTTCACACACTACTGAAAAATAGTACCATCTTTAAAATGGCTACAATACACAGCATTTTGTTTGTTTGCTTTACGTTCCTTCGACAATTTTTCCTTCATATTGAGACACCATCATTTGGTGGAAGGCACTTACGGACATTGAGCAATGAGGAACCTTCTCGTGCCTGCAACTACTGCGACACGGGATCTCGGTTTATATGGGCTCATCCAAAGGACTAGTTTTCAAGTCCCGCAGTGGACTCGAGCCCGTAACGTAAGGATCAACTCCTAACTCCGCATAAAAATGCAGCAAAGATTTAACAAGTTGTAATTTTTTTATTAGAGGAATCAGAGAAAAGACCGATCTTTGCTCGTAATGTTCTTGGACACGTGCTCGGGATGCAGATGTTTCGGGAGTACATTAGAGGGACTGCTGGTGAAAATGTCTTCAGATGCTGGATAGACATCGAGAAATGGAAACGAGCAGAAGGAACCGAAATCCAAAAGACGGAGATGGCGCACAACATCAAAATCACCTACCTGTCTGAAGGATCTCAGTGTGATCTCCGGACAAGAGGAAAGAGACTCGTCTTCGAAGGTACATCATTTACTGTCTCTGATACTCCGACACAGACATCGTTTTAAAAATAAAGTTGTGGACGATTTGAGAAAGATATTTATCAATAATTAATTTTTCACATTTAAAGGCAAAATGGATTTTGAATTGATACCTGAAAAAGAGATACATGATGAAATCTTGGAGGCAGTTTGTCAGATGGATGTCCTGTACTCAGTTGAAGCTCGGGATGCATTCGAAAATCTTCAGAGAATTCTTCTGTCAGCATTAAGACGTTACTGGGTTCCACGATACTTCATTCATCTCTACCACACCGTCAATCCTCAGACTCTCGCCTTCCTAATGCGGGAAACACCCTTTGATATGGGTACATTAGCACAACAACGAAAACTTCGTTGTCGAATCATGTTTCCTCGCGTCTACAGTGCGTCACGGTCTAGTCCAGGATCGCCAACCACACCAGTGTTTTTGTCATGTGATGCAGACAAGCTTCCAGAGTCTGCATACAGTGTGACGTCATCAGATATGCGTACGCAAACCCCCGATGATGTGGAAATTGACTCTCTTTCCCCGGAGAGGAATATTGAACCCTTAGAACTCTTGTCACTTTGGAGCGGTAATGCTTTGTTCATGTTTTAATGAATCTTTGTTTACTTTACACTGTGCTTTTCTAGAAAAATCTTGTAACATACCAAAAGAAACCCAAGAATTCCTAATATATACCACTCAGAGTGGTCCAAAAATGCAAAAGTCTTAGCAATACCTGGTTGTATGAGAGTGTTGTTTTTGTATAATTCCAGGACAAGGGTATTCGAGACAAAGATACAGTGGGAAAAGTGGTAAAATGAGTGGAAGCAAAAAAATTGAGTCAGACGATGCCTATGGTTTGAAAGAACTAGAAGTTTGGGAGAAGGCAGAGTCCTCTCGTTTTCTACGGGGATCCCCAATGCTTTACGTCATCCCACTACCCGTAAATTCTTACGTCAAAGGACGCCGGCGGTTAAAATTTGATAGCAATACTCTGGATAAAAACAGTAAAACGATGGCTGCCCTTGCTTCTGATGCACTGGCTGGCTGTCCATTCAGCCAGTTCTTGAAGGATGGTCAGTTACTACTAGATTCTCGAATGTTCGAGTTCTGGAGTGACGTGCGTCATTATATGGATGCGGATGAAACGTATCTGGATCCATATGGAATTCCTGTTAGACGTAAAATAGCTAGAAGAATAACTGATAAATATCTGAGTTTTAACAATGATCTGGAGTATGATATTTTCTCTGATCAACTGAAAATGACCCTCTCTCAAAGTATGAGTTCTCGAGATGATATTTCCTTGATTTCAAACGCCCAGAGTATTATTTCACATGTAAGAATAACAGTATTTCAGTGTCTAAAAAGCCAATCTGTTTAAAATCAGATCCTTTGATCCGCTCACATAGATCGCTACACAAGGCCTTGTGTAGCGATCTATGTGAGCGGATCAAAGGATCTAATTTTAATCAGATTGTCTAAAAAGCCTAGCTTAAAGTTTCAGTCTGTTTGACTAAATAATTTGAAATTTTAGAAAAAAAAATGATAAACCGGAAATCTTTTAAACTGTTGACTGCAAGAATATCTTTTAAAGGCTTTGAGGGAATCCTGGCGACAATACTCAAGAGAAGAAAGAACATCATTTAGAATGAAAGTAGTGAGTAACGTTTGAACGCTTGGGTTTATATAATAGTTTAATATACTATGTCTTTAGATAAAAATTACTAAAGTGAAAGTTACAATTTTTCTGTAGTGTAGTTCAAAGATGTTTGACAGAAACGTTATAGAGATTCCACCCGGTTCCGCCTCCTCGCGCGGACAGTCAGACCCGCTGTTCTTCGTCAACACTAACATACAGAGTCCCACAGGGCTAGCGGTACAGGGTACGGACGAAACTCCCGTCCTAAGTACGTCACCGGTGGACACTAATACGCCGTATAGTCGTCTGACGTCAGAACTTCTGAATCTCACTATTACAGAAGAGCATTCCCTAAAGTCCATGGAATACGCCATACTGTGCGCTGAATATGGTTAGAAACTCACAGTGTAGAGTGCTTTAATACAGTTGTTTAATTCGTAATGGCGTAGGTTTTATATTATGTAATGTTATGAAACTTAATAATAGGTCGTTCTGGAATGTTCCAACAAACTCCCTCCAAGATAGATGATCTAACAGACGTGTTGTACAGTGACTATGGAAGTCTGCACATAAAGAGAGAACCAGCCAAACACCATGGTTAGTGAGAATCAGTATATGATCTTAAACTGAATCTTTGTAAAACTTCGATTGCCATTGTATATATAGTAGTTAGATTGTTATTTAACTTTTCAGAATTTCTTCATAATCTTCTTCACAAACCAAAGATCAACATTGAGACGATACAGGTGTCTCGTCGTGTCATACTGGACACACCGGAAGTGACCGCTCTTGAGAGGGTTCACTACCGGTCTCGTCTACAGCGACTCGTGCTCCGTCGGCGAGGAATTCTTATAGAGCGACCTACTAGACCAAGGTCAGCTTTCACCAAATGCAAACGGGTCAATTCTAATGAAAGTTACCTTGAATTGTTACTACCTTTTTGCCACAGATTCCTCCCACCTACCAAAATCATCAACGTTCATCGTAAGATGATGATTTAAAATTATTTCTAAATTCTAATCTTTACTTAACCCTGATTGAAAATCGGGGGCATTTTTTGTCGGTTTCTTTGTGTTTTAATTTTTTTATCCACAACATAAACCTTTTTTTGAACAGAACTTTTGAAGAAAACAAAATGGGGACTTCACACTTGGTAGTAGGTTAATTATGACTAGGGTGTATATTCTGGCCTGATTTACGTTCATTTTGACATACATGGAGCAAATGTCACAGTAAAATTCCTGTCTGATCCATAACTTTGCCAACAAAAAATAGAAGCTTGTTGGCTGTTTTGCTTCAAATCATTTCGAGAATATTTCACTTATGTTGGGACGCTACCAATTGCCAATGGAAGGCTTCAAATTTAAAATATGTACTCCGCACTTAAATGTCTTTCGAGCATTAAGTGATCTTTTTCGTGCTAGAATCTACTGCGACACGGGACCTCGGTTTACACGGTCTGGGCTTGTGAAACGTGGTTTTTAATCAGTCAGCGTCCTGGCTCTGATCAAAAGTCATTTTGGCAAGGTCACAGGAATTGAAAGTTTCAAATTGTTGTTTGTTTCATAGCTTTGCAAGGAGACATATGAGAAGACTACTCATGGCAAAAACGTCGGTAATAATCAGAAGATGTGTTATAACCCTGATCCAGGGAAATTTGATGAGGTCAAGATCAATTATTTTATCCAAATTGCAACAGGGTCATGTAGGAGGCATTCAAAATTTCGCAACCACATTATACTTTAAAAAAAAAATCATGGCCTGTTTGGAAAAATATCGTAACTTGAAAAAAATGGTTTGCATTTTCCTAGAAATCTAATGGAGATCTTGCAATCCCCGGTCCATTACGAGTTCTTTAAGAGGTTCATGATGGGCAACAAGACCGTCCACCCTCTGTTGTTCTGGAAGTACGTGGAGGATCTAAAGGAGGCCCAGTCTGCAAGACACAGGAATCACCTCATCTCCGTCATATACAGAAAATTCTTCAGCAAAAGCGCCAAGCAAGGTCCGTGTTTTCTTTGTTTTGATTGTTACAATACATAGCGTTTGTTTCCCTATCTAAAAAATGTGGTGAACCAAGATTTAAGATGTATGTGATATGCATTCCAAAGATCTCTTACGTTTAGGTTACTTGTTGGACTGTAGTGACGATATCATTCGTCAGATTCCCACCATGGAGAGAATTCCAACGAGTGTCCTCATCTGCGCTCAGGCTAGTGTCTTCCGCGCCATGGAGAGAAAGTGGTAAAAAATGGGTTTTAACTTCCAACCCTTTATTATTGTAGTATATTATAAAGAATCACATCTAGTTGTACATGCCAACAAGTTACGTGTAAAAGTTCTAGTATACTTATTTCTGTATACACGTACATAACGTATACATGTTCAGCTCCACAGTCCCATACAAATGTACATTTATTTAAATTCTGTTCAATGACCCCACGTTTAAAGCTTGCTGTGTAAGCTCTTTATGTTAGGTTCCCCAGATATATGGAGACCTACCCAGTTGATGCAGATTATCCGCCCCCAGAGCAAACGGAGACTAGTCTAGTACCGTCGCCGACATTTGCAGATCTCACTGAAGAGCTGATCATCAACAAAGAGGCGCTAGCCAATAAAAAGAAAACGCAGAAGAAACGGAAAACGGTAATAGAACGCAAACCAATCGCCGCGTTTCATCAAATACTAATACCTTAAGATTTGGGTTATTTCAGTACGCCTCAAATGTCAATCAAGGCAAGGAACCGGGGGGGGGGATATGTGACAGTTGCGCCTATTTCTTAATATGTCACTAGCCTGAAATCCAAAGTCGTTACATGAACAACGCATCATACCATACACGCAAGCTGCGTTGCGTTGCTCTAAATGCAGCTTTGTTGCATTGAAATATTATCAGACAGGCGCATAAAGCGTATTATCAAAGTTTGAAGTACTAGGAAATTTGTTTTGTTTAAAACCAAATGTCTGATGAGTCTGTAGCTTTACTGGCTTGTATACTTAAATAGGTTCGGGGGGGGGGGTGCACCTGGCTTTGTAACACTTTAAAAAAAAATATTTAAAAAATTGTGAGTATTAACTGTACCGGAACGTAATTTTTCAAAGTTTTAGTGAAAACAACCAAAAAATATGGAAAAGAGGCATTTTGAAACAAATTGCAGCTTTTTTAGCATGACAAAACAGTTCGTCAAAATCAAAAACCGATACTTAGAATTACATATACGTATACAATATGTATATTGTTGTAATCTCATTGTGCATGTTACATAAATTTTGGATGAAAACTGCAGGAGGAGTAGGGTTTTGAAACAATTTCAAGGAAATTTCTATTTTTAGAAGCCAAGAGAATACAGTTCATTGAAATCATAAACTTGATAAAGCAATAAATATAGAATTATTCAAAAGCAATAAATAGAATTACGCATCTTAAAGTAAATTTTAGTTTTATTGAAATTGGATCAAAACTGTTGGTGGAAAAGCGATCAAAAAGATTACAGACAAAAACTTAAGCTGAACTTATATATATGAAAAAGATTGTTTGTTGCAGTTACATTTATGGCATGGATTTGTACATCTGATTATGGACTTCATGGATGCTCTTAAGGACGAGTATGAATTCAAACTTCTGGAGCTCTACCTTCGCAATGAGCAGGAGAAGGACACAAAGCAAAAAAGTATTGAAGTATTTTTAATTTCATTTTATTTATTTTTGTATAAATGAATCAACTTCGACAGAAATGGAATTTATTTTGTAGATGTAATGTGATGGTGATTCTGTAGAGGATATATGTTGGTTTTATACTTTCAGAGATGGCTGAGAAGTCGATGTTGACATCTAGCACTATTGCAAGCTTTCAGACGCGGGTCGTTCTACGGAATCGGCTCGTTATTGTCAACAAACTAGTGGCGGATCTAAACTTCTGGAATGAAGTGCAAAAGTACTAGTCTAAACTCTTTATCACAAAATTGTTTTATCGAAGTCTATTTAAATAAAAGTGGAGGGAAATGTTAATGTATAGGTTACAGGCTGATTTTTCTTTAAATTAAGCCAAAGTTCGTTTACTGACAGTGTTTTGATGTTGTATGACCTTAGTAAGAAATGAAGTGCATTACTATAAAGAAGAATCTGTTTAACACCGTTACTCGTCATGAAATAAGTGTTCAAGCGCAATGTTATCTGTCTTACCAGTGTCCTTCAATACTTTAAACATCGGAAACATTGTCAACATATTTAACACATTTATCATGTCAACAGTCACTGATTTGTGTATTAAAGAAATTAATTAATAAGAATATTTTATTGTAATAAAAGGTTTAAGAAGCATATTGACGAGATAAGTACACGGGAAAACATCACCAAAGAAGACATGGAGTTTCTGCAGCTGAAGGCGAAGTCTATCATAGACTGTTATCTTATATCGGAGGTTCTACCGCGAGTGCAGGTTAGCGCCTTATACATTTGTAAAATAGCATTATTCAGCTCTGTAGAACGCGCGGGGAGGGGAGGGGGTTGCACTTGCACTTTCTTTTTTGAGTTTAGTCTTGCTGTAATTTGACCCTTCCCCTTTTCTTACTTAAGGTCGAGCACTGGAAAATTCCAGAATTTGAAAAAAGAAAAAGTACCAAGGTCTAACCCCACCAATAGGATTCTCGAGTTTGGACAGTTTATTTTTTTTTCCTAAGATTTTTTTTGGGGGGAGGCTAGCCTCCCCGCTTTTAAAACCGTTGCTACAGGCCTGTTATTTGTCAGTTGTACATGTACCTTCACATAATATTAAAAAGGGGGGATTCAGAAGAAACATTGTGTTATGTTAATGCTATTGAAAATAAACATCTACGTACTTCTTTCACAAAACACGTCTTGGCTGAAATGACTAAATATTTTTTTTCAAGGTAAACATTCCAAGTGACCTGGCGACAAGCATTGCAGTATCCCTCACGCAGTCGGGACCAACAAGAGGCCTGTTTCATGACGCCATGATTTTGATTTTTCCACTTCTCTATTACTTCTGGAGAAGGTTGTTGTTTTCTTTAATTTTTAATCAAGATCTACCGGGTTCTTTTTGGCCACCAATGACTGAGTATCCACTATAACGTCTAAAATGTCATTTTTTTCAGGTTTCGGGATGAATGGTTAAAGGGTCATGATCCAAAAGATTTTTACTTTCGCCTAAAGGAGAAACTGACAGTTCCATGGGTTTCATCCACTCCCCATAAAGATCAAAGCGGTCCAAATTACCTAAATGTCCGAGAATCACAGTGCCAAATGATGGCAGTTCATCTTCACGGTAAAGTTTTATTTCAACCCCCCCCCCCCGCCCCCACTTCATTCCCGGATAAAGCTGTGGTTTTTAATATCCTTACCATTAACAGGAAATATATGTCGTATCCCATTCATTTCTGTTAAGAGTTGTGTTCTCTAGCCTCCTTTTTCACAAAAGTCAGCAGTGTAACTAATTTGTGCATTGCTTTTGATAATGACAGAAGACGAACCTTTTCGAATAAATTTTTCCATCATGGGAGGAATTCGCTACATGTTCACAAACAGACCAGCTACAAAAGGCGTTGCGCCAACAGTTGAACATAACGCAAGGAGACACCAGCAGATGAGGCGGTCTCGCAGGGACAGTGTCAACCGTATAAATAAAACACATGCAGAGGAAACTACTCATGGCGAACGCAAGCTCTCAAAAACCGATATGAAGAAGAAAAGCAAAATTATCCTTGAAGACGAAGAAAGTGTTCGAAACTTGGACGAAGGAGACGCAGAGGTGAAATCTGAGAAAAGCCAGGAAATGCAAAAAGCTGAGGAATTAGAGTCGTCTGGGACCACACTCTCCCCGCGGCGAAGACGACAGTCCACAGTACCAACAGTACAGCGGGAAAAGGCGTTTAGACTAAGTCAGCTTGTAGAGGAACTGAACACAGAGAGTGATAGGCCTATAGCCCAACGATTACGCACACTTGATCAAGTTGTACGTGCTGCCATTACAACACAAACTCGGTCTCAGTTTACAGATGAAGTCCAAAGCTCCGTTACATCTTTACTGATTTAAATCTACATTGTAAAATAGATAAATGACACTCATTCATTTGAAATTGTGATTTTTGTCATCAGGTTTAAGAAAGGTTATACTACTTGGAACAATAATCAATTTCTGAAAATTTTGACAGTTTATAACATACAAAATTTTCTTTATAAATTTTTATTTTGATAAATTATATAATTTAACAGCTAAAGAGTGGATGTTTCAAAAATATTACCAATAAATATTTTTTAAAAAATTGTGAATTTCACAGTTCCTCCCTTTTACACATACACACAACTATAACTATAGAGCTTATTTCTTACTTCTAAGAATGTCCTCACACAACAAATAAAAGTACAGAGTAAATTTTACTCTTTCCTTCCCTTTACAAATACATCCATGAACACAATTATAATCTTATACTCTGAACTTGCTCAATACATTACAGTGTCACATGTTTTCATTCACTGCACAACCCATTCTGGAAATCTTTCCTCTGTCATTCTGAGCTTTTCAGACTTTGTAATACTGTCATGAATATAACACACTTTCATTTTACTCTCGTTACACAAGTATACCCACTCCATCGTCACATTTAATCACAGATTTTCCACACTGTCTGGTGACTACGCCTCTCCCTTAGCCAGCCTTGCTCTGTATTCTCTCATCTTCATTTTGTCATTTTCTATGTTTTCTATTCTACGATTTATTCTCTGAAACAAATAGTCTTAATAACCTATTGAAAAATGATTTTTTTTCCTTATGTCTAGCACATATTGTATGTAGCAATATTTAAAATAAAATTGTTATCAAAAAGCAAACGTAAAGATGACTGTCCATCACCGTCTAGTTAGCAAATATACTTTAATAAACTTATTTATAATAATCACATTATCCAAATTTGCTACTTTTTGATATCATGAGTTTTGCTATACTTCAAGTAAGTTAAATTCTATTTCATTCTCTCTAAGACAGTAAAAAAAAAAATATATGGAATTCAAGTACAAGTTGAATAATATACACTTGCTCTGAAGAAAAGCAAGGACATATCATTTAACTTATGATACAATAAAGTTATACCTCTTTCCTCAAACATTTCTGTACTTCTGAAAACAAGGGATCACAGTAACCAACATATTTCAGGATACCATGCTGTAGCAAAAGAAAATGCACTGGAATATAATTAAATGTACCAAAATACTAAGTATCACAAATACATGGCATTACCTAGTTATTTTGACATAGGGTTCAATTTAGCTAAATGGATTAGAATGGTAGAAAGGTAAGCATGTAAAATTTGTCAAATCTGAATATTACACAATTATTGACTGGAATGAGGGCAACATTGATTATGTTAGCCTTCAAGGGATGAAATATTGCCTGACGCGGAGCGAAGGGCTATATTTTCGTCCCGAGGAGGCTAACATAATCAATGTTGCCCAAAAACACAGTCAAAAATTGTTTTGTTATATGAAAAAACAAGGCAAATCAATCAAAGAGTATTTTGATTTCATTCATTGAAAATCAGCAATGAATTATATCCTATGCATTATCCTGCCCATTGATTGTAGTGCTAGCGAATCTTCAAGTTGCCATGATTGTGTTACTTGGATTTTTTAATTGTGACGTTGTTTTTTTTGAGTCGCGAAGGTGTCATTACATCACAATTAATCAATCTACTAATCAAAATCAATAGTATTGTGGGAAAACTCTCTTTGCCAGTCAATAGTTAAAATTAAATGACCGTCAATATTTTTCGGAGGAGCTAATATCAATTATGAAGACTTTTTCTCTATATAGAAAATATAGAGACTTTTATTTACTGAATATAACAACACTCAATAATATAGATGATTGCATGAGAACTATAGGTACTATGAGCGACCTCATAAAAAATCCCCCCTCCCACTGCTTTTTAGCTCACCTGAGCTGAAAGCTCAAGTGAGCTTTTCTGATCACATTTTGTCCGGCGTCCGTCTGTCTGTCCGTCTGTCTGTCCGTCCGTCTGTCTGTCTGTAAACTTTTCACATTTTCGACTTCTTCTAAAGAACCACTGGGCAAATTTCAACCAAACTTGCCACAAAGTATCCTTGGGTAAAGGGGATTCAAGTTTGTTCAAATAAACGGCCACGCCCTCTTTCAAGGGGAGATAATTAGGAATTACTGAAAAAATAATGGCATCATTTAAAAATCTTCTTCTCAAGAACCATAGGGCCAGGAAAGATGAAACTCATGTGGAAGCATCCTTAGGTAGTGTACATTCAAGTTTGTTCAAATCATGACCCCCGGGGGTAGGGCGGGGCTGCAATGGAGGATCAAAGTTTTACATAGAAATATATAGGAAAAATCTTTAAAAAACTTCTTCTCAAGAACAGCAAAGCCATGATGAGTCATATTTATATGGAAGCATCCTCAGGTAGTGTAGATTCAAGTTTGTTCAAATCAAGACCCCCGGGGGTAGGGTGGGGCCACAATGGAGGATCAAAGTTTTACATAGAAATATATAGGAAAAATCTTTAAAAATCTTCTTCTCAAGAACAGCAAAGCCATGATGAGTCATATTTATATGGAAGCATCCTCAGGTAGTGTAGATTCAAATTTGTTCAAATCATGACCCCCGGGGGTAGGGCGGGGCTGCAATGGAGGATCAAAGTTTTACATAGAAATATATAGGAAAAATCTTTAAAAATCTTCTTCTCAAGAACAGCAAAGCCATGATGAGTCATATTTATATGGAAGCATCCTGAGGTAGTGTAGATTCAAGTTTGTTCAAATCATGACCCCTGGGGGTAGGGCGGGGCCACAATGGAGGATCAAAGTTTTACATAGAAATATATAGGAAAAATCTTTAAAAATCTTCTTCTCAAGAACAGCAAAGCCATGATGAGTCTTATTTATATGGAAGCATCCTGAGGTAGTGTAGATTCAAGTTTGTTCAAATCATGACCCCCGGGGGTAGGGCGGGGCCACAATGGAGGATCAAAGTTTTACATAGAAATATATAGGAAAAATCTTTAAAAATCTTCTTCTTGAGAACAGCAAAACAATGATTGGTCATATTTATGTGAAAGTATCCTCAGGTGGTGTAGATTCAAGTTTGTTCAAATCATGACCCCTGGAATATATAGGAAAAATCTTTAAAAATTTTCTTAACAAGAACAGCAAAGCCATGGTTGGTCATATTTATATGGAAGCATCCTCAGATAGTGTAGATTCAAGTATGTTCAAACCATGACCCCCGGGGGTAGGGCGGGGCCACAATGGAGGATCAAAGTCTTACATAGAAATATAAAGGAAAATATCTTCTTCTGAAGAACTGCAAACCATGATTAGTCATTTTGATATGGAAGCATCCTCAGGTAGTGTAGATTCAATTTTGTTCAAATGATGACCCCCAGGGGTAGGGTGGGGCCCAATGGGGGAAGGAAAGTTTTACATAAGAACATATAGAAAAAATATTTCTTCTCAAGAACAGAAAAGCTATGTTTAGTCATATTGATATGGAAGCATCCTCAGGTAGTGTAGATTCAAGTTTGTTCAAACCATGACCCCCGGGGGTAGGGCGGAGCCACAATGGAGAATCAAAGTTTTACATAGAAATATAAAGGAAAATATCTTCTGAAGAAGAACAGAAAAGCTATGTTTAGTCATATTGATATGGAAGCATCCTCAGGTAGTGTAGATTCAATTTTGTTCAAATGATGACCCCCAGGGGTACATGTAGGATGGGACCCAATGGGGGATGGAAAGTTTTACATAAGAACATATAGAAAAAATATTTCTTCTCAAGAACAGAAAAGCTATGTTTAGTCATATTGATATGGAAGCATCCTCAGGTAGTGTAGATTCAAGTTTGTTCAAATGATGACCCCTGGGATAGGGAGGAGCCACAATGAGGGATCAAATTTTTACAAAGGAATATATGGGAATTTTTTTTAAAAAACCTTCTCAAGTACAACAAAGCCATTTGTTATATTGACATGGAAGCATCAGGTAGTTTAAAATTCAAGCCCCCCCCCCCCCCCCCCCCCCCGGTCTTTTCAATACTGAACTGATTGTGCTTTTGTCTAGCCAAAGTGCTCAGGTGAGCGATGTGGCCCATGGGCCTCTTGTTTAAAATAATTTGTAAATGTGACCTTGAACTTGCAAAAAAGACCTTCGTTAAAAAAATTACGTATCCTCTGGTCATAAGTAATCTTTCAGTGAGATATGGACATCCAATGTTTCTCCATTAGAAAACTATTGACCTGTCATTAATTTTATAACTTTTTATACCAGCGACCTTAAACTTGCTGCAGAGAGCTTGGGTTCAGGTTTATGACAAACCCTTAGGTCATGAGCTTCCAATGATTCATCATAACAGTTATAGTTTGGACAAGAATTTTAGACTTTTTCTGCCAGTGACCAGTGATTGAGATAAGAAAAAGGCTAAATGCGACAATGGCACGTTCCAACTTCCAAGTCAGTGTCAATGTGACACTTCTAAAATCAATGTGCCATATGGAATTTTTTAGGGGACATGTATTGAAAATGGCAGGTTAAAATTTGACTTGATATTAAGGAATTCATTGCAAAATTAAGAAGAAAAGTATGGCCTTTCTCCAGACAAGGATTTTTTTCAGTGGCATATCTTCAACTTCGTGCGCATTAACGTCAACTTACAGTATTAACCAATCAGAAAAAATGTAATTGTTTGATAAGATACTGAAGAAATCTAAGTCATTGTTATGCTTTGCTGGACAGCAGTTACTTTAATTTGCCAATTGTTAAAGCATTGTAGCGAAAGAGATGACAAGCCAGTGGGGAAAAGCTAAAAGTTTAAAAGTATGTGTAATGATGATATGCGCCATAAGGGCGCAGCGTTTTTAATAGCAATGTGCCATTATTTAATTTAATGTGACTATGGTGCAGGGCGCGTGCTTATCCCAATCACTGAGTGACCTTGCCAGAAAGATTGGGGCAAGGACACGACACACCCTCAAGTCATAGACAATTTTACATTTGTACATTATGTACCAAGTACAAGCTTCCAATGATTCTCCATAGCTAAGTTATAGCCTGGACAAGAATTTTATACCTTTTATGTCAGTGACCTTGAAATTGCCGGAATGACCTTTCGTCAAGATTATGACAAATTCCCAGGTCATAAAAAATTTTTGTACCAAGTTTGAGTAAATTTCCTTACAAAGTTACAGCCCGGACAAGAATTTTATACTTTTTGCCAGTGACCTTGAACTTGCCAGAATGACCTTGGGTTAAAGTCATGACACACCTTTGGGTCATAAACAATTAATCTCTGTACCAAGCATGAGCTTCCAATGATTCTCCATTACAAAATTACAGCCTGGACAAGACTGCACAGACAGCTGCACAGACAGACAAAGTGATTCCTATATATGTTCAAACTTCATTTGCAGGGGGGGGGGGGGGGGGGGATAAAAATACAAATGAATTTGTCATTTCTATAAATCTATAAATACATGCACACCTGGTCCTGACAACTTCTGAATGCCCTAATGATGAAGTTGCATTCTTCTGTGTGAAGATGAGGGGACAAATCTGGATGCATCTACAAGATAGATATCTGGTAGATTAGATACTGTAAATTGCCTTTTATTCATGAGAACTTTATTTTCACCTAATAGACAACTTTCACATTTACAAAAGTTATTTCCTTTTGCAGCGTCAATCTTGGGTCAACCGGCGTAAGACACTGTTTTCCTTATATAACATTACCAACTTTAAAGGGTAGTGTTTTATAAATGAAATCTGCTTGAATATGTTCATTATTAGCTCACCTGAGCCGAAGGCTCAAGTGAGCTTTTCTGATCACATTTTGTCTGTAGTCCGTCTGTCCGTCTGTCTGTCTGTCTGTCTGTCCATCCGTCCGTCTGTAAACTTTTCACATTTTCGACTTCTTCTCAAGAACCACTGGGCCAATTTCAACCAAACTTGCCACAAAGTATCCTTGGGTGAAGGGGATTCAAGTTTGTTCAAATGAAGGGCCATGCCCTCTTTCAAGGGGAGATAATGAAGAATTAGTGAAAAATTAGTAGCATCTTTTAAAAATCTTCTTCTCAAGAACCACAAAGCCAGGGAAGATGAAACTCATGTGGAAGCATCCTCAGGTAGTGTAGATTCAAGTTTGTTCAAATCATGACCCCCGGGGGTAGGGCGGGGCCACAGTGGAGGATCAACGTTTTACATAGAAATATATAGGAAAAACCTTTAAAAATCTTCTTCTCAAGAACAGCAAAGCCATGATGAGTCATATTTATATGGAAGCATCCTCAGGTAGTGTAGATTCAAGTTTGTTCAAATCATGACCCCCGGGGGTAGGGCGGGGCCACAATGGAGGATCAAAGTTTTACATAGAAATATATAGGAAAAATCTTTAAAAATCTTCTTCTCAATAACAGCAAAGCCATGATGAGTCATATTTATATGGAAGCATCCTCAGGTAGTGTAGATTCAAGTTTGTTCAAATCATGACCCCCGGGGTAGGGCGGGGCCACAATGGAGGATCAAAGTTTTACATAGAAATATATAGGAAAAACCTTTAAAAATCTTCTTCTCAATAACAGCAAAGCCCTAATTGGTCATATTTATACGAAAGCATCCTCAGGTAGTGTAGATTCAAGTTTGTTCAAATCATGACCCCCTGGGGGTAGGGCGGGGCCACAATGGAGGATCAAAGTTTTACATAGAAATATATAGGAAAAATCTTTAAATATCTTCTTCTCAGGAACAGCAAAGCCCTGATTGATCATATTTATATGAAAGCATCCTCAGGTAGTGTAGATTCAAGTTTGTTCAAATCATGACCCCCTGGGGGTAGGGCGGGGCCACAATGGAGGATAAAAGTCTGAAATAGAAATATATAGGAAGATATGTTCTGATGAAGAACTGGAAAGCCATGATTAGTCAATTGATATGGAAGCATCCTCAGGTAGTGTAGATTCAAGTTTGTTAAAATGATGACCCCAGGGGATAGGGATGGGCCATAATGGGGGATCGAAAATTTTACATAGGAACATATAGGAAAATATCTTCTTCTCAAGAACTGAAAAGCTATGATTAGTCATATTGATATGGAAGCATCCTCAGGTAGTGTAAATTCAATTTTGCCCAAATGATGACCCCCGAGGGTAGGGTGGGGCCCAATAAGGGGATCAAAAGTTTTACATAGGAACATATAGAAAAAAATTTCTTCTCAAGAACAGAAAAGCTATGATTAGTCATATTGATATGGAAGCATCCTCAGGTAGTGTAGATTCAAGTTTGTTCAAATGATGACCCCTGGGATAGGGAGGAGCCACAATGGGGGATCAAATTTTTACAGAGAAATATATGGGAATTTTTTTTTAAAATCTTCTCATGTACAACAAAGCCATTTGCTAAAACAAATTATATATTGACATGGAAGCATCATCAGGTAGTTTAAAATTCAAGCCCCCCCCCCCCCTCCCCCCGGAATCTTTTCAATACTGAACTGATTTGTGCTTTTGCCTTGCCAATGTGCTCAGGTGAGCGATGTGGCCCATGGGCCTCTTGTGTTTTTTATGTTGCCCCATACTATGGCAATACAGAACAAATCAAAATTGTCAGATAGTGTTTGGAGGTTGAAAATATTTACAGGAAAGTTACAAAGGACAAAGTGAGAAAAATGAGCATTACGCCGACAACGGGAGATAACTCTTAAGAATGTGAAATTTGTCTATTAAGTGAGCAGGTCCAGTACAGTCTCTTGATTTAGTTATATAGCTTGATTTAGCTATATAGCTTTAATAAGCTATTCAGAATAGCTTGATTTATCTATTTTCAGGCCCATGGGAAGCAATTTCAGTTTGGGGGCACAGTCATACATTTTCAGTTGAGGGGGCACTATCAACTACCAAAAATTTCTTGACAAGCAAAAAAAAAAAAAAAAAAAAAAAAAGTCATCAGACATTTTTATTGAGGGGGCACAGGCATATAGTATCTATGTTTTCTATAGTAATCTATATATCAGCAAAATTATTGGGGGGGGGCACAGCCCCCCGTGCCCCCCCCCCCCCCCCCCCGCTTCCTACGGCCATGATTTTATCACGCTTTTTTCTTAAATGTGTTATTTTTTCAGCAAGTACAAAAAGTCGCACCTTGATGCAGTGATCATATTCAACCTTGAACTCTTCTGAAAATAATGCATGTAAAAATCACTCATCAAATTGCATCTCCTTGAGAGATTTTGTACTCAAGTTCTAAAAGTTTGTGTTTGTGATCACACAGTTACTTCTTCAATGAAATTATATAGAAGGCCAATTACGATCAACGAGATAATTGATTGGTAACAGGTCCAGTACATTTAGCTATGTAGCTAAAATTACCTACCATAGCTTCATTTATTTACCTCAGGAAGCTTTATTTAGCTATTTCAAGGCAACTTTTCACAATTTTGCTTTTTATTTTAAAAAGACAAAAATCGCAAATAAATGACTACTATTATTTATACAAGTGATTAATAGCTAAATCAAGCTATTTTGAATAGCTCAATAAAGCTATATAGCTATTTCAAGCTATATAGCTAAATCAAAAGATTGTACTGGACCTGGCGAGATGGTCTGCTTGTGAAAATTTCATTCTCATGTTGTCACTAGCGAACTTCTTTAGTTTAGAAGAGACAAACTACACATGGGGACATTTCTTATCCGAAAAGTAATGAAAAGCAATAAATTCCTGCAAAAAAATTAATCAAACGTTCTCACCTTCGTTAGCTTTCTTCACAACCTTTTACGAAATTTGCAACTTCCGGTTCAATATTGAGTTAAATTGTACGTAATTTTTTTGAATATGAGTAGAAGAGTTTTCGATTTTGCTCCTCTCCATTTGTTTAGTTTTATATGATTTATACAAAATAATATATACGTGTTCCTTACCCAGATTGATGATGAAAATTTCTGTTGGATAAACAAAAATTATTATGAACGAGTTACTAATAATCCAAAAACGTCACACCCTTTTCATTGATACGCAAGTCGGCGCATTTTCTCTAGTATTTTAAAAATGAGATTTTTTGCAGATGTTTTGAAGTCAGCTGTGGCAAAATGTAAAGCAGCTGAATTAGAATCGTTAGTTCGACGATGGGGATACTTGAAGAATGTTGAATTAGATCAGATTGACTTTTCCAAATCGAAAAGATGTGTATATCGAGAGATGTTAAGATTGTGTGATGTAAGTTGTAAACATCATTGATGTCAGATACAGTCTTATATTGATTAAGCTATATAACTCAAGTTAACTGTAATTGTAAAAGTATTAATAATAATATTAATTGATAATTTTTTTTTACGTAAGCATGTATTTTCTTGAGTATGCAGTTTTAACAGTTTGCCTGTTTGCTGTTTTTAATGTTTTATTAGTCAGCTGTTATTAATTTATTCCTACCACTTCTTTTCTCCGGCAAACCCTGGCTGATTTCAAATGATATATATGCACAAAAAGCCAAAAAAGTACATGTCTCACAAATATGTGTATACATGATAATTTTTATTACTTGATTTACTTCATTGAGTTACATTAATGTTTTGTTAACAATTTTGAGTTTCTATTTTTTTTTTAAAAACCTTACACCAAACACCTGTGTTTGTACACATTGGGGTCTGTTATTGTTGATGTTTATTCATTATATTTTGCCTGGTTTGTTTGATTTACTGACATTGCTCACATCACTCGGTCCAGTCCATTAAGAAATATCGTAATATTACGAATTTTCCTAATATTATTGATTTTTATTTCTCAATAACGGTTATCTCCCTTTCTCCTTCATGCAGTGTTGAGAATCACCGGTAGTTGCATGGTATAAGCTGAAGTGTTGCAGGAATGACTTAATGTTTGTTTTTCTACATATACATGTTTATCAAGAATCAGTCCATAGATGAGAGATTCTGAGCAATTTTCTGAATGGTTATACAAACAATTTTTGTATTCAAACTAATGCACACCATAGCGAACATGTTATTGCAACACAGCCTGTTGAACATTGACCTACTGACCTATGTTGAAACTCTTTCTCTCTGTATGATAATGTATGGAGCAAGACTAGTCAGGTACAACTAATTTGTTAATTGTAAATTGAAAGCTTTCTGAACTAAATGTATCAACACTGTCGACAAAATACATATTTAAATAAAATTAAACTAATTCTATCATTCAATGAATAAGTTCCGTCTCTTTTCAAAATTGAATTCATGATCGTTGCTTATATGTTTGGCTATGTACATGTATTAAAAATAAATATTAAAAATAATTGACCATTATTTTATTACTCTCACCAATCAGTTTTTTATTCCACAAGTTTGTGACCGTTTATCATGCTCAAACAAAGCGAGAATGATCTTCAATCGATGAATTTTATTCTTATATAGACTTTCCAAATAAATATCATGAATATATAGGCATGTCTTATTCGCATATTATTGCTCCAATAACATAAATAATGTCGTTCGAGTTACGTCCCTCGATTTCTTATGTTGTCGGACAGGGGGTGTGCTTTTTAGAGCGACGGTCGGAAGAAAACAAGGAAGGACAGGGAGGATCTATTGGTTAGAATAGTTTAACAACATATCAAACCTCTATTAAAAGTTATACAGAATGCTAGGAAAATTTTTTTAAAAGAAGTATAATACAAAAAAACGACTTACCCTTCATCCATACTTCTTTCTTCCGGGAATGCCATGTTGCTTTGTAATATAATCTGACCAAACTGACCGAACGTTATCAGAGCGAATGGAACCAGATACATTGCTGACGTCATTGACAGCCAGCCATGGTGCATCTTTGTTTCTGAGGCATTTTTGTTTTATATTACGTAATGCAGTTTCCTTCTATCTGCTATATTACGAAAATTCCTAACTCAGTTATATTATCAAATCTCGTAATACAGTTCTTATATTATGGTTTTTCATAATATTAAGATATTTTGTATTGTACTGTCACTGACCACAAACTTACAACACTGGTGTGTTATTTTTACTTTCTTACATTTCTTCTTGATTATAGTTTTAAAATTTTTCAATCTAATTAAAATTAGATGTTCCGAATCCGCTACCGCTTCTCAAACGGTAGCGGATTCGGAACATCTAATTTTAATTAGATTGAAAATTTTTATAAATACACCTCAGATTTTCACTTTCCTTGAAAATTAGGGCCATACACAACATACATGTACTTTACAATGTGCCTTTCCCACTGATAATTTTCCAAGATATTATTAATTCAAAATCATAGTACCATATTGGATGTTCTAAGACAAAAAAATCAGTATATTTTACTAGGAGTTTTGAAGAGGTTACAAATGATGAAAATCCTTGTGTGTTTTAAAGAAAAATTGTCAAAAATAGAGTTTTAGCTGAACTTCCCTCAAAATGTGTTTCAGAGGAGGTGTACAGCATTACCAGGCATCATTAAATTGCACCAAGATCCTTCAATTATTGGAACTCTCAGATTATACAGGGAATAATAAAGTTTCAAACTATGTCCTTAAGAATAAATTTTAGTTCATGAAAGTGCAAGGATGTATGACAATCAAACATGCCCAAAATTCTTATTTTTATGCCCCGCCATGAATATGGCCGGGGCATATAGTGTTTGTCATGTCCGTCTTCAGTCCTTCTGTCCTTCCGTCACACTTTGCGTTTAGCTCTGTTCAAAGCTCAGTTTCAAAGAAACTATCCAAGATATTTTTATTAAACTTCATATGCTGATAGATTTTGATGAGAGCTATGCAACTGCATCAACATTTTTTGACCTTGACCTTTCCTTTGACCTTGACCTCACTTTTCTTAAATTAGTGTTTAGCTCAGTTTTAAAGATACCATTCAAGATAGTGTAATCAAACTTCATATGTTGATACATACTGATGTAAGGTATTCAACTGCATCAACATTTTTTTACCTTGACCTTTCTTTTGACCTTGACCTCACTTTCCTTAAATTAGTGTTTAGCTCAGTTTTAATGAAACAATTCAAGATATTTTTAACAAACATCATATGCTGATACATACTGATGAGAGCTATTCAACTGCATCAATATTTTTTACCTTGACCTTTCTTTTGACCTTGACCTCACTTTTCTTAAATATGTTTTTAGCTCAGTTTTAAAGATACCATTCAAGATAGTGTTATCAAATTTCATATGCTGATACATATATATTATTATAACAGTAACTTGATCCGAAGAGTCGTATCACGGTCGAGTTGACAGGCGCGGATCATCAGATCAAACGAGACGCGAAGCGTCGAGTTTGATCTGATGATCCGCGCCTGTCAACAAGACGTGATACGGCTCTTCGGATCAAGTTACTGTTATAATGATAAATTTATTATATACCCTCCCTTACAACTAGCAAAATATAGTTTTAAAACAACTTTTGAGATCAATTATATAAGATTTTCCCATTAAACAAAGCATTTTGTCAAGGAACTTTTTGATGCGCATGAAAAATAACGTCATGTTTCTGTGTACTACGTCATCAATTTCAGAGAGGGGTGATACGGATTCAGAAAACCACAGTGTGGTGATCCGGAAAGTCGGATCACGCCATCACGTAATTGTACGAAATCTACAGCAAAATTGAGTGATACACACTTGGGTATATAATAAATACTGATGAAAGCTATTCAACTGCATCAACATTTTTTTACCTTTCCTTTGACCTTGACCTCTATTTTCTTAAATTAGTGTCAAACTTCATATGCTGATACATACTGATGAGAGCTATTCAACTGCATCAATATTTTTTGACCTTGATGTTTCCTTTGACCTTGACCTCACTTTTCTCAATTTGTGTTAAAATGTTGCATTACTAATATACCCTTGGCGGGGCATTCATGTCCTATGGACATATTTCTAGTTTATAATATGTTAATGTAGATAAAAGGTTTTTATGATGTATCAGTCTGAAACACTCTTGCAATATGTAAGTCATGAAATTTTACTGAAAATTTGAAGATTAGTTATAAACTCCAAATCTGGGTTCATGTGCATAATTGGCATATCATGAAGCTGAAATTTATATAAATGTAATAAATTTTGGCTTGGGGATTGACACCATTTCAATATTTGTATCAAGTGTATTGTCAAAGTTCTGAAAATGCCAGATTTAATATTGTCTAAATATTTTATATTTATGTTTAATTATCCTCTTCTTGTTCTTATTCTATTCTAGGAAAAACACAAGCAGAAGGAAACTGCTGATAGAGTCAATGAATTTGACTTGATGTGTAAGTTTTTAGCAATTGATTTTTTAATTCTTACTTTATGTGTTTTGACTTTTGATGTTTTTGAAACAAGTTGAAAAACTTCAATCCATTTTATGGACAGCAGGGACATAGTCATATTAATGTGTAATCACCCCCTTGTTTTATGTAATGAAGGTTCAATTTTTTTAAATTGTGGTCTTGAGATTAGGAGAGTTTTACATGGGTATGTATAAAGAGAAAAAAATCATGAGAACAGCAGGGTCACAGTTAGTCATGTACAGACATTTTCATGTAGCAAATAAAGTTTGTAATATATTTTTTTTTCAAAGTGAAATAACATCTTGGATCCTATTCCACCCTGACCTTTTTATGTCCTATTATGTAATTCTATTTGGAAAAGACCAATACTTCTCATGATGGAATGTTATTTTTTATTGCAAATGTATTGTTTTGTACCTCTTGTCTATCAATTTGCATTATCTACTAATCAGGGGATAGGACTGGGTCACAGTAAGGGTCAGTTTTATATAGTAATATTATAATAATATTCTGTATCACTCAATTACTGAATTAGGTTAGGCATTTGTTAAGAATGTAGTGACAGTGATAGTTGTAAAATATTGCTTGTTCATTGCATTCATGTTTTTGTTTAAAAGGTGCTGTGAAATATCCATACAAGAAAAGATGGTCTATGTACAAACTTAGTGATAAAAAGTCTGGTAAGGATAAGTATTTGGACATTTGCTGAGAGAGAAAAAAATGGAAAGAAAGCCCATCACCTCGGAAATGACCAAATCTGTATACAAACCTATGAATTAAATAATTCACAGACAATAAAGTTGAACAGATTGTGGAACTTAAATTTTCACTTTATCATTATAGCTCTAAAATATATTTACTGATAATAAGTAAATCTGACATTTAGAACCTTGAGTAAATTGTTATCAGGTACTGAGAATGGGATTTCTCTCTTTAGGGACTTTGAAAGAAAATGAGCTATCAGATCCTAGAAAATTCAAGAAGAAGCTCCAGCAACAAATTGAACTGTATTTTGATTCAGTAAGTCTAAGTCACTGTACTTACATCAAGTGGTATACATTCTATAAATTATCAAAAGCAAAATTCAATTTTTAAACCAAAACAGATTTCATGTAAATTGTTCATACAGATGTTATGAAAATCTTTGTTGTAGGCAGCTTCAGTATCAGTGACTTTACATGATGGTGCTCTGTGGTGCAGGCTCTACATACAGTCGGGGGCACCTGCTCGCTTTATGAACTCGAACACTATTTACCTGGTATATTACCCTCACTGCCCATGCTTTGCCATTTCAGCCTTCAAAGTCTCTGTCCGGAATTTTCTGTTTCAGGTTTGAATTAATTTTTTGTTGTGCAGTTTTTTTATATTTCAAACACCTTGTAAATTTTTAAGAACCATGATTCTATATCTAATTTTTCAATTTTGAAAAGTTCATTGATGATGAGACGAACTTTAATATGATTATGATCTTTTAAAAAAAGGTTAAATTTCTCACTCATATATACATAAATTGGAAATTTTGGAAGGTTTGTTTTCTCAGTTAGGCCTTGGAAGTTTAGAAATATGTTCTAGCAAGTTTTAGTGATGTTTTTTGTGCCTCAGTAGAGGAGGATAAATGTGATTTTGAAGTGGATAATCATATCTTTGCTCATCATTAGTGGTACTTGAAAAGATATAAAACTTTTGAATTATTACAAAGGAATCAGTATTAATAAATAGAGGATATTCAATGTTTTGTAGATGAATATGGAATTTATTTCACGAGTGGGACAGGATTTTTTGATATTTTCACGAGTGAGAAGCACGAGTGAAAATATCAAAAAATCCTGCCTCACGAGTGAAATAAATTCCATATTCATCTACAAAACATTGAATTTTCTGTTTATTACATTTTCTTTGATTTTCCCTTTGCCTCTGTCTTTTCTTAACACAGTGTCATAGGCTTGACGTCATAGTTGAGCGGTTGAGACGTCATAGCTTAGAAGTTGTGTGTCAGACTGAAAACATTACATAGCATGGATTTTAGCAACATATTTAGGAAGAAATTTGCAGTTTTAGCTCTATCAAGATACTTAGTTACTATCTCTATCTTATGACAGGCCAGAAATTATTTTTTACTTACTTTGGTATCCTTTCACACTGTGAGAGAAAATCATTTTTGGTATTCTTTCACACTGTGAGAGAATATCACTTTTATTCAATAAATAAATCACAGTATTTCACTGTTGAAAATGTAATAATAAAAAATATTGAGACTTTATATTGCAGAAAAAATAAAAGGTTCAGTTATTTTCTAATGTCTTCACTCTTTTACCCTTTTACAGTGTCTGTCAAATGCCTTTAACCATCATTCTCTCACAAACATGATGCTTTCAGGACTACATTACAAGTCACTTTTTCAACTGGCTTTCAACAAGATAGGAGAGGTAAGTATGATATAAAGAGGTTTTATGTACATGATATACTTGTAATCATGTTACAAGGGTAAAACATCCTGTAGATTTATTTGTTAACGTTTTGAATACAAGCACCTCGTAGTGTTATGCCTCCACGCCAGATACCAGCCATAGAAATTAAATCTTTGAGGCCTATGTATCTCATTTTATCAACTTTTTACAAGATAAAAAAAATCGACTTTCATAAAGATATCATAGCTCAATTTGTGTGAGATTATCATTTACATGTATTCAAGAAATGAATCACATTTGTACATAGAGCATTGAAATTCCTTTTATTTCAGGATATCTTTAGCTCATTTTCATCATGTTCACTTAATTTATATTTGTTAGGCAAGGGTTCTAATTTACTCCTTTCAGAGAAAAGGTGCAGATCAAAACCCTCAGGCCAAGGGCTTATGAAAATTATTTTATTATGAAATGCATTTTTACATCAAGGCATGAATGCAAATAGTCTTATGATAAAATCTAAATGTCAGTATGCTTAAATGCTTTATGGCTTGGATTTAAGTCATTTAGGTGTTCTCGGTCAGGGCTCATATAGATAACGTTGTACCAGTTTCTATTCTAGTATGTGTCCTTGTGGTTGAGTTTTTGTTCCTTAAAATTTTACTTCAGAATTTGAATCAAAGAATATTATAGCACCTGACTGTGTGTTTCAAATGTACACAGAGGAAAATTGGGTGTAAACCTTGTAAACAGTCTGCAAATTTTTCAATTGTTTTAATTTCATTCTCCCAAACACTTTTTTTTTGTTACCTGCATTTTCTTATTGTAGTGGCTTCCATTTTGTTTGCTTATTTTTTTTTATAGACGTCATTTGGAAGACTAAGAGCCATTCAGAATCTTCCCTTTCTGTGCAAGAATGAGCGTAAGCGCAAAGGTAATTAATATCGTAACATGTATCACTTTATGTAACAAATACAGTTGTACATTAATGATAACAAAATAATATGTTACAAATACCATTGTGATTTTGTCATTGAAGTTGTACCACATTGGGTGTGTGTGTTGATATATTTGATTATGTTATCTCTATAAGTAAGCTACGTATTTGTTTTAGCAAAAGAAATGGAAAGAGAACCCAACATGCGATCTGAAGATGAAGTGATGAAACGACAAAGGTCCCAAAGTTTGGAGACCTCCTTTGGTGTCTATGAACAACCTGTTTTGGAATCACTGCAGTTTAAGGTGATTTTTACTGCTACTAAAACCCTCAATTAAAAACTGAAACAACAGAAAAGTTTCTGTCAGATGCACAGGAACATTAATAATCCTGTAATTCTTTTTATTTCAAAATATAAAAACACACTTCACATACTTTTAAGTCACCTAAGTCTCTCATGTGACCTATTGTATCTGTCAAGTCAGTCATTCTCCGATAAATGGACCAATTCGGAGTAAAAAACATGAAAAAAAATAATTGTTTCAAATAGCAAAATGAACACCATAATTCTCTAAAGGACCTATCAGTGAACTTGAAAACAAAGAATTGTCCACAAATCTGGTATCGTTAACTTTTTACAACAATTTCAAGATACCATTGATTCTAAGGTAGTGTTACGGAAGTTAAGCTTGATCAAGCCTTATTATTTTTTAAATAAAGCTGAATTTGACCAATTTTTCATTTCTGATGTTCAGTAAAGAACGCTAAAGTATGATTCATGAATCCAAATTTAAATTAAATTTTGGGGGAAAATATCGTTACGGAAGTTAATCGTTATGGAAGTTAATTCCCAGCAATAAAAGTTAAAATTCTCTTCAATAGTTAAAATCAAAGTTTGTTTTAGGATATTAAACAAAAGTGTGAAGCATTTCGCTCCCAAAATAATAAAAAAAATTTATACCTTTAATGCAAAAACTTTCCTGAGTTACTGTTACGGAAGTTAAATTTTTAAGAGAGACGACTGTTTTTGTCTAATTCATTTTGTTATGTCGAAAATGTAATCGTCTAAAATAGCTGACTCGCAACTAGAATCGATGATTTAAGGTTCTGTGGTCACTTTCAGATAAGTTACAGTTCTTTTTGAAATCTATTCTGTGCATGAAATTTAAAACAAAATCATTTCGGAAGTTAATCGATTTTAAGCGACATGCTTATGAATTCGCATGAAAGGAGATCTATGCATTTCTTTGCAAGACGTGGTTTGATTTCTTTTTATATAGGATAAAAGACATTTTTTAACATTCATTGCAATCTATTCAGAACGATTTTACGGCTGAAAATTTCATCTTGAAATTTGTAAATAAATGAAGCGACATTAAAATTTGCAGTGGAATATGTTTTTAGCTCACCTGAGCCGAAGGCTCAAGTGAGCTTTTCTGATCACATTTTGTCCGTCGTCCGTCCGTCGGTCTGTCCGTCTTTAAACTTTTCACATTTTCGACTTCTTCTCAAGAACCACTGGGTCAAATTCAACCAAACTTGCCACAAAGTATCCTTGGGTGAAGGGGATTCAAGTTTGTTCAAATGAAGGGCCACACCTTCTTTCAAGGGGAGATAATTAGGAATTAGTGAAAAAATAATGGCATCATTTAAAAATTTTCTTCTCAAGAACCACTGGGCCAGGAAAGATGAAACTTATATGGAAAGATCCTCAGGTAGTGTAGATTCAAGTTTGTTCAAATCATGACCCTCGGGGGTAGGGTGGGGCAACAATGGGGGATCAAAGTTTTACATAGAAATATATAGGAAAATGTCTTTAAAAATTTTTTTCTTAAGAACAGGAAAGCCTTGATTGGTCATATTTATATGGAAGCTTCCTCAGGCAGTGTAGATTCAAATTTGTTCAAATCATGACCCCTGGGGGTAGGGTGGGGCCACAATGTGGGATCAAAGTTTTACATAGAAATATATAGGAAAATGTCTTTAAAAATCTTCTGTTTAAGAACAGCAAAGCCATGATTGGTCATATTTATATGGAAGCATTTTCAGGTAGTGTAGATTCAAGTTTGTTCAAATCATGACCCCCGGGGGTAGGGTGGGGACACAATGGGGGATCAAAGTTTTACAACGAAATATATAGGAAAATATCTTTAAAAATCTTCTTCTTAAGAACAGCAAAGCCATAATTGGTCATATTTATATGGAGGCTTCCTCAGGTAGTGTAGATTCAAATTTGTTCAAATCATGACCCCTGGGGGTAGGGTGGGGACACAATGGGGGATCAAAATTTACATAGAAATATAAAGGAAAATATCTTTAAAAATCTTCTTTTTAAGCACAGCAAAGCCATGATTGGTCATATTTATATGGAAGCATCCTCAGGTAGTGTAGATTCAAATTTGTTCAAATCATGACCCTTGGGGGTAGGGTGGGGACACAATGGGGGATCAAAGTTTTACATAAAAATATAAAGGAAAATATCTTTAAAAATCTTCTTTTTAAGCACAGCAAAGCCATGATTGGTCATATTTATATGGAAGCATCCTCAGGTAGTGTAGATTCAAGTTTGTTCAAATCATGACCCCCGGGGGTAGGGTGGGGCCACAATAGGTGATCAAAGTTAACAGAGAGATATATAGGAAAAAATCTTTTTCTCAAGAACAGAAAAGCCATGATTAGTAAAATTGATATGGAGGCATCCTTGGGTAGTGTAGAATGAAATTTGTTCAAATGAGGGACCCCGGGGGTAGGGTGGGGACACAATGGGGGATCAATTTTTTACAAATGAATATATGGGAAAAAATCTTCTGCTCAAGAACAGCAATGCCATTTGTTATATTGATATGAAAGCATCATCAGGTAGTTTAAAATCCCCCCCCCCCCCATTAACTTTTCAATACTAAACTGAAATTGCTTTTTTTTCCTTGCCAATGTGCTCAGGTGAGCGATTTGGCCCATGGGCCTCTTGTTCAACATTACGTTACGTTCATATCAAAATTTTAACTGCATATATATCGGTGAATATTTACAAAACCATGTGTGTATTTTAGGTCTTAGAGTTGAAATCGACCTTTAAATTTTTCGTTAAGATATTACAACGGTAAATAATAGGACCACATTTGCAATTCAGATGTAGCTGTAGATCTGAAAGAATTGGGATGGACAACTAGAGAGCTACAGTGGCACCCATTGAAAAAAGTGTATAGTGTGCACAAAAAAGTGCACTGTTTTTCTTGATTTACTTTCCTGTATATTTAAGCTGCCATCTCAAAATATTACTAAGCATGTGTTCCTAGCATTTTGTTTTACTACTTCCACAACAAAACTTTCCCCCAGAACATTGTTAATAGCCCTCCTGTGCATGAAACTGAGAACACCCAAAATTTCACCTATTTATACTGCCAAGTACGGCACAAGGCTCTTCGTGCATGACTGTACATGCAGTTTTGTTGTGGAAGTATTAAGAGAGCATGTTAGGAACACATGGTTAGTTATATTTTGAAATATATGGAGAAATAAATCGAGAAAAAGTGCACTTTTTTGTGTGCGATAAATACACTGTATACACTTTTTTCAATGGATGGCATTGTAGCACTCTGGTCATCCTTACCAATTTTTTCAGACTAGCAAGCTACAGATCTGCAGCTAGTTCAGATGGGGCTAAAGTGGTCATAGCCTGAGAAGCTCATGATACCCGGTTGACTTTAAAGGATGTAGACATCTTGTTAAATCTTACTTGAATAAGTTTGTTTTATATCTTTTAAATATTTTTTTTTATTTTAATATTGACAAAGAGAAAGCTATCTAAAAGTTTGCAATAAATTTTATTATGTTATTTTACACCAATTTTTTAAAAATAATATTTGCACAGGGTGTTGGTTTTTCATTACAGGATTTCAAACAATGGATTTCATTTTCAGTGCTATTTATCTTTTTTCTTCACAGGTGGAGGTAAAATTCCGAGGAAGTCAGAACCTAGTAAACTTTCCAGTAGAGGATGAACCATTTAGATGTCGTGTAAAATTTGAAGGACCTTCTGTTTTAGAGGGAGTTCGTAATTTAGCAACCTGTGGGCTAGCCAATGAGCCACTACCTAAACATTTACTTCGAGTAAATTCACTGGGGACGAATTACTTTGTTCTTCGAAGCAAAGACAAAACTTGATGCAGAAAATCTTTAAAACAAATTTATAAATGTTTTTGAGGTTGTATTCTGTTTTACAGTTCAACAGTTGTCAATTTTATACATGTACTTACTGCCACAGTAATTATACAGTTCCTATAGACAGGTAGTTCATGTATACATGTAATGACTACTAGCAGTAATTATCAAGTTCCTCCAGACAGTTAGTTCATGTATACATGTACTGATTACCTAGTGCAGTAATTATACAGTTCATGACAGGTAGTTCATGTATACAGATGTGTTCATCAGTGTGATGGCTTTCTTTTATCTTTTACATTCTTATCTATCAATGTTTAACAGTTTTATTTGTTATTTCACTGTTACTAGAAAAATAGATTGTTCTGAACAAAAATATATATTAAATTATGAAACAGAATTTTTATTTAATTCAGAATGTTAAATTCATGTATGAATAGATTGCACTCACAGAATGCAAACCTCTGACACTGACTTTTTAGCTCACCTGAGCTAAAAGCTCATGATAGCTTTTCTGATCAAAATTTGTCTGATGCCTGTCGTTGTTGTCATCATTGTTAACTTTTCGTAATTTCGTTTTCGTTTTCAGAACAATTTGGCCAATTTCAACCAAACTTTAACCAAAGTATAAAAGATAAAATAAACTTTTCAGAGATAGATAAACTAGAGACTACATTTATAAATAAACAGTTAAATTGTTTAACAATAGCTTTGACACGATGTCTCCAGTTCTGCTGACCTCGCTAGAACAGTCAAGGTGTGTGCAGTCAAGGCTCACTAATCACCTAACGGGTCTGTAGGTTAACACTCTGTCAGAGCACAGGTGTTTCACTGTTTATTTAGCGTCTCCTTAAGTGTCTACCGTCGATCAGCACTGAATAAACACGGAGTGAAAATTTTTTTTGGACAGAATTTTTACATCGTAATACCGAGTCCCGGAATTTAAGGACATCGTAATAAACAGTCCTATTTTGTATAGATTTGTGAAGAAATGGTTTTGTGCTTTGAATTTACAACATAATAAGCCTTCTATCTTATAAAACCGTCACCGTAATAACGAGACCGCACTGTAGTATAAGGAAAATCTTAAAAATGGACAGCAAAGTGTTGATTAGTCATATTTATATAGAAGCATTGTCAGGTAGTGTAGATTAATGTTTTTTCAAATCATGACCCCTGAACATAGGGCCACATTAGGCAATCAATGTTTTACATAAGAATATCTTGAGAAATCTTAAGTACAGCAAAGCCATGATAATTTATTATGCCCCTCTTCAAAAAAAGGGAGGGCATATTGCTTTGCTGCTGTCTGTCGGTCCACCAACAGTTTCTGTTCATTATCATTGCACATACTGAAACGAAATTTGGTATACAGCTTTATCATAAGAATATCTAGATCAAGTTCTGTTTTGGGTACGATCGAGCAATTTTTGACAGAGTTATGCCCCCTGGACTTAGAAAAATTTCAATTATTTGCAGTTTCCATTTATTTTCTTTGCAGAGGTTGCATGTACTGAAATGAAATTTTGTATACAGATTTATCATAAGAATATCTAGGTCAAGTTATGTTTTGGGTACAATCTAGCAATTTTTGACAGAATTATGCCCCTTTAACTTAGAAAAATTCCAATTATTTGCAGTTTGTGTTCATTTTCAGAGGTTGCACATACTTAAATGAAATTTTGTATACTGATTTATCATAAAATATCTAGGTCATGTTCTGTTTTGGGTATGATGGAGCAATTTTTGACGGAGTTATGCCCCTTGGACATAGAAAAATTCCAGTTATTTTGGAAGGGGGGGGGGGGGGGGGAGGCGTAAGTGTTTCACAAACATCTCGTGCTTATTCAAATCATGACCCCAGGGGTAGGGTGGGGCCACAGTAGGAGATCAAACTTTTGCATAAGGATATACGGGGAAAAAAATATCAAGAACAGCAAAGCCTCAGTTATATGAATAGGGAAGCATCTTTAAGTCTGTCCAAATTTGACCTCTGGGAGTAGGGTGAGGTCATAACAGGGGATCAAAGTTTTACATAGGAATACATTTATATAGGATAAAATCTTTAAAAATCTGATGATTAAGAACAGCAAAGTGCCATGATTAGTCATGTTTATATTGCACCATCCTGATGTAGTCTAGATTCAGGTCTGTTCAAAGCATGGCCACTGGGAATAGGGTGGGCCCACAATAGGAAATCAAAGTTTTAAATAGGAATATATATGAAAAAAAAAATCTTTAAAACTCTACCTCTTATGAACAGAAAAGTCATATTGATATGCAAGCATCCTCAGCAAGTTTAGATTCTTGATCAGATCAACCTTATTTAATCAGCTCTCTTAGGGCTAGATTTTTGTCCAAAATATGGAGTCAAAATTAGAAGGAAATAAATCTACTGATGAAGAACAGTAGGGCAATAGTGACTCAAGTGATCGTTTTGGCGCATGGACCTCTTGTTTAACAGTGATTTGTATAATGTTTTGTGACATTCTTATATAATGTTTATAAAATTATATCATAAAAACCTTTTAACTGGATTCTCATCATACATAATTTATTTCATGTATCAGGGCACACATTTTCCTAAGATATCTTTGAAAAATCTTTCCAGCTGCCTTGAAAAAAAAAATATGAAAAGACATTGCCCCTCAAGCTTTACTGGCAGAGGCTAATGAAATGATCGTCATCTCAGATTTAGGGTATCTAATAGTTCTCAATGTAGATGAGATGGTTTTGAGAACAGAGCATAAGGTTTCCTTTATTGTCAATAGCGATTCCTTCTGGATTTATGATGCCATCTTCTCTTGTCCCAACAAATCTCAGAAACCTCCCATCTTTGTCCAGCATGTGTACACAGTCGTTATGGTAATCCGATATAAATATGTTACATTTTTTATCACAAGAAATGTCACTGAAAGTTGGCTTACTAGAAGCCTGTGTAGTTGTATTGCCGTAATATTTGAATTTAATTTTGCCATCTGATAGACAGACTAGCTCTTTTCCTTTTGCGGTAAGGTATTTTCCCGATACCCCATTTATCACATAGATGTCACCATTCGTATTCTCTTTAACAGAGAGGGGTGATTCCACTAGTTTGTGGCCTTTGTTGTCATTTTCTATGGTCTCCAGAATTTTGCCGTTCGGGGTCATTCGTATTATCTTACCTTCGTTCACGTAGGAGACGAGCACATCGTCATCTTTTGTTGTCGTCACTCCTTTGGTGTACGTAGCCTTGTCATTGAAGATAGTTATTTTACCAGAATTGTTAAAATCAACCAGCCGACATCTAAATCCACTACAGAAGAGGAGGTTTCCTGACTTTGTTACGGTGAGACTGAGAGGGTTGTAACCAGTTTTTAGAGTCATAGTAGTATTTCCGTCAACATCCACCAGGAAAAGAGAGCCGTTCCTGACAGACTTGTCACTGTGGCCAGCTCCAATCCACGCCGTCCCTTTCCCAACAGGACACACACTGAATATATTCCAAGGTGTCTGCAGGGTGTATACTATAGTCACCAGTCTATTTTTCACCACCCTCCTCTTTACTTCAGGCGATGGAACTTTCGTTTTTTCTGGTTTTGGTTTTATCACTTTTATGTGAGGTTCCAGTAAACCAAATTGCCTTGTCATCAAACTTGTGCTGAACGCCATCGTCACAAACTTTGGGGGTTTTGGTGGGTCCAGCTTCTTTGGCACAACCAGACGATCAATTTTCTTTTCTGCGTTGTCACAGAAGTTGACACATTTCCTGTCCGATTTGACGTCGATTTCTTTCTCCAAGTTTTCCAGCAACAGTTCCATCTCACTACACGATTTTTCAAGAGAATTTCTAACTCGCCTCATTGTTTCCATGTCATCTTTCTCTGTTTTCTTTATGTCTCGTAAAACTTTGTCTCTGATTTCTTCTGCTTTTCTTTTCCATATTTCATGTCGTTTATAAATCTCATGGATCAAGTTTTGAACCGACTTCGAATACTCTTCTTGATTTTTCTGCAGCATGGAAGTGCGGATTCTTATTTCTGGGAGGTCCTGTTTCCGCAGCCGATCTAATCTTTTGTGAAGGTTGGCCTTTTTTTCTCGAACTACTTCGTCCAGATCTACATAATTGTGTCTGTTGTGCTCAAGAGCTATGCACTTAGAGCAGACTGTTCTGTTGCACGATCGACAGAATTGTTGGCTTATTTCCCTCGGGTGAAAAAGACAACTGTTTTCATCAAATGCATACTTCTTTTTCATGAATATTGACACAACATTGCAGTTGACAGATGCTCTGCTTTTTAGGTGTGCGTTTTTGCACTTTTCACAAAGATTTTGATCACAGTCCATGCAGATCCAAATAGCTGGAACCTTTTCTTCGCATATTTCACAACTGCTTTGTGGGGTTGGCGAATGGTTTCCTTCGCTTACATTGAAAGTCTCTGCATGATCCACAGTAAAAAAATCATCAGCATTTGCGAAACTGACTCTCCTGTCTTCTTGAGCCATTTCCTGCTTTTTATTTCGGTAATACAAAGCACTGATTTTTCAGTCTTGCATTCTATCTTGCTTTGAGGTTAAATTAAACTTCAAAGTTATCTAACATTGTCCAGTGATCTGAATGACTGCATAAAAACGTTTGTTTGAAATTAAATACAGTCGTCTATTTTAAAGGTTTTAGTTCAAGATTATTTTTAAACAAATTAAGCTTAACTTGCTCTTGAATATTTAGCTTTTATTGGATTCACCCGTGGTGTGTAGCATGAAATCTGATACGATACGTTTTAAACTATTGCGTTAGTATGTATACAGTCTATATGTTAGTAAAGGACAAGATACGGTAACAGCCGAATTTGGACCCTTGTTTGATATAAAAATCAAAAAGTAGTAAAATGATGATTTCCTTGTTTGATATAAAAAATCAAAAGTAGTAAAATTGTGATGATTTGCATTTAAGAACTTCAAATAATGCTTGTTTGAAATCCAACATTTATTTTACTTCATGGTGTACACGGAGGCAACAAAAGAGTGACTTTGACCATTTTATCAAATTTCCATACTTCTGATATGGAATTTGGTCACATGTAATATACTTTTAACTTTGGATCCACTCAGAGCACAAAGCTTGTCTATCTGAGAATTTCATACAAACTATGTATTTGATACAAGTGCATAAAATATGTAAATTTGGTAGATAGGCAAGCTTGCGCTCTTTGTTTTCTGAAACAGTATATGCCTTTTAATTGATGATAATTGGAACAAAAATGAGAAAATTCGGAAGTTGGCAAATTTTGTGACCTCTGCGTATGCTTACACTTAAAATCAATACTCTTTATTGAATCAATGATGCCAACAGGTTTTTAGCTCACCCGAGCCGAAGGCTCAAGTGAGCGTTTCTGATCGAAATTTGTCCGTTGTCTGTCGTTGTTGTTGTCGTTGTAAACTTTTCACATTTTTCATCTTCTCAAGAACCACTGGGCCAATTTCAACCAAACTTGCCACAAAGTATCCTTGGGTAAAGGAGATTCAAGTTTGTTCAAATGAAGAATCACGCCTTCTTCCAAGAAGAGATATTTTGGAATGAACCCCAGGGGTAGGGTGGGGCCACAATGGGCGATTAAAGTTTTGTATAGGAAAACATGGGTAAAATCTTTAAAAAATCTTCTTCTCAAGAACAGCAAAGCCAGGATTGGTCATATTTATATGGAAGCATTCTCAGGTAGTGTGGAATAAAGTTTGTTCAAATCATGACCACCGGGGGTAGGGTGGGGCCATAATGGGCAATCAAATTTTTACATAGGAATGCATAGGGAAAAAATTTTAAATTTTTTCTCTAGAACAGCAAAGCCATGTTTGGTCATAATAATATAAAAGTATCTTCAGTTAATGTAGATTCAAATTTGTTCAAATCATGCATGACCCCCCCCCCCCCCTTGGAGTATAGAGGCGCCATAACAGGGGATCATAGATAAAGAAAGGAATATAAAGGATATATCAATTAAAATTTTCTTCTGAAGAACAGCAAAGCCATTATGTGTCAGTAGATTCAAGTTTGTTCAAATCACACCCCCACCCCGAACCACTTTTATATCTAAACTTTTCAATACTGAACTGATTTCTGCTTTTTCCTAGCCAAAGTGCTCAGGTGAGCGATGTGCCCCTGGGCCTCTTGTTAAGTACTATTGCATTGTTCTAAGAGACAACCCAAATAAGGGGTCATGAAGTGGTCTTAACAAATCTTATCCTTTGCGGGTCTTGACGAATGCTACCTAAAATTAAATTATTGGGATGGTTAATGATCAATGTCCTTGATAATTTTTGTTTTTTCTCTCTCTCTCTTTCAGCAACAACTGGATATGTTTATGGAGTTTTATTAATAATACTATTAGTCTAGCTGTTGACTTGATTTCACACAGATGATAAGAAATACATTAACAAAGAGTTCTAACGGTAGTTAATAAACGTCTTCGCTGTAGCGAATTAAGAAACACTCTTGTCGGATGAGGGTCTAAATCCTCCCCAGGTACCGTCTGAAAGGGGCTCATTGAGGTCCAACTCATCCTCCCAGGTACCGTCTGAAAGGGGCTTATTGAGGTCCAACTCATCCTCCCAATCACACGGCAACTGAAACATTTTTTAAAGTTTTGAACAAGCAATTAAAATCAAGATAAATATACACATATCGACTTTTGCATTACAAGTCAGTTACTGAATTTAAAATTTTGTTGTAGATGAATTTTCGTTTTCTAACCAATTCACAGTCAGTTTGTGCACAATCTTCCAGTAACTTGATCCTCTTCGCTGGAGGTTTGATCGCGCCATCCTCCCCTGTTTCCACTCGTTTTCGCTTTTTGGACAGAGCTTGATGTGGTTCCTACAGAAAAAAACAATAATCATAATGGATGCTACTAAAATGTTCTAAAAGAGACATGGTTGGTGAATACTTATCGAGGCCATTGGCGAATCTTCTCTAATACAAAAGAATTATTATAATATCATTCCTTATTATTGAGGAAATAAATTAAAACATTATACGAACCAGTTCATTTGCAGAATGTTTGATCAACAGTCTGGACTCTGTAAAACCGGTCAGCTTCTGTCTCAGGTCCTGTAACAAAAGACACAATACGTTTCATTCAGAATTCATAATGACGAATGTCCGAGAATTGTTAAAAATGCGTTTGGATAGATCATAGTTTGAAGATAGTTCTATAATTTGAAGAAAGAGCCTATTTGTATACACTCTTTATTCTGAAAAGGTGCCATTGATAAATTTTAGTATTTCAGAGACATGTACATGAAGCTTTTATTTCCAGTTCAAACCTTCTAACTTATATACTAACTTGTCTCACCACATCTGGGTTGTCACTGGACAAAGACTGGGCCTCTTGTATCCGAGAGGTGTGACTAGGTCCAGGGTTGACTACCTCTGAGCTGTGGTCGTTACCGTTGCTCCAATCTGACTGGGTCAAGGACCTGCTATGGCAGTGAAGAGAGGATCCTAAATTCTCCCAAGTCCTCACTCTGTCAGTGTTAATTTTGCGGCTATGTGAACTCGCATTTTCCCGAGGCCTCATTGCATCAATACTGTTGTAGCGGTTAAGAGGGGTACTGCTACTTTTCCAAGGCCTCATTGTTTCAGTTCTCCTTAGGCCTTGCTGCATCTGTACTATTGTAGCTATTAAGAGGGGATCTTCCATTCTGAGGTCTCGCTTCGTCAGCACTATTGTAGCGATTAAGAGGGGATCTTCCATTCTTAGGTATCTCTTCGTCAGCACTAATGTAGCTATTAAGAGGATATCTTCCATTCTTCTGAAACCTCTCTTCGTCAGCACTATTGTAGCGATTAAGAGGGGATCTTCCATTTTTCTGAACACTCGCTCCGTCAGCATTGTTGTAGCAGTTAATAGGGGATCTCCCATCTACCTCCAGAGACCTAGATGATTCAGTGCTATTGTAGCGGTGACTGGATCTGTCATTCTCCTGTGGCCTCTCTGCGTCATTGCTATAGTAGCGGTTAAGAGGGGATCTCCCATCTACATGTGCTTCTCGAGGCCTAGATGTTTCAGTGCTATTGTAGCGGTGAGGGGATCTGTCATTCTCCTGTGGCCTCGCGGCGTCATTGCTATAGTAGCGGTTAAGAGGGGATCTCCCATCTATCGCCCGAGGTCTTGCTGCGTCATTACTACTATAATAGGATCTGTCATTCTCCCAAAACTCTGTTGCGTCTCCGCTTCTCAGGTTCTCTCGATGCTGGGACTGCAAAATTATTAGCTGCGAATAATTTTTTAATTTTTCGCTAATGTGATAAATTAAGAAGGATAGATTTTCTTGATTAAAAAGAAACTCTAAAAAAGTTATTGGCCTGGAGAAAGTTTTTTTTTCTCGGCAGTTAATATCATTTTTTTTTTATCCGTATAAATGTTATTGTCGGGAAAAGTTTATTTACCTTCAATTTCTCTCTCTACGAACCCTTTAAATATCAGCATTATTATCAATATCTAAATTAAATTTGTCTTGTTTAAATTAAAATTATTTGGATAGAATGCATATAATTAAGCTCGATATTTACTTTTTTTCTCCACACTCTATTCCCTTTCCGAGCAGGTTCCCCGATCGAATCGGTACATTTCCCATCCTTCTGGAATCGAACTGGTCTCCCTGTGTGTAGATCGGTGATTATCTAAAAATAATGTTAATAGTTTCTTTTATTCTATAACACCAGTGATATATAATCCCAGGTTAGTATTTTCCAATGACACTAATTCTTTCTGCATACAAAAAGTTCCAACACCTGAAATTGTATAATGCCTACTAATGAAGAAATCTTATTTCCATGTATGATCGTATTATCGCTAATAAAAGCAATTTTCAACTGAACACTTATAAGACTGACAATGTAAATATTAAAGGTTTTATTTCGTACATCAGGCTAAAGACATGATTATTGTCAAAGAACGAAAGCAAAGAATCAAATGGGAATCCAATTTGCAAACTATATGTACATGTATGTCTTGGTCTACGCTGACAGTACCTGTGCATAGCATTAGAACTATTCCATAAATCGAGAGGGAGTCATAAATAAGTGTATTATTAAAAAAAAAGAAAGAAAGAAAAGGCCGAGCAATATGTAGCACGGTTTTCAAACGTGTTTCTGAAGTTATAACTGTGGCAATATACAGAACAAGAAATCATTAAAAAAAAATGTATGGCTGTGCCCCCCCCCCCCCAAAAAAAACAAAAAAACTGAAATTGCTTCCTACGGGCCTGATAAATAAATAATGAATAATAAAACAAATGATTATAAATAATAGTGATACGATGGTACCTTGAAAGTAATTTAAAGATTTTTTTTAATGAAAAAGAGAACTCTATATTTTTTATGATGATAATATCTGTTACTTTCCTACCACTAAAATGTTTATTCAGTATTAGATACATTACCCTCTTACGAGTGAAGACATCCATCTTTGTTGTCTTTGTGATGCTTGAAGAGATGTAACCTTAAAAAATGCAGAACAGTCTCTAACTGCGTGGGCTTATAACAGTTCCACTGTAGAACAAACGGTGGTGAAGTCACAATAACGATTATGACGTCATGCCAACCAAGCAACAAGATGCATGTCTTTGCAACCCCCCCCCCCCCCCCCCAAGCTCCAGACAGTTTAGTATTACGTTACGCTAGAATTCCATATGATATTATTCGTAGGGAAAGTCCCGGAGAATTAACTCTGCATGGAGTATAATGGAGTATGCCCCCCCCCCCCCCCCCCATAAAAAAACCCCTCTGTGCACCTATATTTTATTAAAGAAATTTTGTATCATTTTGAACAGCTATTATGTCACCCCTCTTCCAGTGTCACTAATATGAATTCAAAAAAACATTCACCGGATGTTTTTCGTTAGTCCCCCTTTTTTTCCTTACATCTTACATAGTTTAATTTATATTCAATCACTGTATGATCGATATATGATCTATAATTATATCATGTGCATATCCAGGAATTTTTTTCCAGGGAAGTGGGGTCGGGGCACACCACTTTAAAAAAAAACAGACTCAGAATTTTATTTAACAAGCTCAAAGAATTTAATAACTTGTCCAAACCCAAACTCATTTTTTTAGGGGTGGGTGGGGAATTGGTGGGGGAGGGCTTAAGACAATTTTGCCATTTTAAAAAGGGGTCTGTGTTTCCTATGGGGGTCCAAGTCATTATTTGGTTACCCTACTATATAAATTTAGAACTCTAAAAATCCCAATCTAGATCCGCGCATACAAATCCGAGAAGTCTTGTATGGCACATATTGGTTTTCGGTCAGCATCGCTGTTTGTGGAGAGCGATGCGGACTGAAAACCCTTGGATTGCAAAGATGTGTTTTGTTTTGTTTTGTTTTGTTTTGTTTTTTTTTTTTTTTTGTAAATACATGTAGCGCAAAGTAACAAGTCTTGTTAAAAACATAGTAATAGCTATTGACATCGGGCTCGGGAATCATCCTTCACTGCCAACAGAGGGCGACCTAAAAATTATCATTTCCGTAATTGATCACACGACAACAGTGGTATTCAATACAATTTTGCAAAAATGATGATGGGTTATATGCAAGAGATGACGTTTAATATAGACCACGGGTATCTGGAAGGTCTGTTAAGAGGATTTAAGAGCGGGATCCTCAAGCAGAGCGATTATTTAAACTTGGTTCAGTGTGAAACCCTGGAAGGTACAGTGATGTCGTAACTGTCACAAGACCTCTTTCGAGTTCTCTGCTTTTCGTTCTGTAATATTTATCTTCTATTTAGTCGGAATAAATATCTTCTATCTTATGGATAAAGAATGAGAACCTGTTATAGTAAATATGTAGCAGTAAGCTGATCATATTGATAATTTGTATGTGAAAAGGGGGGGGATTCTTACATCCATGTAACTGTTAACAGGGACGTGTATACTAAATAGACCCTTATTGTTAATTAGTACTGTATGGTTTTCTGATAGACCCACGCCATTCCTTATGATTTTATGGTGGTGGTGGGAGAATACAAGGGTGATAGTTCAAAGTCGGGGAAGTGGAACCTGATTCTAAACTTCCTCCCTTGCCCTTGTATTTTTTCCAAAGCCTTCTTCTCCTGCACTTTATCCCCCTCTAGCTCTTCTCCTTGTTTCCATTGCCCCAAGAACAGGTGGAGTTGCTCAGTTGTTAACAATTTGTTGGTTGTCAATGTCAGTTTTTTTACAGAAAAAAAAGTTGTTTAAATTGAGTATTTTGAATACACGAAGCTGTTTATAGTGTAAATTTTCTGTGGCATGCAAGAGTATTGCAGTTTGAATTCACAGCCAGCTTGTAGAAAGTGCCTTTTTTGATTTGAAATAGATAAGCAACAACAGGTTGTTTTAGTTAAAGACAGTTTATGTTTGGACAGGTACATTTTAAAGCCACACAGTGGGATTGAGATTACCGGCATTCTGAATGTATTTGCAATTTATTTTCCTTTCACTCTGATGACATATCAACATGCTCAATACATATTTTCAATGTTATTTCTCGTTTGATATTTTTCAGACTTGAAGTTACATCTACAGAGCACAGACTATGGAAATTTTCTTGCAAATGAACCAAGTCCACTCACTGTGTCTGTGATTGACGACAAATTAAAAGAGAAGTTAGTTGTGGAATTTCAGCACTTACGCAATCAATGTGTGGAACCAATGTCCACATTCCTAGACTATATCACGTAAGTAACTGAACTGTAAAAGCTATTCATAATTAGTCAGTTATATGAAAATACTGATTTTACTTGATATTTTCTGGATGTAAATCAGGTACAGCTACATGATTGACAACATCATCCTCTTGATCACGGGAATTCTACATCAGCGTCCTATCAATGAACTCATTCCAAAATGTCACCCACTGGGAAGCTTTGAACAAATGGAGGCCATTCATATTGCTTCGACTCCTGCAGAGTTATACAATGCCGTGCTTGTGGACACGCCTATTGGTAATGTCACTCTGAACATTTATATTTATATTCCTGTCACAATGATATTAACATTTCATAGGATATTAGGTAATAGAAATTTGCTACAAACAGTATCAATATTTCATAACTGAACTGCCTTAGAATAATGTGTATCATATTTCAGATGTCATAAACATGATGAGAAATTAGTATCCTGTATAATTTAAATACCCTGTATTTTGTATTTACCAGCTCCCTATTTCCTTGACTGTATATCTGAACAAGATCTTGATGAGATGAACATTGAAATCATCAGAAACACTTTGTACAAGGTATTTCATATTGTTGTACATTTTATATGAAACGACAGTCTTAGAATGGGACATAAATCAAATGTGCTTTATTGTAATCTGTATGTCGTATTGTTGATTATTGCAGGCTTACTTGGAAGACTTTTACAGTTTCTGTCGGGAGTTGGGTGGATCAACTGCTGATGCCATGTGTGAAGCATTGGCTGTAAGTACATTGACTAAGTTAATATGTACTGTAGTGATGACATTGGGTATAAGTACATTGACTAAGTTAATATGTACTGTAGTGATGACATTGGGTATAAGTACATTGACTAAGTTAATATGTACTGTAGTGATGACATAACTTATGCTATTTCTTAGACGGAATACATGTATTAAGAACATTTTTTTCCAGTAATCAGTGAAGGAATATATAGAAATAAACAAGAAAGAAAGGAGAAAGTAATTTAAAGTGTAGTCTATTTGAATTTAGAGCTTACTATTGGAAGTCCAATATCATGTGACAATATGGTGATAAATTTATAAATAACAGAGTATGGTGACATTATGGTGATATAAACAACAGAGTATGGGTGAAATTATGACTATATGAACAACAGAGTATCAGTCATAATTGTACATTTCAGTTTGAGGCAGACAGAAGAGCTTTCATCATCACAATCAACTCATTTGGGACTGAGCTGACAAAAGAGGACCGAGCCAAGCTGTATCCCCGCTGTGGAGACCTGTACCCTTACGGTCTCCAGCTCCTGGCTAAGGCTGATGATTATGACTCAGTGAGACAGGTGGCTGACATTTACGGGGTAAGCTTTATATTTATATAGATAGTTGTTTATAAAGTCATGTTCATGCTTTGTAAGATATTTAAATCCATTTTCATAAATTTAGTAGTTTTTTATGTGTAAAAGCATGTGTAGTGGAAAGTATAAAATGCATAGTATTAAAATTAATATTGCAACAAAATACGCAATATGACAATAGAAATTGATATTTTAGAAATGATGTTTGACACATTATTTTAAATTCGCTCTTATCTGAATCAACAGAATGTTAATTGCAAGAAAAAATGGCCAAATTTTAGTCTGGATTATTAATATATTATAATATGATTATTTTTTGAAGAACTACAAGGACTTGTTTGAGGGAAGTGGTACTGGACCAGGGGAGAAAACTCTGGAGGACAAATTCTTTGAACAAGAGGTAATAAGTTTTCAGTGTAGAGTATTACTTACTTTAATATTTTTAATGAAAAAAAAATGAATGTAGAAATTGATTCATTTATGTTGAACTTTTGTAGTGCTTGAGTTACCATGTACAATTTTGTATTTTCATGTGCATATGATGGTTTTATGACCTACTTATTAAATATGTGTATTTCAGGTGAAATTCATGAAGAACTCCTTCATGCAGCAGTTTCAGTTTGGAGTGTTTTATGCCTACGTAAAACTAAAGGAGCAAGAGAATAGAAACATTATATGGATAGCGGAGTGTGTGGCTCAGAGACACAGGGCCAAGATTGACAGCTACATTCCAATATTCTGATCAACCACAGTGTCAAACTTACTAACACTGATAACATGGCAGGATGCCAAAATGAGGGTTTAATTGTTTATTTATATAAGGCTGTGATTTTCAAATGACAAAAAATGAGTTACATATTCTCACTGCAATATATATTGGGTGAGAACTTCTCATTGAATTCTTTCTGTAACATCTTTTATTTTTCAATCTAAGACATGTCTCATCTCAGATTTCAGAGTGTGCAGTCTACACCATATAGAATTATTAATTATATATAAGAGGGTACAAGTTGTTGAAATCCACTCCAATACATTGTATTTTTTGGTTGTAACTCTAAAAGTGTTGATTTACATTTATGCGTGTAAAACTTGTAGAATATCAACTATGATCCCATTGAATTACATCCAATGGCATGTAGTTTTAGAGTATATAGCAAGTAGCTATAATATCAAGACCATTTCACTTCATGTATATTCTAGTCAGAAGTTTGATTTTAATGATATTTAGAACTGTTAGAACCGTGAACAATATGCCCACAAATGTTAATGTGTAATTGTTTTCAAGTCTTTGCAATACCTAGACAGCATCAAAAACATAACATTCCTTGTAGAAGCCATGTCTGGAACATTTGGCTTTTTGTTTTACTGGCAAATGTAACCAAGAAATGTGTATTAAAATTATTACCATATTTGTTTGGCTTTAATGTGAATTGTGTACATGTAGAAGTGGTATGTCTTGAATCTGAGAAGGTTGGATTAGGTTCACTTTCATGAGTTACAGGTACCAGTATCTGTTTTACCTAAAATCACAAACTATATAAGAGTATTGGGTTTTCTAGAAGAAACATTTATTCTTGCAAATGTGTTAGGATTTCCAGATTACATTGCAAAACAGGTGTGTTCCACACACACAAACAAAAAAAAGACATAAATGTATAAAACAAAATCAGCTTTATCTAATAAGCATAAATGATTTCTATACTAACATGAAGGTATAATACTGATAGGTGTTACATAACAAGAAGTACACATGCACCAAATCACCTGTGCTCAACTTGTGAATATAAGTCATTTAGCAACATTAAATTACAATTGTGCTTGTATAATGATTCATGTGGAAAAAAAGAAAGGGTCAACCCAAACATAACAACTTTTTCAAATTTTAACATACATTTATCTATTTCTAATCAATTTCACAAAAACAAAATCAACAAAAGTATAACAAGCAGTTTAACATTACAAAAATGTTAATCTAACCAATAAAAACAATTTGTTTAAAAAATAAATAGGTTCAATGTAAAACAAAGGGGGGAAAGCTGTCTGTCCTCTTTATAAAAAATTACTGATTACATGCCAGATTGATCTTGAGTTATACATAAAAATGCATGTGCAGTGCAAACTTGTACATATCATTGAAAATTAAAATACATAATCCTTGCAAATTTTGGAATTCAGTAACACTGACAATGTTTAATGCTATCTTAATCCTTTATCACATCATCAATGAATGAAGGCAAAAGAAAACAATGGAGTGTTATATTTTAAAATTTGTGGTTTTGTACAATGCAATAATTTTAATAATGATTGATACATAAATTCAAAAAAGAAACATAGTTCTCCTGATAGGTAATTTGAAAAATAGTTAATTATTTTATGACTCCAGTTTTAAAAAGCCAGTGGGATTTGGGGCACCACTGTGATATCCCAGAGGAGGTGCTCCTTTGGGGTAATCCCCAGGTAGAGTCTGACCCAGGTCTGAGTTCCCGGGGTAGCCCCTGTCCTCATCATAACTCCTGTCAGGGGGATAGGCATAGGATGGATGGCCAGTGTAGATTGAAGGAACAACACCAGGTTGTGCTTCTGGAGGAATTTCTATTTTACCATGCCCCTAAATACCAAAAATCACATAAGTTTTGTAATGGTACATTATTTTTGAGGTTTACAAACTTTATGCAGATGACAAAATTGTTATAATTTAATAATTTAAAACTGTAGGAAGAAAACTCAAATCTCACATTAGATTTCATAAAAAGATCACTTTTCTGAAAACTTACAGGTATTAATTTTGCTTGCTCAGGCACAGGTCCATAAAGATGAGGCACCATAGGGCGGGCTTGTGTATACAGACCTCCTAATGCTGCATAACCCTGGTGTCCTCCTGCGGCCACATGGTCTCCAACAAATGAGTTGACCTACCAAGGAATGAAGTACCGGTAATGTACATAGGAAAACAAAAAAATAAATGCTTCCCTATTTTATGAATGTAGGAAAAAGAGTTTTAGTCTGTACTCACTGTTTGCAATATTTGCATTGCCCTAAGTTTGTCATTTTCAAATGGGAAGGCACTCAAAATGTACTCCTCACCCAGTTTACTTTGGTAGTCAGAAAGTACTCTGAAGAAAACAGGATAAAACAATCATTATTGGTGTACACTCTAGCTTACTTTACTGTAGAAGTCAAAGAGCAGCTAAATAAATTTGATAAAACAATCACATTAATATCTTCACCTCTTTCTCACTTATTTTTTTAATTACAATAATTTAACAGGTTTGTTGGTTCTTACCTCTTAATGCAGTCTAAGGCAATCAGTTTATCATTGTGAATGCTGACAGCATTTATTATCTCCCTTCCATCTCGACATGTCATTTGACACAGTCGCTGGAAAAAGGTTTTTAAAAGTAAAGTAATTTGCCAAGTTAACAAATTTATTAAGTTTTACAGAAAAAAAAAAAACAGTTGAACTTGAGTATCTCAAACATTAATATCTCAAATACAATGGATGTCCCAACCACTTTTTCTTAAGGTATTTTAACTTGAATACAATGTATCTCAAATCCTTGAATATTTCAAAGTTGTTTTGGGGTTCAATTAAGTTCATAATAACAAGGTTTGACAAAATTATTTTTTTTTTATTACATTGAAAATCAGTGATAGATAAAATCTCCCTAAACATTTTACTTACTGGCTCCAGAATTCGAAGTACTCTGATTTTGTCAGCAGGATTGGCAAAGGAACTAAGGAGTCTAGAAGCCTAAAAAATATGAATAGTTTTATCGTTTGATCTTCACAATCATTATTTGCTTTTAAACATAATACGTAACATAGCCTCATATGTAAAGTGGGAAAATGACCACGCACCCCACCACCTCTCCAATCAACCACCCCTCTTTTCACCCTCATTGAAAAAAAAGCTTGAATATCCATATACATGTGCAGTACTCTATGATGACAAGACAAAATATACAAATTATTTATATTACCTGATCTGCGTTATAAAATCCTCGACAGCTGTAAAGAATCTCCACCTTTTTCTCAGAAGATGTTGTTTCCTGTCAAGTTTTAAAAAAAGTTTATACATGTATGTATAGAATGTATGTGTAGAATCTAATTCCTGTGTGAGGAACAGAAAGACTATTTCAGGATGAAACTGTGTAAGTTACTGGAGAGAAATGCAATCATTTCAGGCTAATGTACATCGATCATTCCTTTAATTTCTATTCAGTAAAAGATTTTAAAAGGATATAATTTAACAAAGATATTCTATTTGAATGTCATTGGTGTAATAAATATTTCACTTATTTTCTCAACGTTTGCATATTTTAACAGCTGATTGTTTACCATAGAAACGCATAAATTCTCGCGACCTTACCTGGTGGATTTTATCAACAAGAGCCTGGAAGGTAGATGGGTCCATTGCTCCTTTTGACATTGTTCTTAAAAAATATTAGAGACACGCTGAAGGGTATATTTTGAAGTCTGCTAGTCTACAACCCTGCTTCCTGGCAACCCAGACCGGATGTCAACATTCTCTGGTTCTGCCCTCTCCTGTGTGTGGAGGTGAGAAAACTCATCGAGGATAAACATTGCGAAATAAAAAGTAGAGGAGTTTCTTCATTATCAAGGTAGAAATACTGACTTGTATTTTAAAGGACTTTTTAGTTTAGATTTTCCGTTTTTCGGGAAAGAAAATCTGTGTTGAATATGTATATTAATGAATTAGAACTTTACCTGTTAAAATGTATGTGGTTCATACGAGGGTCATTCAAAAATGAAAAAAGAGTAGGCCTATAGATTTTTTGTCAGTTGTTTTTAATAGTGTTGTCATACCGGACGATTTTTAGTAACCGGTTATTACTAAGCACTTAGTTTTCCGATCGAGTAACCGATTACTTGTATGTAATGTCCTTACAATTTCTATATTTATCTTTGTATATCGGTATATACAAAACACAAATGCACTACATATGAATTTTATTTATAATTACAAACACAATATCTTCTAAATAAATTTGTTCTCGAACACCCCGTAATAGTTGGCTGTTTTACGTTTTATATATTACTGGTTTCACAGTTATATGTAAACTTCAGTCTGAGGTGGTTAAGAATATTAGTTGTCCCACCCGTGTATGTTAATCTTACACTGCGGACTAGCACAGGTTTATGTAAGGTAATTATAATTAAACCAAACCTTCAAAACTTGTATACCCTTGGCAATCAAAGCCATCAATTAGATAAACTTTAAATACTAATCAAAACAAATCGATTGCATTTGTAAAACTTGTTAGGTCGAGACTAACTTTAAATAACGGTAAATAAAATGGGGACATTATTAACAAAATACATTATTCCTACTGATTTACTTTATAAAATTCAATTCATCCAAGTAACTGAGTAGCAGTTTTACTAACCGATACTCGCATCATTCGATGATTAACCAGTTAACCGGGTACTTGTTGACAACACAAGTTTTTAATGAACGTCATATGAAGACTAAATTTGGAAGGCATATTTTAGCATTGAATCGGAATAATTTCATCTAAAATGTTAAAATATATCATGGTATATTTCAAAACATTGGTACTAGGTTTTAAGGTGATATGTTTGTAACCAGGGTTACTAACACTAATTCTACTTTTATCCTATATTATTTGATTTTTGAATTTAACCAGGGCACTGAAGTTACTATGGCTACAATATCATAATCATTTACATTTTTATTTTAAAAATTTTCATTTTATCATGATTGAGCATGACCCTTGTCAAAGAGTGTTGGTAAAATGGGTAGGCAAACCTGGGCCGGGAAAAATTGAAAACTCTGTTTTTTTAATTGTTTTTAAAGGACAATAGCTGACCATTTCTATTTTAAGGGGTTTGATATGGGTATCTTTATTGATCCATAATGCACCATGTTTATATTATTTTTTTTACAGATGCTGAGCTAACTATGAAGCTATCTTGCCCTTTACATTTTACAGTTTACATATCATTTTTTATGTGCAGAGGTAAGTCATAGGCAACAATCTGAAAACTCTATTTTCAAGAAGGAAAATATATAATTAAACCGCCATATTTACATAAATAAATATATATTTGCAATTTGAAAGAAATCATACATGTATAATTATACAGTTGAATTTCGGTATCTCAAACACCGATATCTCAAATACCATGGATATGTCGAAGTGATTTAGAAGTCCCAACCACTTGGGACTTCTAAATCACTACATATTTATACTTCTAAAATTCAGTATTTTACACTACATATCTCGAATCCTCGGATATCTCAAAGTTTTTCTTGACCCCATCAAGTTGAGATAACGAGGTTTGACTGTATTGTGATCAGTTTTGAATATTATCTGCACTTACCAAAGGATCTAGTAGATAAAGGCATGCCCTGTAAATCATTAACAGATACAACTGAGAGCTCAGAAAAAAGGCTCCATTACTGTACAGTTTTTTTAGATGGAAATTTGTTTTATCCAGTTTGCTAGTAACTATCAAGAAAAAGAGAGAAAATAGAATCTTGGAGATATTTAGCTATCAGCAACATTTCTTTGTATTTGATTTCATTGTAAAGAGACAACACTGTAGGCATCTGTAATTTTTTTTTTAAGTTTGGTAATCTTTGTCTACATTTTTCACCAACAGCATTAGCAGCAACCTATTACTGTAAAGATAAAGAGACAGTGAACATTGATGGAGTGACTTCAGGGACGATTCGCACACTGGCATCAGGTGCCAGTAGCTATAGCAACAATGTGGATTGCTCCTGGAAAATTAATGCAGGGGCAGGAAACAAACTACATTTTAAAATTTTATCCTCAGTTTTAGAGTATACACCTCCGTACACTTCTTGTTATACCAGGGATAGTCTCTTTATACTAGATGGTAAGTGTTCATTTAGAAATATTATCTTCATCCTCTGCAGGGAGTGTTTATTGAGATATAAACTCTTTATCCTAGACAGGGAGTGTTAATTGAGGTATAAACTCTTTATCCTAGACAGGGAGTGTTAATTGAGGTATAAACTCTTTATCCTAGACAGGGAGTGTTTATTGAAGTATAAACTCTTTATCCTCTACATGGAGTGTTTATTGAGGTATAAACTGTTTATCCTCTACAGGGAGTGTTTATTGAGGTATAAACTCCTTATCCTCTACAGGGAGTGTTTATTGAAGTATAAACTCTATATCCTCTATAGGGAGTGTTTATTGAGGTATAAACTCTATATCCTAGACAGGGAGTGTTTACTGAGGTATAAACTCTATATCCTCTACAAGGAGTGTTTATTGAGGTATAAACTTTTTATCCTAGACAGGGAGTGTTTATTGAGGTATAAATTCTTTATCCTAGACAGGGAGTGTTTATTGAAGTGTAAACTCTTTATTCTCTACATGGAGTGTTTATTGAGGTATAAACTCTTTGTCCTCTACAGGGAGTGTTTATTGAGGTATAAACTCTTTATCCTCTACAGGGAGTGTTTATTGAGGTATAAACTCTATATCCTAGACAGGGAATATTTACTGAGGTATAAACTGTATATCCTAGACAGGGACTGTTCAGGTAGAGGTAACACCTTTATCCTAGACACTGTGAGTGTGGACTGTAGTCTTAGACAGTGAGTGTTCATTGAGATTTAAACTCTTTATCTTAGATAGTGAGTGTATAGATAGTGAATTTAGAGATACATGTAATTGTCTTCTTTATCCTCAACAGCAAGTGTTCATTGAGGAATATCCTCTTTATTAGACAGGGAGGGCCATTAAGGGATACTATTTTATCCTACACAGTGAGTATTCATTGAGGAATATCCTCTTTATTAGACAGGGAGTGTCCATTAAGGGATACTATTTTATCCTACACAGTGAGTATTCATTGAGGAATATCCTCTTTATTAGACGGGGAGTTCCATTAATGGATGCTATTTATCCTACACAGTGAGTATTCATTGAGGAATATCCTCTTTATTAGACAGGGAGTGTCCATTAAGGGATACTATTTTATCCTACACAGTGAGTATTCATTGAGGAATATCCTCTTTATTAGACGGGGAGTTCCATTAATGGATGCTATTTATCCTACACAGTGAGTATTCATTGAGGAATATCCTCTTTATTAGACGGGGAGTTCCATTAATGGATGCTATTTATCCTACACAGTGAGTATTCATTGAGGAATATCCTCTTTATTAGACAGGGAGTGTCCATCAATGGATACTATTTTATCCTACACCTACAGTGAGCATTCATTGAAGGATAACAGCTTTATCCTATACAATGAGTGTTTATTAAGGGATATCCTCTATATTAGGAGGGAGTGTTCATATAGGGATTATGTTTTTTTTATTCATACACTTTGAGAGTTTAAAGGATTTCATCTCTATCCCAGGTAGTAGGTGTTCATTGGGGGATGATCTTTATTTAAAATAGGGGTGTTTCTTGGAGGGTAGTCTTAGTGTTTTAGATACTGTAGATCACCAAATTTTTGTGAGAACTTATTTTAATAATATAGGTATTGGGTATTTATAAGCGAGACAACACTTCCACAAATTCTGGTTATTGGTGTATATAATCTATATTAACAAAAATATACGCGAGAATGAAATTTTGGCAAGCAGACTGTCTCAAATAATAACGCAAAAATAAAGTTCCTGTGAATAAAAAGTGATTTACAGTGGTGAGTGTTCATTTTCCTAGAAGGTGAGTGCTCATTTAGGGATAATGTCTCTGTATTAGAACCGAGAGTTCATTCAGGGATAGACACTTTTTGTCTTAGAGAGTGGGTCAGTTTTTGAAGATCATGGTGGGTGTTCGTGGATAGATAGCCTCTTAAAGTTAGCTGATGAGTAGTTATTAGTTTTATTATTTCTATACTTGTGATGGCTTCAAATACTGTAAAATGTTGTAAATATAAATGTTTTTACATTCAGTATTTTGAAGAGAGCTTAGTTTTTGGGAATTGTAAGAAACTATTGGACAATAGTTAAACTGTCTAGTTTTTCACTCAATTATCATGATTTTTTAAAAAAAATTTCCAATGAATATTAAGAATAAAACTGTTTTGAACTCATTAAAAAATCTAAGACAATTTTGATTGTAGGAGAGACACCTAGCTCTGATATCCTGGTGTCCATATGTGGGTACTTTAATCCATTTGAGGTCACCAGCAAGGGCCAGCATGTGTATCTGAGATTTTCCACAAATGACAAAAACTTCTATAAATATTCAGGCATAATACTTCAATTTGAAGCATTTGGTAAGAAATAGTAAATTTAATTGCTTTATAATAAAGAACTTATAAAATACACTTTAGCAATGCTGAATAAATTGAAGAGTTAGAGAGTTATTATTGTTTTCCCAGGAAATACCTCATGTCCACCAGATTGGAAGGAATTAACTCCCTTAGAATGCTACAAAGTCATGACCCAGCCTGCCGATGGCCTGACATGGGCTAATGCACAGGAGTACTGTGGGTACAGTCTATCTAATCTGATTATATTGCCAACTGAAGACATTTTCACAGCATTTCAAGGTATGAACAAATTTTTCTTGGCTACCTGTACCGAATGCACAAATGAGCTTTTCTGATTATAATTTGTCCATCAGCTGTCTCTTGTAAGCTTTTTAGCTCACCTGAGCTGAAAGCTCAAGTGAGCTTTTCTGATCACATTTTGTCCGGCGTCCGTCTGTCTGTCCGTCTGTCTGTAAACTTTTCACATTTTCGACTTCTTCTCAAGAACCACTGGGCCAATTTCAACCAAACTTGCCACAAAGTATCCTTGGGTAAAGGGGATTCAAGTTTGTTCAAATCAAGGGCCACGCCCTCTTTCAAGGGGAGATAATTAGGAATTACTGAAAAAATAATGGCATCATTTAAAAATCTTCTTCTCAAGAACCATAGGGCCAGGAAAGATGAAACTCATGTGGAAGCATCCTTAGGTAGTGTACATTCAAGTTTGTTCAAATCATGTCCCCCGGGGGTAGGGCGGGGCCGCAATGGAGGATCAAAGTTTTACATAGAAATATATAGGAAAAATCTTTAAAAATCTTCTTCTCAAGAACAGCAAAGCCATGATGAGTCATATTTATATGGAAGCATCCTCAGGTAGTTAAGATTCAAATTTGTTCAAACCATGGCCCGCGGGGGTAGGGCGGGGCCGCAATGGAGGATCAAAGTTTAACATAGAAATATATAGGAAAAATCTTTAAAAATCTTCTTCTCAAGAGCAGCAAAGCCATGATGAGTCATATTTATATGGAAGCATCCTCAGGTAGTGTAGATTCAAATTTGTTCAAACCATGACCCCCGGGGGTAGGGCGGGGCCGCAATGGAGGATCAAAGTTTTACATAGAAATATATAGGAAAAATCTTTAAAAATCTTCTCCTCAAGAACAGCAAAGCCATGATGAGTCATATTTATATGGAAGCATCCTCAGGTAGTGTAGATTCAAGTTTGTTCAAATCATGACCCCCGGGGGTAGGGTGGGGCCGCAATGGAGGATCAAAGTTTTACATAGAAATATATAGGAAAAATCTTTAAAAATCTTCTTCTCAAGAACAGCAAAGCCATGATGAGTCATATTTATATGGAAGCATCCTCAGGTAGTGTAGATTCAAGTTTGTTCAAATCATGACCCCCGGGGGTAGGGCGGGGCCACAATGGATGATCAAAGTTTTACATAGAAATATAAAGGAAAATAACTTCTTCTGAAGAACTGCAAACCATGATTAGTCATTTTGATATGGAAGCATCCTCAGGTAGTGTAGATTAAATTTTGTTCAAATGATGACCCCCAGGGGTAGGGTGGGGCCCAATGGGGGATGGAAGGTTTTACATAAGAACATATAGAAAAAATATTTCTTCTCAAGAACAGCAAAGCCATAATTGGTCATATTTATATGGAAGCATCCTCAGGTAATGTAGATTCAAGTTTGTTCAAACCATGACCCCCGGGGGTAGGGCGGAGCCACAATGGAGGATCAAAGTTTTACATAGAAATATAAAGGAAAATATCTTCTTCTGACGAACAGAAAAGCTATGTTTAGTCATATTGATATGGAAGCATCCTCAGGTAGTGTAGATTCAAGTTTGTTCAAATGATGACCCCCAGGGGTAGGGTGGGGCCCAATGGGGGATGGAAAGTTTTACATAAGAACATATAGAAAAAATATTTCTTCTCAAGAACAGAAAAGCTATGTTTAGTCATATTGATATGGAAGCATCCTCAGGTAGTGTAGATTCAAGTTTGTTCAAATGATGACCCCTGGAATAGGGAGGAGCCACAATGGGGGATCAAATTTTTACAAAGGAATATATGGGAATTTTTTTTTTAAAATATTCTCAAGTACAAAGCCATTTGTTATATTGACATGGAAGCATCATCAGATAGTTTAAAATTCAAGTGCCCCCCCCCCCCCCCCCCCCCCCTCCGGTCTTTTCAATACTGAACTGATTGTGCTTTTGCCTAGCCAATGTGCTCAGGTGAGCGATGTGGCCCATGGGCCTCTTGTTACACTTGCCTTAGAACCTTTCGCCATTTTTATAAAACTTACCACATAATTTTCCCTTGTAAAGAGAATGCAAATATCTTTAAAAAATTTACATCACTTTGAAGGTGAAATTAATGAAGGCCCTTAAAATATTTTTTTCACAGGAATGTATGATAAAAATCTTTTTAAAATGTCAAAACTTTACTCATCAGACTCAATTCAAGTTTTCAAATTTTGAATTGACATAGAAGTCAGTGTAAAAACTTGTGCAAATATTTATTATGTTAATATATCTTATATTTGTAACTTCCTGTAGCCTATGCTGTCAACATGTCTGTGAGTAAAGTATGGATTGGTTTGAATGATATCGAGGTGGAAAACTCAATCAAATGGATCAGTGGTGCAACAGGGTACCCCCAAAACAGGTAAGACATGAGAATGACTTACTTTATAGCAATTGTTAAACTGTGTTTCCTTTAATTCTTAAATTAACACCCCTATTACCATTTGGCACCTTGTAGTTACAAGCCATCACTTAATTAAAAAGTTTCTTTGAAATGAGTACCAGTATTATTTAAGTACTTATAAATGTTACATATTTAGAGCTTTAAACCCTTTTATAAAATGTTTCTTCAGAGCTTGTGAAGGTGCTTTTAAAGGACAATTGGAACAAAGTTATCATTCATATTTGTAGACTAGACACATCGTCTGAGGCAGACACCAAGGATTGCGTCATCCATGATGCACAGAATCAGAGGTGGACCTTTAAATACTGCAGCAGGGACAAATTTCCTTTCGCTTGCCAAAGACACAAAGGTCAGCAGATATATGTTTTCTCTTGTCAGTCTAAATTAATACTGGAACTGCTTTGGAAAACAAAATGCTATAATGATAGAAGTCTTTTATTTGACATTTTTTTTTCTTTAATTTACACTGATAAAATCATATTAATTACTAGTAGTGTACATTAAAGAAAAAAATTTACCAAACAGTAGAGAATAATGATATACATATTATGTTTTTTTTTTAAAGTGAAAGAAACAGATTTATTTAAGGTACCAGAAGCAGTGGATAAGGCTGGTAAGCACTGAAAAATCTAGATATGTAGCTTTCATTTAAAGATCTGCTGCTGCACATAAAGCACTATCTATTCCCTGCAAATACTCCGTGTTAAGGACAGATGATACAAAAAAAAAAAAAAAAAAAAAAATAGATGTCTGGATTGGCATATATTTTTGGATCTAATTTGGTTGTAAATGATGCAAATAATAGATTTTAAAGTATTAAGAAATTTTACACTTTCTATGATGTTTAAAAATCTAACTTTCTGCAGCCATCCGTATTAATCTGTACAACTTTTTGTCTCTTCATATCCCATTATTGTGAAACTTTGAATGAAAAATTAAAAACTATGGGGTTTAACTCATATTTACTCATATAAACATGACTAATATTGTTATTTTCAAGATTTATGATAAAAATTGTTTGTATCATCTGTCCTTAATTAAGGGTGCAATTTACCTCCATTTTTACAGCATCTAAGATTTAAGATTTTGGAATAGGTCCATTATCATTTTCTCCTACTGGGTATATATGCCCTTAATTGACAGCAGCTAGCATTGATGATATATCTAGGGATACAAACTTCAGTATTCTTTGAGATGGTGTAAATGACTTTTAAGTGACTGGGTTAAAGTTTAAAGTTAAAGTTTAGATTAAGCATTGAATGATTACTAGATGTATCATTAGATAAACATGTACCTGGTATTAACCCTTTCTTTTTCCTTATTTTTTTTTTCTCAGTACAATCATTTTTATTTGTTCATACAAATTTTAGTAAATGATAATTTTTGGTAGAAATCATTATTTCTATAGCAGGCTTCTATGTTTAAAAAACTGTTTTATGGTAATTTCTGAGATGTAAAATTATGGAATATTTTTGTTTATGGGAGTCAATAGAATCCTTGAATTTGAAAATTTAATAATCTAGATGCATCCATTGAAGGATCCCAAAAATTTCTTACCCAAAATACTGTGGAATCATTTTAATTCACTGGGTTTGGGTGGGGGTGGAGGGTGTCAGTATTTTTGGGCAGCCAAAATTTTACTGGTTTGTTGGGACTTACCGGTAATTTCATGGGTAACTCATATATACAGAAGATTCAATGAACTGATACATTGACAAAGTTATTGATTATTGGGGAAGTAACTATGTCAGTGTATCAAATGAATGTAATGTATGGTGACCATGAAATCCACGTACATTGGTCCTCCCATGAACAACGATTATTACACAGTATTGCTTGTTATAGTGTAAATTTAATTTGTACACCTCCGTAATCAAAGATTCAGAATATATATTTTTTTTTAATAAATTATTTTCACACATCCAACTTAAGAAGGTCCCTTGAGTTGCTGTAATTTGTAATGAATATTAATTGCTGGTATACATACTTAGATGTTTTCATTTTGAAGTAATGTATTGTAGTAAGTTCTATGGGATAAGAATGCAATACAATGTATCCTCTTCATGTTATTGTTTATTAATTAATTTATGCAGAAAACACAGATCTAATTAAAAGTATTTATTACATATGTAATAATTAACAAAATAACAGGTACCATTATTAGGAAGACAATATCCAAGCAAATAATACAGTTGAACTTTGGTATCTCTAACTTCGATATCTCTAATATCGAAAAGTGTATTTTAACCTCAATATCTTGAACCCTCTGAAGTCTGAAGATTTTTTTCTCTGTCCCATGAAGTTGGAGATAATGAGGTTTGACTGTATATCTGTATACATGTATGTAGATTAGGATTTATTTATATAAAGTCTTTTAATTGCTGTACTTGTATCACTTCTGACTGCAATGACAACAGATGTACATAGCTTATGTACATACACTGTATATTTAGCAATATAGGAACTCTTTTGCACTGCATGTTATTGTACATATGTATACAGTAAAACATGCTTATAGCAAACACGCTTATAATGAATTGATGCTTATAGCGAAGTGATTTTCATTCCCCATGGGTTTTAAACATATTGTGAAGCTAACGGATATAACGAAATAAGTTTATAACGAAGCAAAATCGCCCATCCATGGCACTTCGTTATAAGCGTGTTTTACTGTAAATGTCTTAGTACCTGCATGTTATTCAGGCGCGGATCTAAGATTTTTTTCAGGGGGGGGGGGGGGAGGTCCACCGCTGTCAAAAGATTTCCAACCCAAAATTTCTTGACAAGCAAAAAAAAAAAAAAGAGATAAGTCCATGCATTCCCAAACGTGGAAAAAAAAACCTAACCCTATTTCATGGTGGTGGTGGTGTTCACATATTCAAAGGGAGAGGGTGATCAAAATCACATTTGATTTGCTTCAGTATATACAATTAATAACTCTGTAAATTTCAGAAGGGTCCAGACCCACCCCACCCCTCCTCTAGATCCGTGTATGTTATTTTACACTGTACATATGTAAACATGTCCGAGTACCTGCATGCAAGCACACACTGGTTGTGGAGGTCAACAGGATATTGTATTTCTTTATCTTTCAAATACATGTATCATCATGTTTTTTTTTTTATATTGGTAAAGGGTTATAAATAGTTTCATTGTATTATACATGTATGTATATATATTCTTGAGACTGCACCATTTAAATTCAAAGAGTCAGTTAATGCTACTTGTATTATAAAGTTACTGGAAATTTATCTCGTAGACTTTTTTTACTCTGGTCCAGTCCACAAGAATTTCTTTTTTTTCTTTTATTTTGATGACTATATTTAAAAGTATCCTTTATTTCCTTTCCTTTCCCCCTCCCCTCTATTAAATTCTGACCATGTCAAAACATTTTCTCTAAGAATTGTGACCATCAAAGGAATTTCCCTGGCACTTTTGCATGACCACAATGTGCATGTATAAAGATTTACTTATTCCATAAAAGAATGAGATAAATCATTATATATCTATTGTTTTATACTTTTAGATTTCAAATGACTTTTTTTTATTATGCATTATGTTCAGTGCTTTTTTAGCTCACATGAGCCGAAGGCTCAAGTGAGCTTTTCTGATCAAAATTTGTCTGTTGTCTGTCATCATTGTCATTGGCATTGTTGTTGTCATTAGCGTTGTTGTAAATTTTTCACATTTTCATCTTCTTCTCCAGAACTAATTTCAACCAAACTTGGCACAGAGTATCCTTGGGTAAAGGGGATTCAAGTTTGTTCAATTGAAGGGCCACACCCTCCTCCAAGGGGAGATAAGTACGAAATAGCGAAAAATTAATGGCATCATTGAAAAATCTTCTTCTCAAGAACCAATGGGCCAAGAAAGATGAAACTCATATGGAATCATTGTCAGGTAGTGTAGATTCAAATTTGTTCAAATCATGACCCCCAGGGGTAGGGTGGGACCACAATGGACGATCAAAGTTTTTCATACGGTAGGAATACATAGAAAAAAACTTCAACAATCTTCTTCTCAAGAACAGCAAAACCATGATTGGTCATATTTTTATGGAAGCATTTTCAGGTGGTGTAGATTCAAGTTTGTTTGAACCATGACCCCGGGGGGTAGGGTGGGGCCACAATGGACAATCAAAGTTTAACATAGGAGGATATTGGAAAAATCTTCAAAAATCTTTTTCTCAAGAACAGCAAAACCATGATTGGTCATACTTATATAGAAGCATCTGCAGGTGGTGTAGATTCAAGTATGTTCAAATCATGACCCCCTGGGGTAGGGTGGAGCCACAGTGGACGATCAATGTTTTACATAGGAATATATAGGAAAAATCTTTAAAAATCTTCTTCTTGAGAACAGCAAAACAATGATTGGTCATATTTATGTGAAAGTATCCTCAGGTGGTGTAGATTCAAGTTTGTTCAAATCATGACCCCTGGAATAAATAGGAAAAATCTTTAAAAATTTTCTTAACAAGAACAGCAAAGCCATGGTTGGTCATATTTATATGGAAGCATCCTCAGATAGTGTAGATTCAAGTATGTTCAAATCAGTAACCTCCAGGGGTAGGGTGGGGCCACAATCAAAGTTCAAACTTGTAGGGGAAAAAGTCACAGTCAAAAAAATATGTAAGCATCCTTAGTTAGTGTAGATTCAATTTTGTTCAATTCATACCCCCCCCCCCTCCCTTTTAGAGGTAGGTCGGGACCACTTATGCATTTAAGATTTTCAATACTAAACTGATTTTTGATTTTTTTCTAGCCACAGTGCTCAGGTGAGCGATGTGGCCCCTGGGCCTCTTGTTTAGTTCACCAGAGCTGAGAGCTCAAGTGAACTTTAAGATCACATTTTGTCCAATGTCTGTTTATCTAGCTTGCTGTCCTCAAGAACTACTGGGCCAATTTCAACCAAATATTCCACAAAGCATCCTTGGGTAAAGTGTTGTTTTTAAATGAAGGGTCATGCCCTCTCTCAAGGGGAGATAATTCAGACTTGGTGAAAATTTAATGGCATCTACAAAAAATCTTCTCAAGAACCGCTGGGCCAGAAAAGATGATTCCTTTTAGAAGCTTTATTTTATAGTGTAGATTCAAGTTTGTTAAAATCATGACCCCTGGGAGAAGGGTGGGGACACAATATGTGATCAAAGTTTTTACATATTAGGAATATGCAGAAAAAAATCTTTTAAAAATCTACTTTTCAAGAGCAGCAGAGCCATGATTAGTCATATTGATATGGAATCATGCTCAGGTATTATAGATTCATGTTTGATCAAATCATGACCCCAGGAGGGGAGGATAAGGGGGCACAATAGAAGGTATAGGAATAAAAAGAAAAAAAAATCTTTTAAAATCTTCCTCTTGTGAGGCCATCAATAAAGGAATTTTGTTTGGTGTACTCTGATCCACATTTATCAAGGTGTAGGTAGTGTGTGTTTTTAGATTATCGTACACATTTATAATTGTCAAAAAAATCAGATAAAATTAATTGTATTATGCACAGAACAAGTTGACAGAGCAAGTATTTATTACTATAAAAATATTTCAATCGAAATGTGTCTTAGAGGAATAATAAACCTTCAAAATGATAGTGACATTCTTAATTTTCTGCAAACAAAAAAACTTATAATTTAAAGTGCTTAAAAATGATTGGGTAGGGGCAGTTTTGATGGGTTGGTAGGAATACATCAAACAAATCATTTTTTATTGTTGGCTGATATGCAAAGCCATAATTAATCATATTGATATGCAGGCATTCTCAGGTAGTTTAGATTGAGATCACGGCACCCAGGAATAAATTGAGGCTACAATAAGGGATCAGAGTTTTACAAGGGAGCTAAAAATCTTTTCAAGAGTGGCAAGGCCATACTAAATCATATGAATAAGGCATTATAAGCAAAACCTTCAAAAGTTTTGTGGATTCAGATTTTTTTTTTTTTATTATGAACCCAGATTAGGGTTGGACAAAAATCGGAAATCTACATAATGCACATGTACAGGAAAAATTTCTTCAGAACAGGGGTCCTTGTTATAGTTTATTGATATTAAAGCATCTTAATGTTGTGTGGATTCAAATTTAATTAAATCATAGCCCTCCTAAGGCTAAGCTTTAGTCTACAACATGGAGTCAAAATTTAAAACAAAAAAATCTGCTGATGAAGAACAGCAGGGCCATTAGTGACTTGGGTGAGCATTGTGGCCCATGTGCCTCTAGTTTAGCTCATGCCCTCTGAAAATTATATAATAGTACATATGTCCCATAGCAGCCAAAAAAAAAAAATTCTGGAAATTAGTTCAGGTAAACTGTTTAGATTTAGAAAAGATCTATAGCCTAATCAATCAGATGATCTTGCAGGATTAGAAGATGATTTTTTGTCTTTCAGATTTTGAGCCTGTCTCATTACGGTGGGTGATAATTTTATCCATCGGCGGTGGTATTGTGTTCATCATCATAATAACTGTGATATATTGCCGAGTTAAACATATGAAAGCACAGAGAATTCGTGAAGGCCTAGAGAGGCGTCAGACGTACCAGCCTAGCAGCAATGACAGGAGACTCAGCAGGCCGGAGGAGCCAAGTGCCCCTCCTGAGGAACAAATGCCTTTGCCCTCTTATCAACCTCCCTCCATAGACCCTGACAGAGGGTCACTTCCCCCCTCATATGAGGAGTCACAGCGAAATAATTACATCACCAAGCCAACGTACATGTAACAAAAATAGGATTTATGTCAAGTCTGTTACTGAATGCATGTGTAGTGGACAGACCTCCACTGTAAAGATCACTATTGTAAAATGGTTTCCATTGTTTTTTCTTTTTGTACTTAGTTGTTGTTGATTTTGTTGTTGTTTTTGTTGAGCAAGAAAATCAATTACAAGAGAAATAACCAGTTTTGTTGTCTGTTGACATGAATTACATATGGACATTTTTTGGGGGTGGGTGGGGGTTGATTGGTTGGTTAGTTGGTGTGAATAACATTTTTAGTTTGATGCTATTAACAAATGAGCAAAACTTAAATCCCCTCTTGTAGACCAACTGTCTTCTGTTTTTTATGCTTGCTTTGTATTAAATATGTTATTATACATATGTGGTTATGCTTCTGTTAAGGTATTGTTTTAAAGTTGTTATATGACTGAAAAACCAGGCCTTAATACTATTGTGTTAATGAATTACGTTTTGTAATTTATATTTTTGTTATTATCATTAATTTATTCTCTTACACAGGAAATGTCACGTATAGCTTTTGTATTATTAGGTAATTATTTCCCATCGTAATTTTTTTTGCTTCTTTGCTTTATTTCTTTAGAGAGTATGCAAGATATTACCATACTCATCAACATATGATGCTCAAAGACTTTTTGTAAAAAGTTATACATATCAATAGGTGCCATAGTTTTTTCTGCTATCTGTGAAGTTCTCTGAAATAAGTTGCATTGCTTACTTTATTGAATATTATTTTGCAAAAATTGATAGTGTAATTTAACTGAGTAAGAATGTGACCCCCTGTGATTTCAGAGGTGATGGTTTCTCATTCCTTTCCATGGGCGGTCTCCCTTGGCTCTGCGGGAGCATCTCTATTTATCGTCTTGATTCTCGTCTTTTGTGTGCGTAGGCATGTTCAGAGGAAAGGAAATAATAATTATCTCACCAATCAGGAGGAGAATGACCGACTTACCATGGAAAATACAGAAAGAAACAGTTGGACTAATCAAAATACAGAAAGAAACAGAATGGCAAATTAAAATACAGAAAGAAACAGACTGGCCAATCAAAATACAGAAAGAAACAGAATGGCCAATCAAAATACTGAAAGAAACAGACTGACCAATTAAATAATTGCTATCTCCAGTGTTGTAGAAACTGGATTATCCCTCCACCTCCGTATTCATGAAGAGTCTAGCAGTAAACTCAAAACCTTCATAATACTGGGTTAAAACTTTTAAATAATTATAATAAAAAAAATCTGCATCATAAAGTAGATGATATGTTGGACATTAACAAAGAAGTGGGGAATGTCTTGTAGCATGTTGGCCTTTTGTATTTTTCTCTCAAATCTTTATAATACTCTATACAAATTTGCTCTTGGTAATTTTTGTATTCTCTGACCAAAATTAGGTATTTTCTGTGTAATTTGTTGTTGACTTTTTTCGAAAAACAGAAATATATAGTCAGCAAAGATACAGATGTGTAGCAAACTTTGTTAGGAATACTTAAATGTAGTGAAGTTCTGTTTTCTCAATGATCTGTTTTCAGCTCACCGAAGGCTCAAGTGAGCTTTTCTGATTAAAAAATATGTCTGTTGTCTGTCATCTTCATCATAAACTTTTCACATTTTCATCTTCTTCTCCAGAGAACCAAAATTGGCACAAAGTATCCTTGGGTAAATGGGATTCAAATTTGTTGAAGTGAAGGGCCACACCCTCCTCCAAGGAGAGGCAATTAAGAAATAATAAAAACTTGATTTGGTAATTAAAAAAAATCTTTTCAAGAACAGATGAAACTTAGATGCAAGTTTCATGACAGTGTTAAGGATCAAGTTAATTCAAATCAAGACCTCGGGGAGGGGGGAGGGAGGTAGGATAGGGCCATAATGGGTACTCAAAGTTTTACATAAGAATATACATGTATAGTAGAAGTCTTTAAAAATTGTATTCTCAAGGATAGCAAAGCCATGTTTACTCATATTTATGTGGCAGCATCCTCAGGTAGTGAAGATTCAAGCTTGTTCAAATCATGACTTCCTAGGGTAGGGTGGGGCCAAATATATGATATAAGATTTACATAGGAATATATGGAGAAAAAATCTGGTGAAGAACAGAAGGGCCCGACTTCAGATGAGCACTGTGGCCCATGGGCCTATTGTTTGTTTATCCACTGTTTGCAACAATTAGTGAGTTCTCACAAAGAAAACCACATTTTCTGTATTCAAAGCCAGATGTCAGATAGAACTTCTCAAGATGGTTACAAGAATGTTAAGATTGTGATGGAATGGTAGTGTGTGAAGTCAATTGTAATTTATTTGCATTTTTTTGTATCTGGAGGACTTGAATGAATCTGTACTGGGCAGTAAATCATTGTTCAGGGCATAATTTGTTTGATAGGAAATCTGTGATGTGTAATGATAGTGCCTCTTTAATGTTTTATACAACTGTCATAAACTTAATGATACATTTGTAACTTTATACCAAAGTGTGATGTATTTGCTCATTTTGTAACTTTTGTAACCTTGGTTTTGTACAATAAACACTAGTCAATTGTTGTATTCTCATTTTGTTATACTGTATTATACAGCATTATAGAAGCATGCAAAGTAAAATTTGAAGGCACCAGAGCTTGGTTTTCAAAGTACTTCAACAATACTGGATTTTTATGTAGCTTTTACCTTCGGGGCACCTGCATGATGATTTGCAAGAAAAGCATACCATTTCCTAAAGGATCCTGTGACCTTCTCTTATCTACTCTTTTAACAATTCAAATGTCAACTGATGCAGATTTTATTATGTATAATGCATTTGTAAATCCACAATACAAGAAGGTCATCATTAAGGTCAAGGCCAGTCTCTATATAAATGTATCAAAATGTAAAAGTGTATATTTTCTGTCAGCCATGATGTTCAAATTGCTCTGTTGGTTATTTTTTACCAAATTCACTTCGTTAGAAACAGTTTTTAGACATTTCATAATGAAAAAAATCACCCAACGTACAAAATACTCCTTACAATATTCTAAAGAAGGAAATTAATTACTATATGAATTCTCTCCTTAAACAAAACACTATCTGGTCTATTACTAATAGATCATGGTTAGAGGGATTAATTCGATAGAAGAACCAAAGTTCAAAAGCATATTAAGTATTAAAACACATTCTATATCATAGAGATTTTCCTAACAACTAACAGGATTTTTTTTAGCTGTTATTAAATGGAGCTTTAGCAAAGTGATGCAACCCCCCCCCCCCCCCAAATATCCTGTAGTTCTATCCAGTTAAAAAAATTTCCAGGAAATTGAATTACACAAGCCCTAGGTAGATAACCTTGCATGGATGAGGCATTTAGGGATGCACATTACTAAACTATACATTGACAGACTTGCTTCAAATGGTGGATCTGACCTACATTTATTGAAACAGGTTCATTCCAAAGTAATTATAACTATACGGCCTACTTGGATAAACCTTGTATAGATGATGCACATTACAGACCTTGGTTTAGTTGATCTAACCTACATTTTCCTGGTGAACGTTTCAGAGCTGGCCCACTGTAAAACTTTGATTGCCTGTTGTGGGCCACCCTACCCCTTGGGGTCATGATGTTAACAAACCTGAATCTGCACTAACTGTGAATACTTCCATATAAAAAATATGACTAATCATGGTTTTGCTGTTCTTGAAAAGAATTTAAATTTTCCCCCCTATATATTCCTATGTAAAACTTTGATCGCCCATTGTGGCCCCACCCTACCCCTGGACATACTCCATACAATGTCAATACTCCAGGACACTTTTCCCTTCAAATAATGGAGTGCTTCTTGAAAAGAAAAGTTTAAGTTTTCTGTGTAAAACTTTGATCACCTACGATAAATGAGTCAAAGGCCACTTCATAATGACTTCTCAGAATAATAATGCGAGACTTTTTTTATTTTTTATTTCAGATATTAAATCTCATTGTAATGTTAGGAAGAAATTGCCAGACTTCCAATCCTTTCACCTTACATGCATGCATAGTAAAAAAAAAAGTAATTCTTATAAATTTTTTGTCATGATATGTTTTAAATCCAAATGGAAATTCATTTTGTAAGCATCTTTCATGATGCTTTTTTTTTTCTCTATCATAAGAAAATTTTATTGCACATGCACTTTTCACGTTAAAAAATAAAAGTCATAAAATGTTGAAGCACACTTCATGTCTGAAGTTCAATGTGACAAATGTTATCTTTCATAGAAAGGAAATGCAGATAAAGATGTGACAAAGTAGGATCTCTTCACATCCAGGACAGGTGAAAGTTATCAATTATACATTCTTCAGTGTTAAATAATTTACACATTCAATGATTTGTACTAACGTTACATAATAACAACCTGAGATCCAACATGTATAAATTACCTATCACTCGTTTACTAATGCCAGAAGAATTGGAACTGCGGGTAAAATTTGTTCTTCAATTAAAAAATGATATGCCGTATAATTTTTTCTCTTTTTTATGTAAAACATCTCCTGAAGTGAAATCCCTGAATGTTTAGATTGGCATTGAATTTTCTGGTTACATCATGTAGTACTGTATAAATGAGGAAGATTGGATGATGAATGTCATAAACCTGATTTCATGGAATCTATGGAATGATAATATGATTGAAGCTCAAATATTCAGCACAAAAATGACTTATTGCCATAAAGAAATACAAATTTTGACACTCAAAAAAACCCCAAAACAAAACATTTCAATCACTAGGCATTCAATGACTAGCAATGCACAAATTCATATAAGCATATTTTGGAAAGACAATTGAGTATTCTGGACTAGAGTGAGGTTGTCATCATAAATCATCACGGTCAAAGTCCCAGTCGTCATCGCCTTCTCCTTCACTGCTGCAGTCTGCATCATTGTCACTGGAAAGGTCTGGAGTGGGTACGTGAATTGGTATAACTATCCCTCCCTCCTCGCTGATTGTCGCAGACAACCACTCGTTTACTCGTGATACAGCTTGGTCGTGAAAGTCTAAATCCTCCAACATAGACTCCGAATGGAGTCGTGACTTGGTCATTGGTTCAATAACCTGAAAGTGTTTTGGCAGATCAGGAGCTGAAGCAGATCCTGGTAGAGATTTCAATGGTTTGGGGGCCTCCCCTTCATCACTGTGACTCTGTGTTACAGAGTCCTCAGAGAAATGAACTGTGGGTAAGATAACATGATGTGAGGGGGGAGGAAGTGTATGATTGGATAATAGGAGATTATTTTTAACTCCACATGTTTCCATCACAGATGGCACTGGTAGATCATCTGCATCGTCACCATGGTGACTCCATGGTGGAGGAATAGTGTCCCCAGAAGCATGACTTTTGCTGTCAGTATCATCCATAGCAGCATTTAATTTAGCCACACATGCATCCAAACACTTTTCTACTGGATCATCCTTTTTGAAAAGATCAAAAATAGAGGTATGATTTTGCCTGGGTTCAGGAATTAAGGTCACTTCAGGGGAAGCATAGGGGGATCCTGATTCTTTCAGGTGGCTGTAGGAGAGATTGTTAACCCAAGTAGGAGCCTCAGCAACAACTGGAGCACTGTCATCTGAATACGCCAAGGAAGAGGAAAAAGGGATCGGATCCCTTGGGAATTTTTTCCATGGGAAAACTGATTCAGCTGCAGTTACTATTGGTTCCATTGTATTTGGCACTTCACAATTAATGCCCACCTTAATGCTTTCCTGAGCAGGTGCCTTTTTCCAGGGTAATGGTAGTTGTAATGGTGCTGCTTCAATGGGGGGTTCCCCCTCATTTGCATAGGTGACTGTGGAAGGTTCAGAAATATTTTCCCCAATGGAATAGCTTTCAGATGAGAAGTCAGAATTTTCTTTGATCTGGTCAACTCCATGAGCTAATGATAAAAAACGAAACACTCTAAATCTAAAGCTTCATCTAAATGCACTTTAATGAAACTAAATATTCTTTGTCATAGGATTATCTTAACATAAAGAATACATAATATACAATTATTTAATATTATATAATAATTTAATTGTATAAGCATTAAATCTCAATTATATAAATCAAAATATAAAATAAATCAATTTTCTTGAATAGCATATAAAATACCACATCACAACAAAAGAAAAATCACAACATATATACAGAAGTATTAGTTAAACAGGAATTAGTATACTGTTAGCATAAAGACAGGGGTTACCTTAATATATTATATACTTAGGAATTAGAATAGCACACAGTTATTTTGTGTTATAATACAAGGCACACTTTAAGTCCAGGTAGTGACTTTAAAAGACTCTTGCATGGAAGTTATCAGTGGTTCATATTTCTTTCAGAAAACACGATCTTTAATCCTCCCTCAAATGACTTATCCTTTTACTCTTTGTCATTTTTTTTAAAAAGAAGACAATATGTGAGTAGATAAATATTCAGAGACATTGTAAATGTATCATTCATGCCAATAAATGCTCAAAATAAAACATAAACAAAATATAAATGCTACCAGTTTGTAAAATTGTCAGCTAGCAAATAAATACTAGTAATGGGAAAAGTTATTAGTAAACACTATAAATAAATTTAATGTATACCAAAACATGAAGATGCTGCATATTTTAAAAGTACCCTGTTGCCTTACTAATAATAACAGTCACCAGTAAGTACAGTGTACTATCCAGATATATATCTACTAACTACTAACAAAAATAGACTTTCTGAAGTAAGACTTAGACACCAACTTATTTAATCAACAATGAAACCATTTTCACAAATGATTCTCATAAACAGCAAATTCATGCATGATATAATTACACAAATGCAACCAGAAAAAAAAACCCAACCACTCAGCTAAATAAAAGCCAAACACAGATGGCACATGCTAGATAGTCCACATCAATCACAAGAATTATTTACCATGGTCCAGTGGCTGTTTAAATCTGATAGTCACATTCTCAAATTCATCACTGGTTTCACCTAAAAATTAAATCAAGTTATCTACTTTTCAGCAAGGTAAAAACCTCAAAATAGCTAGAAATCTCACCATAATTCTCTTAGCGTTTTTTAAAAAATTTTGTTTTAAATTTTTTCAAATTATACATCTTACTTTTTTCACTTCCTTTACGGGCAGTATCGCTACCTCCCCCCACTGGAGGTGATGACCTTGGCCTCTCTATGACAACAGTTTCCTTGACAACAGGATCCTCAACACACTTGTAGACTGGAGGGTCCTCCATGTTTCCTGTCAGTGACTCCTACAAAGAAAGGGAATTATTCCACTGTACTTAACAAGTAATCATCTTGGTGTCACCTAGCTAGTTCATTCTTACAGTACGCTGGAGTCATTGTGGTATAGTCATATGGGAGTGTTATTGCCTTTCTAAATTTGCAAATTATATACAGATTCTCCGCATTCTACAGTTTGTTTCATTGTAGTTTCAAATAATATTTCACACTAAAAATTTCCTCTCATAATTATTCCATGAATTATATAATTTACATTAAATGAATACTGGATTATACTATGAAAATTTTATGTGACAAGAAGATTAATTTTCAAGATTAACTTTATACATTATAAATAAATCACACAATGTTTTTTTTTTCCTCCATTAAAAAAAAAGAAGATATTTCTTACATTTTGATTTGTAGGCTCCACTTGCTCGTTGGCCATGTTTTCTGCTCGGAAACCTGTGTTTACAAAGCCTGACGGTGTCCTTTTGTACACATTGGATGCCCTACATCAGAAGACAGAGGACAAGGTCAGACAACTGTGTCATAAATATGGCATCCCTTCTTATGTAGGCAAAAGTAACTAATTTAAATGTCATTCAGATAATTTCTCTCATCAACCGAATTTTCAAAATTTTAATTCATTGCACCTCCCTCTATAAATCACACCTGATGGCACTATTACGTGTCAGTTATTTAACATATATAGGACTGTTATATTTCCATTTCAAGTCTCCTTAAGCCAAGTCTTACTAAAAGTAAATACGTAATAAAACCTTCACATTTTTTTATCAGCCTTAATCAGAATATATAACTCTGCCCAAGGTTTTCTTCCTTAGCTTTCCTTTGGAGATTAGGTGATAACATTGATTTGCCTTTTTTTCAATCCATGAGATACATCTTATTGGCCGTATGTCTACCCCTGATTGATAAACTGAGACAGCTTCTGTACCCTCCAAGAAGAACTAATGTTACGTAGCTTATGTAATATTTTATTTATTCCTTGGGATCTGTAGTTATTGATTGCTTGTGATATAACTGATCCAATATCAGCCAGGCTTCAAAAAAATTCCTTTGAATATTGTGCACTTATTTTCCCTAGAAATTTGTTATTAATAAAACCTTCACGCATTCTTTGTTCTTATTTTTTTTTAATTATTCATGGACTTGTTTCAACATTTAAAAAAAAGGATATATGAGAATAGAAAAATGGTACTTTTAACTTTCTGATGAAAATTTCTCATGGCTAAGATTTGTTATTTTAAAAGTACATCAATTAAAGCTACTGGTTATATATGTAAGAAAGGACACATAACCCCTTGTAAAAGTTCCCTCATCAAACTATCACTCTACCAAAGTCCCACTTACAAGCAAACTTGTTATTTCCTGCATTTGATCAAGCATTAAAGTCTTAAATAAAAGAATAATCATTTCCTCAATTAGTCAATTACCTGGCTAATCAAAAGATGTCTATTTGAACTAATCAGCAGAGAACTATGGTTATACATGTAAAAAAAAACAAACACAAAATCAGGCCTAAATAGACCCCCAATCCCAGAGAGTGCACAAGTCATTCAGGTATCTAGTACAGATTAAACACATATACCTGTTTCACATGTTTGTCTTTAGTTAAATAATGAATTCCTACCCTATGATGTGTGACATTTGTCATGGTCCACTTAATGTTGGGTTTAACACTTTTGACCTGTCAAGTAAACAGTCTTACTGACACAAATAAACACATCTCTGTCCCCAACATTCATTACTTCATATTCTATGTGCACAAATATACCATATGACCTTAATATACACTCCAATCCAAAAGGGCACTTTGCACAGAAATTTGCACACAAATATGATTTTAATGTGCTGTAGTTTAGAACTAGTAAACTTCTGTAGGGGTGAATGCCCGACAGATTAAAACATATATACGTATATACAGCAGGAGGCAATGATGCAATTTCTTACCTTTATGTTATTTTAATCACTGGTAATTTTTGTTTAAAAAATGTCTTAATCCTAATGAGAATAGTAAGAAAAAAAACTTATTTATCCTCTGTTTGGTCACCAGCATATATTTATTTGTACATAAATCAATCTGTTCCTTTATGCTATAAGCTGATAATGGGATATATTGGTGTTTACTTTTTTTGTTTGGATAATCATTTATCTTGACCCCTAGTTCCCTTGCTACTCAAAAACTTTACACTTAGTGACCATTTCGAATTTTTTTTTCAAGTCAGGTAGTACCTTAATTAATGTTTATAGTATTTCATAAAATAATAATTAAAACATACATTTTTAGAATGGAGAAAAGACAGGACAAAAACCTTGAAATATCAAAAAGAATGAAATAGAGATAAAAGTGCATGGATTGCTTGAAACCAACTTTTGCCATGACTGGTGAAAAGGTCTCCCAACAACTGATTTTCAGACACTAATCTTGATAAAGTTAATGCTATTATCAGTCTGAAATTTATCTTCCTTGTTTTTCCTCCATTGGTTTAGCTAATCTAAATTTATGGCTGCCTAAAAAATGGGAGATTTTTAGGTGCAGACAAAAACACAAAGGTGAAAGCTAGAGAGGTACCTGGTTCTCTTTCAACATTTGATAAAAGACACAAGGAATGCCATCATAAACAAACAGTGTATTTATTGCTCTCCTTTCAACTAACCTTGCTAAAACAGCAGCATGGCCAAAATCAACTACACAAAGATCAAAACCCAGCTGTTTCAATTTATATGTACTAAACATTTCCTTTGTTCTAAAAATATATGATGAGAAAGCTTACCCAGAGAAAACCAGTGGCTTTTTTTGGTTGACGTCCACCTCATTTCCGACCTGGTCAAGTGCCTCAGCAACACTAATGGTGTGGTAGACCTCCAGAACTTTCTTGGCCTTTGTTTGGGGGGCCTCTTTGTTAAACAGGGGTTTCAGGTAGTTATGATTGAAATGCCGAAACCTGTAAATAAAACTCTAGATAAAGGACTCTATCAGGTGACCCTATAAAGGGGCATTAGGTCATATCGGGTAAAGAAATCTATAGGTGGATCCAAAGCTCTTTCCTTCTTCACATAAACACATATACACTAATCACAGATCCTCATGAATTACTAAACACAACATGAAAGTTGATTTAAATAAAAATTAATCAGTGTGCTTTGAGAGACTTTCACCTTTTGTTCAATGACTGCACTATGACCTTTTCTAGTACCTGCTCCTTTAAGAGTCCTAGCTGACAAAGCTATTAACATATGTGCTGGGAAACAATCTTATAGAGTTGCACAAATAATAAATAATATGTATTTAATGTATTCCCCTGTCAAAAGTTCCATATCAATCACTGGAATTTGACGTCTATTTTTTTTATTATCTAGCCCTAATGAATTACGTACAGAAATGCACATCAATATGAATAATAAACCAAATATTACATATATACTTTCTCAGTAAGTGGCCAATATATGCTGAATACAGGAGGTCCTGTCTTTAAGTTGATTTCCACCCATAATTTCACAATCACATCAAAATCCATTTCATATATAATTGAGCCAATAAAATGCACTCAAAGCCTTTTTTTTTTTTTTTTTTTTTTTACAATTCTAAGTCCAACCACCCTATTATTCCAACAGAGTCTCCTGAACAAAGATATTTACATCAATATTATTGGCAAGCAAAACTGCTGTGGGAAAGAACTAAAAAGGCAATAGACAGCACACAGAAAAAAGAAATTGATTCTAATTATCAAATACTGAAAATCTCATGATGCAATGAAACCCAGGACATTAAATACACTCTGGAGACATCAGGAACACTAACTGTGGGGAAACTCCTGTACATATTAATGATCCCCATTGTTCTCTCTTTTGCTGACACCATACTGTGTGTTTCTGAATTGTAAATATAACCTTGACATATTCATTATGTTTTCAAATAATGTTAACAGCAGTTTCTTTTGTGAATATGGGTTAGAAGAAGAAAACACTTAACACATTATTTAACCTGTTCCCACAACCTTGGTGAACTAAAACTTTGGGCCTCTTCACAACAATAGGGGGGATAATAACTAAACAGTGACTCTCAAACAATAAAGCATGACTTTGAAAAACAAATTGCATATCCTTTTTTTCTGACATCAGTTTAAGCTTGCACATCTTAAAAATTTAGATCAATAATGCTGATGGGGGGGAACTGACAAGTGAAAGGGAAGATTGATGTATCGGCAATCTTCTGCGTTTTCTTGAGCAGGAAATTGAGTAGAAGGACACTGAATCTAGCATGTCATCAGTATTTTGAGCGTCACTATTTCAAATAAAAAATGAGGTTTTCCTGAAGCTATTTGATTATTGTTTATGAGAAAATATAAATAACATAATAAATTATTACTTCTACCAAGGTTGTTTCAAATTGAGTGTACGTTAGCAGAACTGCGCACAAAATTATATAACCTAAGTAAACCTCACAACTGATAATTTGGGAGACATCTATGGAGTGGATCTGGGATTATTTGGGGTATAGGTCTTTTGGTGAATTGATTGGCTTGTTAGAAATTCATAGAAACAGATATTTCTTTTTCTAAAAATACTCTCACTTAAGGCACACTAACAATCTTTAGGGATTAAATATTTATGGTAGTGTGCTGACAGAGCCTAATCAGTTATCTATTCGCCTGAAATGTAATACTCTGAGACAGCAAGTTTAGCTAAGCTTAGGTATATATTTTGAAGGTACAAACTTAATGTCTGATCTCTGCTCCACATTGTAATTTTAATTAGGCTACATATGTAAATATGAAGTCTTAATGAACTATGGGCCTATATATTAAAAGTTTAATTTTAAGGTTGAAATTTTGGAAAACTTTCACAGAAGTATATAATAGGTCAAGGACAAAGTTCAAATTAGGCTAACACTACATGTTCATATGATAAACCTGTGATCATTATATACGGAAATCTACCCAGGATCAAAGGGATAATCCTTTTATTGTGAGTTAAGTGGATTAAATAATGAACTTTGTCCACTGCTAAATCTCCATACAGATTTCTATAGATCAATATAACCCCTGATTAAGGTCAGAATCTACACAGACTTTTGGACAGAAACCTGGTCCAATACTCAATGTGACGTCACAAACATCTACTGTAACTGTAATTTCCACATTATTACACAGAATAGTATAACAGATCGTGCATTTAATACCAAAGCAAATCGCAGTTTTGCATTACCAAAACAGATCGCAATTTTACATTAATTACTGAAAAAATTGATACATGTGTATTGCAATACCAAAAAATTTTCTTTATATCATTACTAAAATTTAATTAATTAGTTATATACCAAATTAATCTACCCATTAGCTGTACTGATGACCACATCTCATTATGATATGAAATAGGAGTTTTAATGATTTTAACTGATAATCAGCACTATTTCACTAGAATATATTTTTACTGTTGATTAAATTAATGTTTATAATCTTCAACATAAAAATTCACACATCAGCTGCTGTGAAGTACTTGTAGCCCAAAGTGGAATATAATGCTGGTGTGACCTGTCATGACAAGACACAAGATACATGACCAGTGTTTGTAAACTTTTTCTCCCTCACTTGTAGACCTCAACCGGTATCTCGTTTCAAATTTTTGGTAATGATATCTGATATTCTTTCGTACATGAAGGAAAATTTTTAGTAATGATAACTATTAACCAGTTTTTAAAAATGTTCAGTAATGCATTACAGTTTAATTAATAGATTATTACATCTTGATACTGTGAATATAAACTTTCACCGAATTTTAACAAGCAACTGAGCTAGTAGTGGTTAAATCTGAAATACAGAAGACATCCCGAATCCCCTCCCCAATAATTTCGCCGATATAATACAGAACAGTATAGAAAACATAATGAACGGGGGTTCGGGGTTTCCACCAATAATTTTGCCGATATACAGAAAAGTATAGAAAACATAGCTACTATATACTTGTGCCCCCTCAATGACAACATCTGATGACCTTTTTTTCTGTTGCTTGTCAAGGAATTTCTGATAGTTGATAGTGCTCACCCACAACTGAAAAATGTATGGTTGTGCCCCCTAAACTGAAATTGCTTCCTACAGGCCTGAATAAGGATCAGTATTGAGGGGATTCCTGGCCATTCATGTGAAGGGTGGGGGAATCTTTTCTTACATTTTGAAATTATAATTATTGAATCTCATTTATGACCACTATTTTGTAAATGGTTCAGAGAATTAAAGGAATTACAGGAAGATCCTGTATTATCTTGTGGGATTAATAAGATTAAAAATCCCCTGTTACTACATGTATAACTACATGCAGTGACAACAACAATACAGAAAAACAGATGTGGTGATAATTAAAATCCTACACAAAACAATATCATCGCTGGTTAAGGATGTCCATAACAGAAAATTAATGAAGACAGAAAACACTAGGGGGTAAATAGACTTAATGACCAAAAATCCTGTTTATATTGCAAATACTATGTGCTGTATTGACAACAACATGTGACAAATTCATGCTAGACATCACAGACACAATTACCAGTCATCAACATATAACGATCAATACCCTCAGTCTATAATTCTACAAAAACACGACATTTCACAACATTACATAGTTTAATAACACCTGGTTTCCCCACACCCCATTACAAAATGTTAAGTAGATAATCTACTCACTTGATCCGCATGAGGTTGTGACTGGAATGTTTTGTAATCCCCTCCATTCCTGCCATAAGATGGTCCATGAACTAAAAAAGGGAGAAGTTATTAATACTTCTATCCCTAGAAATCTATTTGTTCCAGAGTTACACACACTGGTGATTTAATAAAAAAAGCAGGAAAGAGATAGCTACATGTCCTTCATACTTTTATAAACACAATAACTCAGTACAGGAAGGAAAGTGTGCTGAACTAAAAAGTCGTGCAAGTGCATAATATCAATAAATTTAACTTCAGTAACAACAGGCATTAAATCTTTCACGAACCTTCTGTAATTCACAATAATATATATGTATAATCACATCCCTATTCCATCTATAACATCATTATTCAATTTGATGTCTTACACAGTGTACATTGTTCATTTGCAATAAATTAACATGATGGCAAATTAAACTCACAAAATATTATCTCTTATTCTCAATCTTTTGAGGGAAAAAAATGCATTAAGTACTCACTGATTCTTGAATTTTCTCTGTCATTCTTGGATCATTGTTTCCCTCTTTTTTCACTTTGAGAGCATTCACAACAGGTTTAATGGTGATTCCCTGTAAAAGAACACAGTAAACATTAGTCTTAGCTGTCCCCTGAGTGTCCTCATCAGTCCTCATTAGTCCTAGATGTCCTCATCCATCCTCCCACTCACAGAAATGACAAACTCGAGCCTTATACATAGGACAACATTGATTTTGACGGTACATGAAACTACAGCATGCTCACAAGGTCACTTCCTTTCGTGCTACATCAGCTGAGTTTACACTTTATACAATAACAGCCAGATATTGTGTAGTATCAGAGGAAAACAAAAATTATAGAGAATCTAACCTCAGTACTTAAGCTACCCTCGCCATTTCTTCCCCATTCTCTGGTGTCGTTACAACAAAGATATACACTCATGCAGGAAATGACGACGTAAAGGGCTTTTGAATTACTACCACAGCAAGATTTAAATACTATAATACATATATATCACCCACGTCTGACCTGCCTTACTCAGAAATTACTGGAGTGAAACGTATTTAAGAGCCTACCCCAGTGTAAGCTTTATGTTAGAGTTTTTACTTTGTACTTTATAGAATCATGACTATTGTGCTTTAATAAACTCTGTTATATCATTAAGAGATTATACCCACAATGAATACGTGGATAATGTAAGCCCCCATGTGGCTCTGATACTTGTAGCTGACTAGCTTGTAGATTATAACCTATGCATTTACCAAAGCAGGCTCCTGAATTGCCTGAACTTTTGAAGTTTTAGCAAGAAATTCAATTCTAAATACATGTATATTATAATAAGTATTGATTTACTGGTTACATGTTTCCTAACTTCATATTTTGATAAAAAAAGATACTTTAAAGCTCTATTGACAATAAATAGTAAAAATTAATTTTAAAAAATCAAAAGAATTTAAAGAAATAATTGTACAGAATTGTTAATACATGAAAATCAAACTGAAGAAAATGAGGCAAATGTATATATATTTTCTAATTTCTAGGTCATCAAAACTTGATGGCAATGACACCATTTGGTAATTGCTCTATATAATTAGCTAGGTTAATATAAGTTTACAGATAACTGGCACACATAAATCTAAATCATATAACAGCATACATCTCCTGCAAAGGTATATTTAATGCAATCTCATTGTTCTGCTTCTAACTTTATATCGCCTTTGTTGATTAAATTAATAAAAAAAAATTATTGGCAATCCTTTGTATCCTGATCAAACTCAGACTTCTGGTTACCCAAGCTTTATTAAAACAATTCAGTTAACACAAAATAATCAATGACTTGACAACAAATCCTTGGATCTCCCATTAAACTCACTGGACACTAAAAGCGAACATCTTTCCTTACCTTTAAGTTTCCAACCCCAAGCAAGTGTTTTTGTTGTTCACTAGTTTACTATAAGACAAAGCAGTAAATGCACTAGTATTAACACCTACTAACCCTCTACCAGATCTTGTACACTATCATGTATTCTGGTGCCCAGCACATATTCTAAATGTCAACAACACTAGTACTTTTAACAAAAGCCTTGTTTTCTACCCCTATACAAAAGCCATGCAATCAATAAATGAACTAGGGGTCTAGGTTGCTGACAGCATAAACTGTCTGTTCATTGACCTTTGCTTTAGAAGCAAGAGATCATCTATCTCAATAAGTCTTGAATTTTAAACTATTGAACTTTGGGATATAAGTATTCACACTCTCTAGGAATTATATACAGTCAAACCTCATTATCTCAAACTTGATTGCACCAAGAAAAAAATTTGAGATATCTGAGGTCTCGAGATATCCAGGGTAAAATACTAAGGAATAAGCGCTTGGGACTTCAAAATTACTTCAACATATCCGTGGTATTTGATATATCAGTGTTCGAGATACCGAAGTTCAACTGTAAATATTTCTTAATCACTAGTTAAAATCAAATAAAGATGTGTTACATAATGTTAATTTCAAATGAATGAATTTCTTTGTGGTTGAAAAATCTTATTAATATGGAACCTTTCCATTTCATTATTATTTCTGAATTTTAAAATGCTCTTACTTGTTTATTTTCAAACATTTAAATGTAACCCTAACAAACAAAGTTTCAAATTTCAAGCGAGTTTACAATGACTAAGCTTAGTGCACCTTGAAATTAGATGAGTACGTATTAAATAATATTTTTGAAAAGAACAACCAAAACAAACAAACAATCAACATCAACCAAAAAAATCTACATTAAATTTATTTAAAAAAAAAAAACACTGCATTTTTGAAGCCTGCTTTTGTTATTATGATTTTTCTCGGTGTTGAATCAATCATACTTCAGACAAACACTGAGAAGACCATACTGATTTCAGAAAGCACGCGAACAACCTCTAATCTACCCTCGCAAAACAAGCTCATGTAATGCAGAAGTGAAGTTAAATGAATGTAACAAGAGGCCCATGGGCCACATCGCTCACCTGAGTAACTTTGGCCATGCTGTTCTTTACCAGATTTCCCCCTTCTAATACTTATTGTGGCCCCGCCCTACCCCTGGGGGTCATGATTTTAACAATTAAAAATCTACACTATCCCAGGATGCTTCCACGTAAGTTTCAGTTTTTCTGGCCCAGTTGTTCTTGAGAAGATTTTTCTTACATATTTCAATGTAAAATTGGATTCCCTATTGTGGCCCCGCCCTACCCCCAGGGGTCATGATTTTTATAATTTAGTATCTACACTACCCCAGGATGCTTCCACATAAGTTTCAGTTTTTCTGGCCCAGTTGTGCTTGAGAAGAAGATTTTTCTTACATATTTCAATGTAAAACTTGGATTTCCTATTGTGGCCCCGCCCTACCCCCGGGGGTCATGATTTTTACAATTTAGCATCTACACTATCCAAGGTGCTTCCACATAAGTTTCAGCTTTTCTGGCCCAGTTGTTCTTGAGAAGAAGATTTTAAAAGATTTTTCCTATATATTTCAATGTAAAACTTGGATTCCCTATTGTGGCCCCGCCCTATCCCCGGGGGTCATGATTTTAACAATTTAGAATCTCCACTACCCCAGGATGCTTCCACATAAGTTTCAGCTTTTCTTGCCTAATGGTTCTTGAGAAGAAGATTTTTAAAGATTTTTCCTATATATTTCAATGTAAAATTTGGATTCCCTATTGTGGCCCCGCCCTACCCCCGGGGGTCATGATTTTAACAATTTAGAATCTCCACTACCCCAGGATGCTTCCACATAAGTTTCAGCTTTTCTTGCCAAGTAGTTCTTGAGAAGAAGATTTTTAAAGATTTTTCCTATTTATTTCAATGTAAAACTTGGATTCCCTATTGCGGCCCCGCCCTTCCCCCAGGGGTCATGATTTTAACAATTAAAAATCTACACTACACCATGATGCTTCCACATGAGTTTCAGCTTTTCTGGCCTACTGGTTCTTGAGAAGAAGATTTTTAAAGATTTTTCCTATATATTTCAATGTAAAACTTGGATTCCCTATTGTGGCCCCGCCCTACCCCCGGGGGTCATGATTTTAACAATTAAAAATCTACACTACACCATGTTGCTTCCACATAAGTTTCAGCTTTTCTGGCCTAGTGGTTCTTGAGAAGAAGATTTTTAAAGATTTTTCCTATATATTTCAATGTAAAACTTGGATTCCCTATTGTGGTCCCGCCCTACCCCCAGGGGTCATGATTTTAACAATTTAAAATCTACACTATCCCAGGATGCTTCCACATAAGTTTCAGCTTTTTTGGCCCAGTGGTTCTTGAGAAGAAGATTTTTAAAGATTTTTCCTATATATTTCAATGTAAAACTTGGATTCCCTATTGTGGCCCCGCCCTACCCCCGGGGGTCACGATTTTAACAATTTTAAATCTACACTATCCCAGGATGCTTCCACATAAGTTTCAGCTTTTTTGGCCCAGTAGTTCTTGAGAAGAAGATTTTTTAATGACCCCACCCTATTTTTGTCTTTTTTTGATTATCTCCCCTTGTAAGGGGACTTGGCCCTTTATTTTAACAATTTAAACTCCCCTTCACCCAAGGATACTTTGTATCAAATTTGGTTAAAATTGGCCCAGTGGTTCTTGAGAAGAAGTTGAAAATGTAAAAAGTTTACAGACGGACGGACGGACGGACGGACAGACAGACGGACGGACGACGGACAATGGGTGATCAGAAAAGCTCACTTGAGCCTTCAGCTCAGGTGAGCTAAAAACCTAAAAAAAACACCTTAAGTATGTCAGAAAAATATGTTATTCTCTTCTGAAATATAGGTCAAATTATGACTTCATGGATTGGAACTTACAAGAATATGTTTAATGTACACATTTTACTTTTCAGCACTCTTTCACAGCAAAAAAACTCAGTTAAAGGAATTGGTTACATATTATATATTTATATATATTATACACACAGAGAAACAAAACTCAACACCTGTTGTATCCACTAGCATACAATTCATGTATGAATTCCAGTATCAAAGAAAAACAAAAATAATACATATAACAGTTTTTTTTTTAAATCTCTTACTTTTACAACATACAAATATCCTTTTGTTATATAATAAAATAATCAGACAACAAAAAATAAAATTAATGAAATATTGATTTTAAGAAAAAGGTTATAGACATACGTAGTAAAGAGCTTGTCAGCATCCAAAGCTCACGAAACCAGTTAACGACCATACCTAGTCACATCAACAGCCTTTATATAAACTGCATCTAACAGTTTCGTCAATATAATTACGATGATTGACAGCTAACCATTCAAGGGTTAATTTCTATACAAGCCTGATAGATTTTTCTAGAATTAATGCAACATCATGCTCTATTCATGTATTGCAGTTTCCAAACACCACCATTTATTTCTTCATTTGTCCCCTTTGTTGAAACCAGAGAGCACTTAGGTTTCTTCTGTGTCCATCTAACTATCCTTGTGTCTATCAGTCAGTCTGTACCACTTGAATTTGCAGAATTTTTAGATACGGTTGAATACATTGTAATTATCACAAATATGTATCAGTATTTATGTTTAGATAAAAATATTCTTGAATCATGTCTTTGAAAATGAGCTAAATGCAAATCTAAGAAAAATGAGGTCAAGGTCAAAGACAAAGATTTTTGTTGCAGCTGAATCACACTCACCAAAATGTACCTGCATAAGAAGTTTAACAAACATATCTTGATCTGCTTCTTTGAAAATGAGTTAAATGCAAATTTAAGAAAAGTGATATCAAGATTAAAGTGGTCAAAGTCAAAAAATTTTGATGCAGTTGAATAGCACTCACTAATACAGTAGGTATCAGCATATGCTGTTTTATAAAAATATCTTGCATATTTTCTTTGAAACTGCACTGTACACAAATTTAAGACCAGAAGTCTCTGATGAGACTGTAGCTCTACAGGTTTTACTTATAACAAAGGATAAAAAAGTAGCACTTGGACTTATAACTTTGTAACAGCAATAACTAGAATAATGATCCTTGGTTTATCTCTTTTTGTGGCAAGATTTGGAAAAGCCTTTAGAAAGAATTTCACAGATATTTCTATTTTAAGTAATCATAGCAACACCATTAATTAAAATCAAATGATGTAAAAAATTATGTATCTTAAAGTAGTCCACTTGTGTGCCAAGTTATACTGAAATCAGACTAAAACTGTAGGAGGAGTAGGGTTTTGAATGTATATCTCAGAAATTTCAATATTTAGTAACCATGGCATCAAGGTTCATAGAAATCAAAAACCGATAAAAGAATTATGTATTTTAGTGTAGTCTACTTGTGTGCCAAGTTATATTGAAATCAGACCAAAAGTATAAGAGGAATAGCATTTTGTAAGTTATAATATTTATCAGAAATTTCTATTTTTAATAACCATGGCAACACCGTTCTTCAAATTCAAAAACCATTTTACAAGAATTATGTATCTAAGAGAAGTCTACTTGTGTGCCAAGTTATACTGAAATCAGACCAAAACTGTATGAGGAGTAGCATTTTGAAATATTGTTTACAGATGGACAGCTAGACGGACAGATGGACAACAGCCACCTTACTACTGCATAAGCTCTTCTGGTCTCTGACCATATAGCCAATTTTTAAATTGGAAATGAATCCAGTAACCAGACATAAATATAAGGAAAACCCCTACACCACGTTTCTAGGATTACAGTTACAATACAATGTACCAGTTTTATGATCAAAGGTATCCTTTTGAAATAATTAAACACACTTAAAACAAATTTTTGGCAAAAAGATAAAACATAAATAATCTGAGATTTCACAAGAGTTTTGAAGATCTCATTCAAACAATCCGAGGCTCTCACAAAGTTAATTAAGTCACCCAACATCTAAACCTGAGTCAATGTTTCATAAAATATTTAAAATACAGACAATTTTTTATAAATATGATAGCATACACTGATTTTTTTTTTATGTTGCAAATTAATAAAGCCAGGTACCCAGGAACACCCCAACGAATAACTTATTTCCTCAAACAAGGTCTCCCACTCACCTGAACAAACACAGTGAAGAACACGATGACAATGGTCGCCGTGACAAACAGACTCTTCTCAGGGACCAGCCTTTCCTCTAAGGATAAAGCCAAACAGAATGCAATGCCACCTCTCAGACCCCCATACGCCATAATGAATTGGTCAATACCACTTAGCTTAACCAGTCTACGGCGGTTCAGAATCCATGACAAAAACATCACACCTGAAAAAATCAAATTATCACATTACCACCATGTATTATGTTTTGTTGAGAGTTTCCCCAGATTGGGGTAAAAGGCTGAGTGGAGTGGAGTTATTTGGAGTCATGGAGTGGAGTCTGTATTGTAACAGTACAGAAAGTTTGAAAACAAATCAATTTCTCTTACATACAATCTCTCCCCTGCAAGTTTCCCCTATTGTTTACAATAGTGATGATTCAAATTTATGAACAAAGAATATTTCCTCCTTAAAACAAATACATTTTTATGTATTGATGGTGTAACTATTTGAGGGTGGGCCTATAGTTTTTGGTGTCTCTATTTATTTGATCTTATTGTCTGTGTGTATGCCTTTTGTTTGGTTCTCCATAATTTAAATCTTGACATTGTACTCTATGAAAGATTTTATCTGAAGGACACGCATCTATGTCGAGAAGAAAACAAGATTGTCACTTGGGGGCAACATATTTCACATGAATGTACGTCATCCTGTTAAATTATAAAGCAACTACAAAGGACAAATGACAGTATTAAAAAGGCAAGATGTTTTGACATCAATGATGGACATAAACATTTTAACTGTTTTCAGATTCTAAAATTTTGTAGAACATGGTACAAGACAAGTATTGCAAAGTAGACAGAATCTATGTGTGAGTAGTTTTTTGGTTGAATAGTATAAGTGAATATTATCTTGTTGTGTTGTACCGTATTTCTATTATGTGTTCCAACTCACATCTCATCTTTGGAATAAAAATAAATTTCACTCAAACTTATAATGCTATGGTATTTATCATAAATATCATATATTCTATAAAAGGGTTTCTATTTTAAGCAATACACTTGTAACATGAATCAGCCTTTTACTGGATACTTAGTTAAAAGGGATCATCAAATGATCAAGCTTCATTCAAATTATACACATATTGACTCGTCCTGAAGTTGGCTCTGAAACTTGATAGTGAATGTTTCAATTTAAAGGTGATCCATCAGTAAAAAGAAATGATTGGTTGGTTGGGGGTGGTGTGTTAATCATTTTTATACTCATTAAAACTCTACAGGTTAATCATATGTTAAACTCATAAAACCTTACTTAGAGAAACAAACATAACTTTTCCAGGGTTTTAAAATAAATATATATACAATGTATATTTTTTTACCTAAACCTCTGAATATGAGGCAGAAGAGGAGTGCAAAGAAAATAAACGACAAGTTCCAGTCCAGTGTGTCAACAATGGCAGACAGACCCAGAAACATAAATATAATAGTCTCGCTGATGTTTGCCAACATCTTCATGAAGTAGCGAATGCTGGTGCGCGTTGAGCGTGAGACATTAGCTTCCAGATAGTGACGTAGCACTATGCCACCAAAGGATAGGCTGTAAAATAAACGCACAAAAAATTATTAATTTTATACAGCATAGAAAGGTGAATGTCCATTATTATTCAATTTCTAAATCCAATACAGAAAAAAACATTTCATCATCTATCATCTTTCATTTTCCTGTACATATCTATGTTGGAGTGTACTTATATTCTTCACAGCCATACATTTTTAACATTAAGTATTTTTTAATTATCAAGGGAAAGGAAATCGTAAGAATTATGGCAATAAGTGAGTACAATGATACACTTATTCTGTCATCAATATGTTCGGTATCTAGACAACAGATGAACACATAATGGATGAGAAAAAAATTACCCCTTCAGTACAAGCTGGACAGCCATTGTAATTTTCAATCTGTTTCATTACAAACTCTCCTTTGCTCAAATTTTAGTTAATACTGTAAAACATGCTTGAAGCAAACTGCCAGTGACAAATAATTTTGATTCTATTGAATGTAATTTTTTATATTCAATAAGTTCATAATACATTTGAAAAGTAAAGAGAATGAAAATCATTTCACTGTAAGTATGAATTTATAATAAGTGTGTATGCCGTAACCATGTTTTACAGTATACACGTCTCCTTTCTACATCCTCCACCAAAAATCTACCAATATCATGTGTGTTCTCTTTGTTACCATTAAGTTTTGTTTTAAAAGTAAAATGGAAAATATCTTCAGGTACATACGCTAAAATACTGGACAGGTGACACATTTCCGCAGATAAATACATCAGGTAACCGATGACAAAGACAAAGAGTGGTTCGATGACTTTAACGTGCTCTGTGTACTTGGTGATAAATCCTCCAAAGAAACCAAAGACGATTCCGATTAGAGTTCCACCAAGAGCCACAATAAAGAACGAGCCCAGACCGGTGACAATATCAACAGGAATAAGCTTCTCCTCTCCGATTTCTATAAATCCCTCGAACATATGATATAACACCTGGAACAAAATTTTCAATATTTGTTATTGAATGCAATGCTTTATTACGTCAAAAGATGATCAAGTGGCAATTGCATAAAAGGAAAAACATGTTTACATATGAAATGTCAGTATCAAATTAAATCCATTTAAAATTATGTCATCCATGACACTTGAAGTAAAATATAAGAAATTTTACACCGATATCATCACATCTGACCAACTTACTACAGTGACTCCATCGTTCAAAAGTGATTCACCAAACACGATGATGTATAGCATCTGGTTCACATGGACTTCCTCAAACACAGAAAGAACCGCGACTGGGTCCACAGCAGAAATGAGGCTACTAAAAATAAAGCAGTCTAGGATACTGATGGTGCGGCCAAACCAGCCAAGGAGAGAGACCCCGTACAGGGATACAGCGATCAGTCCAGCACTGATACAGGTGTTTACAAAAGCCAACAGCAGGATGGTCCCAAGGTTGTCAAAGAAAGAGCGCACAGGCATGAAGTACCCCGCATCAAAGATAATGGGTGGAAGAAGATAAATGAAGAAAACATCAGCATTGAGGACATATTCATCAGTTCTGGCAATGTGTGAAAAGTGAAGAAGAGCTCCAACAATAAGGCCCATCACAATGAGGAGACAGCTCTCTGGTATCACAGTGGGAAGTTTGGAATTCAAATGGAATGCTGCAGAGAAAAGTCACAAAAATATGTCAGATCCAAAATAATTAATCTATTTTTTTTAAAGTGATAAAAATGAATAATGCATGTAGCAATGTTCAAAATTATTTTTTTTTCTGTGCTTCATATGCCAGAAGCTTGACACTCAACACTTCTTATACCAACCATATGTTGATATGAGAAGTAGATATATATTTTGCCTGCATTTTTATATACTTTATTTCTTGGCACCTATTACATATACTAAAACTCTGAAGTCTGGTAGATTGTCACTTTTTTATTTTAACATATAGTTTTTGTGTTTGCAATAAAGAGGTACACAAAATTGATGTGAAATAAAAACATGGTAACATCAAAAATATGTGTTAGACTTCAGAGTTAAAATTGTGTCTACACAAATGAAATTACTCGTAATACTAAGCTGCATAATGGGTCTTTAAGGGATCAATATTTTTTTTTTATTTGTAATTCAATATTTTTGTATCTTTTTCCCTAAATATAAATAAATGACTGGCAACATCTGTTAAGCTCTCTTTCAGAGAAAAAAAAACAAGATCTGTTTGTGAAACACTGATGGGTCTGTTTGGCAGCTCAAGGTTAAAGTTTTTCAAATGTAGGTCAAACTCCAAGGTCAAGAGTTCAAAAATGTTGATATCCAAAAAAGGTCTTGTCAAAAGGAATATACTTGTGAAATATGAAAGCCCTAGCATAATCATTCAAAAGTGATATACGAGTCCTAGCACCCACTGTTCAAAAGTGATGGCTGCAATCATTCAAAAGTTATGACCAAGGTTAATGTTTGGTAAATTTTTGCAAAAATAGGTCAAACTCCAATTTCAAGAAGTCAAATACATTGGTATCCAAAGAAAGGTCTTGTCACAAGGAATATACATGTGAAATATGAAAGCCTAGCAAAATTCAGAAGTTATGGACAAGCTTAAAGTTTCTGTGGACAAACAAACAGATTAACAGACAAACAGACTGATTGACAGATCAAAAAATACATGCCCCCTGAATCTGCAATTATGGGGGCATAAAATAAAAATTCCATGGGTTCTGCAGTATTTGTTTTAAATCAATTGTTAATTTTTCTTTTTATTTAAAGTAAGTGTGTGTGTATGTTTGGTGAAAGGTGGGTGTCATGATTATATACAGTAATACATGTACTTTCCTTGGCTGTAGCCTTGACTTGTCATGCAACAAAACATTTCTCTGTTACAGAATCAACAGCCCCCACTCAGCAAACCTCTAGCTGCGAGGTTACTCAATGTAACAGCATTTAGATTAATAGTACAATTACACCAGACAAGGGGAGTGTGAGGGCAGTATCACTGCAATATATTGGTTCTAGGGGTCAAGGTAAAGACAGCACTTCTGGGATAACTGATGCATGATAATTCTTCAATTATGTATGAAAGTGGATATATAGTCAGTCTCCATTAGAGTACTGAGTGAAATATTTTATGTATGCTATTCATCAGTTTCCGATCACATCAACACATCAAGAGAATGGAACAGAATACTGCAGAAATAGAAGAATTTGTAACTGGCTAAATTTCAGATTATATATCAGTACCATTTTGAGTTTTTGAAGTAAATGTTAATAAATGACAAGTGTTAAAAAGGGGCTAGCTTTTTCAAATTATTTCTAAGATTTGTACAAGTGACTGATTTATGCTTACAACTAATAAATTTTACTCTGAAATCCCCATATTCTCAATTGATGCCATGCAAAGGAATGTACAATATTTACAAAAAATAATCTTAAAAAATATATTTAATAATTCCCCTTGGTGAAAAATGTAGAGTTTCCTCCATATAAGATAATGTCAGACTCTAATATTAATTAAAGACACACTGCATACCTAGATGAATGTTAGAAATGTTTCAATCACATTATAAAGATGAAGCTTTATAAAATGAAAAAAATGTCCTGATGCATGTATGTATTTATATGCAGACTTTGGAGCCTTTACGTTATTTTATACAGGCTACAATTTATTATTTCTTTCCAGTACAGACTCTATTTTCAGCTGTCGATGACGTCAGTTGAAGATCCCCGATTACACCTCATCAGAGGAGGTTTGTTTAACACCTAGTGAGCAGTTCATTGGCTGTTTTATATCTAGTTTTTGGCATGCTGGTACATATTTCATTCATTTTGCCATCAGATCTATAATCTCGGACATAACTCTCAACACCTGATTTATATATTGATCTGTAGCTATAAATTGGTATTCATGATAATAACAGAGTTCACTAACTAGATCATTAGAATGAGAAACATTGAAACAAAACAAGATATTTCAAGGAATTCATTAAAAATATTATAATATATACCAATCTAATTAAGATTAGACAGCTCCAACTGGCCATGCTTTTGCGTCAGAATCTGTAAAAGCTATTTTAAATTCTTTTGATATTCATTATTGGAAGTTTTACCTGTAAACAGGTAGTTTTCTACCTGTGCATATAATCTATTATCTTAATTCTGTATTTAGGTAAAGTTGTCAACAATGTCACCACACTGCATTTCAATTTATTTTATTTTATTTACTTGTTTCTTATTTAAAGTGATCCAAGATTCTAGATTTCTTAATCAATATCAGAATTTTATGACTGGCTAAGAAGAAAAAAATGCATTTGATCCACTTCATCTTTTGGGGACAAAGCAAGAAAATTTAAAGACCCCCCCCCCCCTTCCTACTTTTACTATTTCTTGATTGGTGTTTTCCAATGAGAAAATGCATTTTTCCTACTACATGTATCTTTAATAGATCAATACAACCTAAACTAATCTCCAGAGTATATATTTCATTTTGAATTCATCTTTCTTTTTGTTCACATTAAACATCAAATGCTGTATAAAGGGTAATAACTCTTAAAGCATTCTATTAAACAATTTAGTTATATATATTTGAAGTTCTTGACAAAACAGAATTTTTTTCTTGCAGTAAACTCATGCTTCATTAAATGCTTAGAGGCAGAGTAACAGTACATTTTTTTCTACACAAAATTAAATAGAATTTAAACAATTGCTTTTTCTGATGTAGGATCAATTGGTTCGTATCTTCTTTGTGGCTCTGCAGCATGTTCACAGGGAAACTGCGTGTCTTTACCTAACACTGATTAACTGGCAATTTCCTTAATAGAACACCATAAAGTGTTGCTAGATCTGAAATTTACAGGAAAATATAAACCATGATTACAAACAGAGGCATGTGAGGATTTAGCGAAAGGTATTTCAGCTGACTTCTCTCAGTCAGCATAAATTCCTCTAATGACTGTTCTCAACAACCCATGTCATTTTTCTTTCACTCTGAGGCTAATTAGAATCATCCTATTCCAAGAGTATGATTACTATTGCAATAATAATAATACTGCAAAAATAATTATTAATAACTTGTCCAAAAATGCTCAAAGTTCATTTTTCATATAAAGTAACTCAAAATTCATCTCAAAATGTAGTTCCTGTTTTTAAATTAAAAAAAATCATTCAGGAATGAAGACATTTGCTCTCTGTATGTTTATATAATAGAGAGATACCACAAATGTATATATTTATTAATATCACTAAGCAAGGCCTTTGCTTTTCTTGAAAAAAGCTTTTTAAAAATTTCCCCCCATATTTTTCCATGTAAAACTGATCCCCTTTGGTTGCCCCATCCCCCACCCCCACCCCACGCCATGAATTTAAGTATTTGAGTCTGCATTACCTGAGGAAGGTTGCATACATTTTAACATAAACTGTAACTAATTACTGCCCTGCTCTTCTGTAGAAGAATTTAGAAATTTTTCCTACATACTGTATGTGTGACACATTTTATTTGTGAATCTCCCATTGCAAACTGGTCTGTGACAAATAATTTTTTATGATGGAGGTTTCCTGTTTCTTTTAACTACCACAAATATGAACTGGAGCTGCTTACAAATCTCAAAGACATTTCTCACACTCATCAAAAAAGCTGATGAACTGTACTTTGATCCCAATTTGAGGCACCAACCCTACCCCTGGTAGCCATGATTTGAACAAATTTGATTTACGCTTTTGTACTAAGAAATTAAGCTTCTTATACATTTTGAAGAAAACCAACATCATGCATGATTTAGAAAGATGAGATAAGTCTTCTAAGTTTTGCCTTTTATGGTACAATGGTTTTGGTGAAGATTTAAAAAATGCAGTTTTTCACTATATATATAATTACTTCTCCTTGAAAAAGGGTGTGGCCCTTAAAACTTGATCGGAATCTGCTTCACCTAATAAGAATGCTTTGAGGCATAAGTAATTGGTTGAAATTGGTCTCGTGGATCCGGAGTTTTTTTAATGCATATTTGTAAGACAAGGGTGCATGATAATCCGCTCCTTTTTTTTCTTTTCAAAAAGAGAAGAAGAGCGGATCTTCACCCATGGGTAGGGGAGATGATTTTTATAATGTAACTTCTGAGTCAAGACAGAGGTATGTGCATTCTTGTTTTTCAAATTAAAAATGACAGAAGGGCACATATTTGGGTAAACCTCATGCTTTAAATATAAGAATTTGAAGCAACTTTCCACTTTCCCTAGGGATTAAATTCACACTTTTTGTTACCAATAGTGCTGACTTGTATTAAGGCCTATATACATTTTGATCTTACATTAACACCTCTGTAAACATCAATATTGACTTCTGGCAATGTGTGGGCTTCCAATATACCATTTAGAACAGCTGTTTTTGTTTTTATAGGCATCATGTGGCTGTTCCTATCCAATGCCACTAGTTTTATTTTTTAAAATTAAACAATACCAAGCTGTTGAAAGGGGAAAAAACCTGCTCAACATTTTGAACTTGACATCTTTCTTTGGTACACATATGCCTAAGCAACAAGTGCTTATAAGTGAACAACAGAGTGCACTCTCAATTGTTCAGTGTGAATCCACTGGGAAGACAAAGACTTAGGCAGAGTGTCAAAAAATGCTTATAATTTCCAACATAAGCTTAATTAGTGATTACTAATCAAAACCTGCTGTGTGAATCAAATCTGTATAATGTTAACTATCAACACCTTGCCAGAAAACCTGCATGTATGCTCTGCTCTGTGTATCAGACCCTGGCAACATTGACACAAGTCAGACATTTACCTAAAAATGTTTGCTTTCAGTTTATTAATTGGAATTTCATCAAAGAATGGCTTTAGCAATGTAGTGCTACAAATAATACTTCTAACTGCAAGCAGGTTGACCCATGCAGGCTTGTGCTGAAAATACTAGTACTTTTTCCACTGCTTGTCATTTTTAGGAAGGGCAATCCTCAAGTCATTCAAACCCCCCAATTAGTATGGTTTACCAACAGTAAGACTTTCTTTTCTTGTTTATCACTATTAATAATCAAGTTGGCAACATGTATTCTATGCATTAATTCTCTTTGGATAAGTGGCCGGCTTTGGATGTAGGTGAAAGCCTGTGCTAAAGAGAATAGTATTCCACATGGACACAGAAAAAAACAGTAGCTGCTTTCCTGATTGTAGTCAAATTAATTTAATTTCCTATTTGTAGAGCCATACCCTATTCAGGGATTTATCAGTACCTTCTCAGGGGCCGAAATTCGGCCCCATTCCCAATTGAAAATGAGCTCAGTTTTTCCCAATTTGGTTGTATTTTTTCCCAATTGGTGAACAATGCTTTTATATTTAATTTTCTTGGAAAAACACGGAGTGAAATTGTCAGATTGTCTGTAATTTTCATCTATTTAACTCATTTAGCAAAGCTACAGTCATAATACATGTTTAACAACACTGAAAAAACATCGCCAACTTTTAATCCGAATTTCCTCCGTTTTTCTGAAAATGGTGATATTGTGTAATTGTATAGATTTACTATGTTATTTCCACCTACTCAAATGATCTACGAATGAATGGTAAGGACTGTAGGCATTATTTCAGATAGAAAAATATATTTTCAGTGTTTTAATACATATTAAAAGAGGATTTTGAGAAAATATGTACTTTAGTATAATTTTTTGCAGGAGGTTTATATTTTCCAGAAACAGATTCTATAATGACCTAAATTAAAATCTCATACACACAAGTACTACCCTAAGTTGTATCAATACTTAATACTCATTTAGTAAATTTTACTTTATTAGTCTAGTATTCATAATTGATCTTGTATGATGAAGTTGATCATATTTAATTGTCTGTTTGGTTGCCCAAATTAGAGTTCATGCTGAAATATTAAATGAATTACACTTGAATACATGATTTAAGCAACATTTTTAATTTTTCCCAATTTCATCAAATAGCCGATAATTTTTTCCCAATTCCCCAAAAATGGCGTTTCCCAAAATATGCTGATAAATCCCTGCTATTATACTTTTAAGATGACTGATTTGGATTAATGTCCCTTCCACACAATTTTGTTTATAAAAATACATGTATCATACTTTTGGCTTCATGTGACAGCAAGTCCTTATGTAGAAAAGAAACCTAGCACCACTTTACCAATCAATAGACTCATGGGTCGAAGACTGAACAGCAACACTAGGGCAGCAAATTTTAAGACCTTTAACAGTCTTCAAAATAACCTGGGAGTCCAATGCCCGGGACCTGGTAAAATTGCAGGCGGGCATGTAAAAAATAAAGATTCACATGCCCGCTGGTCATTGCAGACTGACTTTTGTGTAAAAATATTTTACACAGTGGATTGCAGTCTATACTTTGGTTTCTGATATTAAAGTGTGTACGGTATTTTACTCTATGACAACTCCTTTCCCTTTTTGTTGCAGATTATTAGCATGTCTTGATTTTTTTGTGTGTGAAAAGTTGAATAGTCACTTAGAAAATAAATAAAATCAAAAGAAATTACATTTACGTCAGAAGTTATCGTTAACCCCCCCTTTTTTTCAACATGTTTAATTGTTCAACACTCATTTACTGAATTCAGATTTCTTTAAAAAATAGCAATGATTACCAATATTTTGATAGATTTATTATTTATGGTAGATTTATTGACCTTTCTTAACAGCCCTGTTTATACATGTATTTAATATATACCAAATAAATATGCATCAGTAGTCAAGTAAATAAGTGAAATTCATTTTTTATTACCTAATGTAACAGTATCATTAAAACAGACAAGCACATGTATATATACTAAATAAGTTGACCAAAGAAGTGCATGCACAGTTTGAAATCAATTTCACAGGTGTCATATGCAATGAAGCGTTACTACATGTATAACTAATCCCATTGTCTTTCTACAGTTGTTGAAATGCATGAGATAATCATGCCACATAGTGTACACAAACTGTAATTACACTGTAGGATTTTTACATAGTATTTTAAAAACTGCATGCAGGTTTTTCCGTAATGATAACCTACTACATTTCAAAATTTTCGGTAATGCATTACAGCAATAAAAAGTATATGTTCATGACTACCCTAAAGAATATTTTTCACTCTTGGAAATTTTTATTTGTTGGTCGATTCTTGTATAAACAATGGTTCATGTTTCCTTCTAACATTGATGACATACACTGTAAAGACAGCTTTTTTTTTTTATTTCACAAAGTTAAATTTTGAGTAGGGCATGTAAAAATTGGTGCGGGCTTGGTAAAAGTAGTAGATGAGATGCCCAATGGGCATGTGTTGAAAAAAAAATTGTTGTGAAGACTGCTTTAATACAAATTATTAGGCCATTACACTCACACCGAATTGTCTATGGATTTTTCCTTTTACCCAATCAGCACATGGCAGGTTTGACCAGTTGACAGGGGATGCTTACTCCTTCATGGCACCTGATCCCACCTCTGTTTTTAGAAGTCTGCGTTACCTCTGTTCATAATTTGTATCATTTAAATGGACTTTTGAGAATGATCACTATTCTTTATCTCCATATTTCTGTAATACTGGTGTCATAGAGTAAGGAATTCCCAGGGGTTGAAATTTTCCAGGAAAACCCACTAGTCCAGGGGCTACTAATCAGTTAAAAATTACTGACCCAAACCTCAAACTAACTAACCCAACAATTTTTTAAGGAAAATGAAAGCATAACAAGTTAAATTAGTCTCAAATGCTTTGGTGACAGAAACAAATTAAACTTACTAGTTCTCAATCAAAACTTGTGAAAAGAAACCAGTCTACATAGAAAAGCGAATTCAAAGTAAACTGACAAGAATTTATTTTCATTCTGCTAGTCCAACGGACTATAGTTACATTTAAATTAGCTAGCCAGAGTCTTAAAACGACTAGCCCTGGGCATCAGGCTACCTATATTTCAACCCATTTCCCCTGGGGAGAAATGCTGCTCTTGTGCAGCCTCAGATTCCAAGGGGGAAATCAAATCCCCCCCCCCCCCTTTTATATTATCAACCAGAGAGGGATTTCACTATAATATACAACTGCAGAAGTCGCAAAGAGTTCTAAGACAAAACAAATTTTGCATGTTCATGGTTTGTTCAATATATGCAGACTTGGATGATAAATGGAAAGAGTATACATATTTATAAAATAAAGAATGAATAAAACTGTATATCACAGTAAAATATGTCTTGGTGTACGTATTACTGTATTAAATTAATGATGCAAGCTAATTTGTTTTATTGGTTGTAATGGTAATATTAACACATTTACTACAACATATAGATTCTTATGTAAACTTGACAAGCCAGTGGCTGCCACCTCAGATAACATTACTGTTTGCACAAATCTTGACACAAAGGGTGTGATATTTATCTATGTGTGTCTTAATTCAGAAAAATTATATGCAAGCAGTCGGGGACTATCACTAGACAGTTTATGTACATATTACATCAAGCACACTATTCATACATATTACATGGAGAACACTGATTGGCAGTTGTCATACACTTTACATCAATTCTACTATGAATTTTGAATTTTTAATCTTAACACTTATAGATCTACAAAAACACCTCCTTGGGAGATTTAAAATGCACCCTAGGTCAGACAAAAACATTTACATACGGCTACAAACAAATGTACAATCCCTTGTGGGTAGATTTTTTACTACAGACCCCAGGGGTAGAATTAACATTTGTTACATAGTCTGTCTAAGCTGGTAAATAATCAAATCCGATCACCCAGGAAGTGATCTGATTCATATCGTGGCCAATCCCAGCACCAAAAAGCATGTCTTATTCTCTGTTTTGTAGTCTATACATCAGAAATTTAAGCCAAGGAGTTGTTTTACATTGATAGGTGAAAATCTAAACTAAAAGTCTTCATTATCATATAATTCAAAATGATGTGTATACCATGTCTATTTAATGGTGGAAGCCTTGTTCATCATTAACAATACAATCTAGCAATACCATTTAAGTTTTGCAAATATTTAATCAATCAGTATTTACATATTAAAATAATTGGATCTAAGCTAAAATACAGGATATTTTTTGAAAGACACCTTGGATTTCTAATCCTTTTTGCACTGAAAAGAGTTCAAAACCAGTTTGAAAAATGAGTGTTATATATATATACTTTATAGGCAATCTAAAGAGAAAATGCATGAAAAATTAATGCATGAAATACTTTTATCAGAAGGGTGGGTAAGGGTTTGATACTTCCTGATAAATCAACTAGCTTAGTTAATAATATTTTTTTCATTCAATTGGCACACAGTTGTTGTATCATTATATTGTCTAAATTTCATTGAAAACTGGAATAGATGATAAAGAATGTTGAGGTTTATGGGTTTTTTTTTCCCAAACACAAATAGCAGTAAGACTTGGTGAATAATATTAATTTTTTATATATTAATATAAACTGAATACGAATCAGTGCCTGTTATAAAAATAAACATATCCATCCTGAACCATCAATCTCAACCATTTTAAAATGAATCTGAATCAATTGCAGTAGACTTTCATTACTTTTGAAACATATAATTCATGTGAAATTTTTGTCAGATCTTGTTATACAGTAACCAATACTATGGGAAATTTACAGCTTTATACATTGTCAAATATATATGACTTTTGTGATCCCTTTGTCTATATAGATTAAATGTCAAGCTCTTACTGCTATCTTTAATGTTATCATTTTGTTCGCAACCATGTTTACTCTTCAAAATTTATCAAACAGAAACTCCAGGATTACACAGAAACCAGTCCAACTTCGAGGAATTACTCACGAAAACTCAAATATTGGAGTGAAGAACGTAAACAGATGTTTGATAATAGGAGGAGGAATTTATTTTAGGTATTAACTTTAGAGTATGTATACAATATCTATTACAGAATTTTACAATCTATGCATATAGAATCAGGACACATTAATTTTCAGCCATCAGCTGAACCATTCTTTAAGGAGGAAGAGGGTCATATGTCTAGCTATTTTCTGAAAATGATGCAGATATAATGTTTCAACACCAAAATTATTTTTGCAAAATATTTCCTACTTCAGGACCCAAATCTCTTCTGTGAACGAGCACATTCTTTTTATCACAGAATGATTTTGTCAGATTGACTAACATTAGGCTTTTGTTCCCACCCATTTTGTACAAACTAAACTCTACTTACCAATTTTGGCTAACGCCACTATGAGGATCCACAGGCATATCACCAGGGGAAGCTCCACTCTATCAAAGTCAAACACCACCAGCTTATATCTCTCTGTTTCATTCTTGTGTTCCCCCGCCTCTGAAGAGGCTGAGATCCCCGCCGGCGCCAGAAGCAGCACACAGCTGATCACAAAGCAGAACAAAGCTCGTCTGTCCATGTTTCAAAGATATCCACTTCAAATGTGTGGAAATTCGTCAAATAATTGTTCAATATCACAACTCTGACAAGTTTCTAAAGACCCTGACATTTTTTAAACTCCATTTGTTACAAGCTAGCTTACACTTCACCGTTAAATTCCACATTCATGATGCCGACCCTGCTTCAGCATCGTCTACTTTCCTTTCATTGATCAATGACACGACCTGACACTGAGGATCCGGTGACGCATGCGTATTATGAACTTGCATAATTAGCCACGTGGGAGGAATATTACATGTTAGGCCTACTTGATCGACTCGAGATAATAATAATTTCCTGTGGCAATTTCTTTCATATTTATCATCATTTAAGTAGTACATAAATGTAAATTTAACAGACAACTTTACGTATGCATGAACAATGTACGTCCTATAATCATGATAATATACATATACTTATATATTATGTGCATAATATGTTTTTATGTTATACTATAGTATATAGGTCTCTTCTCTGCCTCAACAGTATGTAGGTATGTCCCTGTTCATGTGTGATTTTGATCTTGGTATGTTTGTCAGTTAAATTTTCTAATATGCCACCATATTTCATAGGGGTATATCACATAAGCATGTCTAGTTCCAGTGTTACACAGGAATTTAATTAATTTTCATGTACTAAGAATGAATAATAGACATATGTACTTTAACCATATGGCATTCCTATCTCTGTTTGATTGTTTTGTTGAGAATCTGAAGTTTGGGCAGGGTTCACTTAAAGCACCTCAGCCTAACTTTTCATTTAGATTTTTGTAAACTTTATTTATAGGGGTTAAAAAAGACAACATACAATATATCTGAATTGGATGATATCCTGTGTTATACATGGCCGTAGGAACCGGGGGGCACGGGGGGGGGCGTGCCCCCCAATAATTTTGCCGATATATAGAGGACTATAGAAAACATATATACTATATGCTTGTGCCCCCTCAATAAAAACGTCTGATGACCTTTTTTTTTTTTTTTTTTTGCTTCTCAAGAAATTTTTGGTATTTGATAGTGCCCCTTCGATTGAAAGTGTATGGCTGTGCCCCCCCCCCCCCCCAAAACTGAAATTGCTTCCTACGGGCCTGTTATACCAAAGTATGTATAATATGATCAAGTCTGGGAAAAAAACATAAATGTATTATTCAACATTGTAAAATAACATTTTTAATAAATGAGAGAACAAGATTTAACATAAAAAAATGGTCAATATTATACACATGTAACACAGATAGATATCAGAGACACTGTTGTTCAAATTATGTTGAAGATGAGTATCATTTTACCCTAGTTTGTCCTGCTTATGAAATAAAAAAAATATCAAATCTTATTCTATCTGGATTTCCTCAGCTAACAAACCATACAGAGCAATTCTTTTGAAAGACATTTAAAATAAAACAAAAACAAACGAGACCCAAAGGCATTAATGGTCACCTGAGTATAATACTACACTGCAAGAAAATCCACAGAAGCATAAAATAACTTAACAAGAGGCCATTGGGCCACATCGGTCACCTGAGCACATTGGCTAGGAAAAAAAGCAAAAATCAGTTCAGTATCAAAAAGTTTACGAGGAGGAGGGGGGGGGGGGAGACTTGAATTTTAAACTACCTTATGATGCATCCATATCAATATAACAAATGGCTTTGCTGTTCTTAAGAACTACCCTCTGGGGGCCTCATTTGAACAAATTTGATTATACACTACCTGAGGATGCCTCCTTATCAACATGACTAATCACGGCTTTTCTGTTCTTGAGAAAAAGATTTTTTCCTATATATTCCTATGCTAAACTTTGATCACCCGTTCTGGCCCCACCCTACCCCATGGGGTCATTATTTGAACAAACTTGAATCTACACTATCTGAGGATGCTTCCATTAAAATATGACCAATCATGACTTTGCTGTTCTTGAGAAGAAGAGTTTTTAAAGAATTTTCCTATGTATTCCTATGCTAAATTTTGATCACCCGTTCTTGCCCCACCCTACCCCTGGGGGTCATCATTTGAACAAACATAAATGTACACTACCTGAGGATATTTCCATATGGGTTTCATCTTTCCTGGCCCAATGGTTCTAGAGAAGAAGATTTTTAAATGATGCCATTATTTTTTTCACTAATTCCTAATTATCTCCCCTTGAAAGAGGGTGTGGCCCTTCATTTGAACAAACTTGAATTCCCTTCACCCAAGGATACTTTGTGGCAAGTTTGGTTGAAATTGGCCCAGTGGTTCTTGAGAAGAAGTCGAAAATGTGAAAAGTTTACAGACAGACGGACACCGGACAAAATGTGATCAGAAAAGCTCACTTGAGCCTTCGGCTCTGGTGAGCTAAAAACAGATAGATGAAGATATATTGCTCCAAAACAAAAGAAATACGATGGTCAGGAATCAAAAAAAAGTTAATCTAGTACTCGGTAACAAATCATTATATATGCAGATCTATTTATGTTTGTACTTACCAGTACTAATACACTAATGCATTTTCACTATATAATCAATAGAGCCCTCCCACCACAAGAACTTCTAATCCAGAGGTCATGAATTTCATACTTTTGGGAGAGGAATCCTTGCACAAAATATGCAATCAGTTTGTCTGCTGGAAACCTAGAGACAAGAGAAGACCATTTTTAAAGAATTTATGAATTTTCACTATTTGATCAATACGCCTTAACACCAGAACCTCTGACCTAGGGGCCATGAATTTTACAATTTTGGAAGAGGCACCCTTGCTTATCATAACCATGCATTTAGTTTATCTGCTAAATACCCATGAGCAGAGAAGACTTTCAAAGAATTAATGCAATTTCACTATACATGTATAATCAATAGAGCCCTGCCTTAACACCAGAACCCCTTACCCAGGGGCAATGGAATTTTCAAATAAATACAGTTTTACTATATTACCAATAGAACCCTCCCTAACACCCAAACACCTAACCCAGAGGCCATGAATTTCACAATTTTGGAAGAGGCACCCTTGTTCATCATAATCATGCACTTAGTTTGAATGCTTAATACCCAGGAGCAGAGATTCTCAAAGAAATAATGCATTTTCCTTACATAATAAATAGAACCCCCCACCCTAACAACAGAACCCCTGACCCTGTGGCCATGAAATATAAATTTTGGAAGAGACAGACTTGTTCATTATTACCATGCATTAAGTTTTTTACTTCAATACCCTGGAGCAGAGAAAAAGATTTTCAAAGAAATAATACATTTTCACTATATAATGCATAGAGCCCCCCCACCCTTGGGGCCGTGAAATTCACAATTTTGGAAGAGGCATCTTTGCTTATCATAACCATGCACTTGGTTTTTTCCCTTAACACCCAGGGGCAAAGAAGAAGATTTGAAAAGAATTAATACAATTTATCACTATATAATCATAAGAGCCCCACCCTAACACCTGAACCCTCAATCCTGGGGCCATGATTTTCACAGTTTTGGAAGAAGCACCCTTGCTTATCATTACCATGCACCTAGTTTATCTGCTAAATATACAGGAGGAAAGGAGATTTTTAAGAATTTATGCATTTTCATTATATGATCATTATCCCCCACCCTAACTTCAGAACCACTGACCCTAAAGCCATGAATTTTGTAATTTTGGTAGAGGGCTCAATGCTTATTACAACTATGGCAACATTTCAACTGCTTGATGTCAAGGAATAAAGAAGAAGATTTTTAAGGATTGCATTGATTTTGATAGTTATAGCCCCACCTCTCAGGCCCCAGGAGGGCAGAGACCAAGAAATTCATAATTTTTGTTTCCCTTCATTCATACATGTTCAATGCCAAAATTGAAATTGGTTCAGATGTTCCAGAGAAGCTGAAAATATTCAAATCTTAACTCACGACGGACGAAGCACACTGATGGACGAAAACAGATACAATAAGTGACTCAGGTGACCTAAAAAAAAAAAAACTAGAGGAACCATTGTTTTTCTATTTATTTATATATAGATATATGAAGTATAATCTAAATTAAATTGTTATTCCATCATTTGTTCTAGCAAATAAAAATAAAAACAGTAGCAATAAAATAAACAATTCAACCATTTAGTAAATAGAATTAAACATAAAAATAAAAAGTAAATTTCAGTCATGACATAAATTTGGTCATCCGAGACAGATGTGACAAAATATCACAGATTTATATAAACAGTTTTACAATATTACGTCATGGCAATTTTTAACCAATAAAAATGTCAATGTAATATAACAGTCACAACATTGGAGCATTATGAAGTGTACTTGTAACTTGTTCTATTTATCATGTTTATTCCATGATAAACATTCTACTTTCAACAGATATCATTTATTTGTTAATTTTTTCATATCCATTACTTTGTATTCAGGTGCCTCATGATGTCACGTAAGATGTTTTCATTTACAAACATGGAAGACCAAGGTAGAATTCATAAAAATTAATAAAATCATTAAGACGACAAATGCTACTTGGTCTCTATTTCATTATACACCATTTCTAGTGGCATAATATTCTTGATGTTGTTACAAAACATGGGAGATCCCATATATAAAAACAAATCATCAGAGAAAAACCTAGAGGTTTGTTATGAGTGTATTATTATAACTACTTCATAACATAGTGAAACTACTTCACAAAGAACTTAAATAGATTTGATTGAAGTTCTCTATCACTATATTTATATACACTTTAAACAATTGAAGCACCTCTGTGATACAAATGTTCTACTTCTTTTAAAAGGGACTTTTAGTGGTGACTCTACAGTTTTGATGAAATGAAAAATTCCTCCGTACACTGGCTGACTGATGAAACAATGAAGATGATACAGATGACTACCAACTACTGTCCAGAAATTCTGAAGATATTATCTAGTCTTGCGCAGTTTTACTCTCACTTTCATCTTGCTGTTGATAAATCATACTCATCATCATCATAATAATCGTCGTCTTCATCATCATCGTCATCACCATACATCGTAGACTGAAAAATTAAAATAAGAATATACTGACAGTAAAACTGTGAATGATGAATGCAGATAACCAGTAATACCAGTAAAAGTGTTTTCACTTTTTATGACATATTTTTAGGAAAATATTCCCTGAATTTACAAGTAAATGGAATAAGAATTCCTAAGCTTAAAAATGCCAGGTGATGTTTTTGTAATACTGTGGATGTACAGAAAATTAACTGTAACAAATAAACACAGAACCGTGAAACAATGTGGATATTATAGATATATAAAAGAAAACAAATTTAAATGGATTTCCCAGAAGGAAATATGTTATATGAAGGCAGTTCACGAGTAGCTTTGAACTGAACATCTATAATGTATGTGTTTGTAATATTTTTTCATACAGCATATACAATCATGTCATCTTAGTTACATCAAAATCTATTGTGTATAGGTACTTGTGAATTGTGCATAAATGTATGGTTATTCTGGCATCAAAATCTAGCAAACATCAAATATGTTTGATCTATAAATAAAGTGACAGATCTACCTAATGTATTTACCTGAAATTTGGTTACTACAAACAAAAGAGGACAGAAGATTTCTCATTGACTTATTATACCATTATTAACGAAAAGTTGATGTTTTTAACCAAACAGACAATTTAGTGGTTTGTCAATAAACATTTTAATGAAAATGAACTCAACATACAAGTCCTTCTTAATTGATAGCTGCAGGTCTGTAGCATACTGATTTATAACACTAAGATGGTCATCCATCCTTTTTTTCTGACTGTGAGCTACATAATTGATTACTGTTAAAATTGTCACAAGAAAAAACTAAAGATGACTCAGTATGACATGAAGTTGGAAAGTCCAAGGATGTGAAAATAATAATGTTGGAAGTAAAACAAAAACATGGTATCATTTTCTTGAATCAGAGTCCCTAAAACAAGGCAGTGTTACAATTTAGAGGTGTTCTTCCCTGCCTAATATGCTTAGCAAATACAGCCAAATAAAATGGGAGGGTTCCTATATATATATATATCACAACCAGTCAGAGTTGTAATAAAATAATGTCAAAATAATAACACACAAGAAGTCTTACAGTTTGACTAATGCGTACTCGTCGCTGATCAGAAGCTGTTGACTCGTACGTTGAGGTATAGGGATCTGTGCTGCCAAGTGTATCGGAGTAACCGTTCGTTGATGTCATTGAGGTCAGAGCATGACTAATGTCCTCAGAGTCCGGGGCTCCTCTGGCCATCGACAACTTCCTCTGAAATTCCTACAACAGAGACATAACATGTACCAGAATAGATGGCTATAAAAAGGGAATCCATCGTTTAGTTCAAATGATGAATAGTCATTTTTTCACTCGCAATATTCATTTGCATTCTTTAACTTTCCACATCAAAATGACTCTTATGTCTGTTACCAAACCAATTCTGAAAGGTGCTAAATTTATAATAAAGATGAATTAAATTATCATTTATGAAGAAAGAAAATTAGAGAATGTAAACATAAACATCGAATTCTTATTTTTGGATGTCATCTGTCGTATAACAGCACCTGGCCATGCTGACAAACTGAATACCATGCATTAGACATCTAAAAATAAGAATTCAATGCTTAAAAATTCCAATAAGTAAATAAACTATATGTGTGGGATAATATTTCCACGATAATAACAAAATGTCATACTGAATATAATGTGTACACAGATATTGGTATGGGGGGGACATTTATAAAAAACATTTCTGTTTTTTCAAATTTATTTTTTAAATTTCCACCTTAAGAGTATCTTTTTTTGCACATTCTGACCAATGCAGGGGCTGCCTCTCCCCCCCCCCCCCCTTTTTCAAAAAAAAAAAACTTGTAGTATAGAAAATGTTCATTGAAAGGCTGGTTGCCCCCCCCCCCCCCCCACTTTAACGACCCAATGACAGGTTATATTTTCTCACAAGGTCATTATTTATGAAATAATGACTTTAAACGAGGTTGTTGAAATCCCTGTAAAATCAACTTATCTGTCAGTAGCCTGTCTCGATCCTCATGAGCATGCTCTGAGAAGATTAAAATGATACTATATGTCTGCAATGATATTCACATGGAATTCCTTTTAACATATAAATTACAGAAGTGAAATGATTTTTTCTCCCTCATTACCTGTAAATCCCTCTCCTCGTCTACCAGGGACATACTCTCAAAGCACTTGGAATAAAACTCTATAGCTTTGGCATGGAAAACTAACTGAACTTTAAAATAATCTAACATGGCAGTCTGTAAAGAGAAAAAAAAAATGCTCAATTTACCTGCTTTCTACATGTATTACATTTGCAAAGAAATTTTCAATCTTCAATAAATTTAAAATCAGAAATAGTTACAGAGCTCATAAAATACTCCTTCTACACTGTTTCATAACATATTCAGAGTTTATATAATATGAAACAACTTGGCTAAGAATTTATTAACCACGTAAGACTTTAAAACACTGTTTTGCCAGCGAGATTGAATATTCCTAAATGAGCATGAGTCAGTATTAAAACAAAATTTTAGATTACAAACACAAACTAGCAGAAATGGATTTCACATTTTTCTGCCAATGCCTTGAACTTGCCCAAATTCCTTATGCCATAAGCATCCTTGTTCAAATTCCAAAATTTCCTTTGTTTATGTTACTAAGTTACAACTCGTACCGAAACCTTTTTGTGTGCCAGAGTCCATGAACGCATGCAAATGACTTTGGGTCAAGGTCATGACATATCTCTTGTCGGTGGCAACCATCTGACAGGTACCAAGAAGATTTTCTTTGAAACAAAATTATGGTCTGGACATGATTTGTACAGATCACAGAAATAAACAGTGGTCAAGGATACATCGATTCCTATATACACCCAAAGACAAGAATTCCAGTGGACCCTAAGAGGAGGTATCTAGGTCTAAGGAGGGTTGTAAACAGATTTAGAATCATCTGTACAACTGAAAGGCATAGAGAGATAGACATAATGGTCAGATCTTTTCACACTCCTGGCTTGAATTTCATTATGAATTCATTACCTATGTAGCTCAATCTATTATCAAGTGAATTCTACAAAATATTCAATTCTTAGCATTTCTTGACTATAATTTTTCAGATGTGGCAAATTTTGTCCTAGTATTGGCCTACAAGACACCAAAGACAAAACTCTGCAATTTAAATCAAGCAAATATGTATAGCTACTATCAGATTTTCAGAGTGGATCAAAACTAGATTTTATGCACACTGGGATTTTGATGACGTTGAAATTTATACACCAAAAAATTTTTTTTAACACAGTTGTAAAATGAAACCATAGTCCTCTTTATTTTTCCACCGAGTTGAGCCAGTGAGAAATAACATCTCACATGGTTATGAAATTTTCCTTCAGCTCAGTTGCCAATCAGAATAATATGGCATTTTGGCTACAAAGCAAATGAAAATGTAATCATCATAATAACCTCATTGAATTCTTCCCTGAACACCTACTTTAATATCATGAAGCCTCCTTTTCTCAAACGTGACCATTTGTTCCTCTAAATGTTTACTTCCTATAGAGGCATTCTCCCTGGCTCGCTCAACATCAGACTGTGCCTGCAATCCAACATATCGTAATTAATGGAAAAATGGATGTAGTATAACTTTGCCAAATGAAGATAATTTCAAAGTCAATTTCTATATATTTCAGAACTTATTACAACGTTCTGATTATGAAAGTATTAATTGACATAATTATTTTTGGGAAGTTTATCTTGTTCAGTGGTTGATTTTTCTCATCTTCTTCTCTCCATTACTTACTCTGCTCTGGCTCAGAGTTAAGGAAAATGAACTCCTTCAACAAATCAAAACAACAAATGTTATGTAAATAACTAAGTTCTCATGATAATTGATAATACATGTACATTGTGTATACAAGGATACAATCTGGTGAGTATTTGCGGGATTTTTGGAGCGTAATTTCTGAAGCTCTGTTTTCTTCTTGTCCTCTCTTTTGACAGCATCTAGCTCCCTCTTCACACCAGCCTGTAAACAGATACATAAATTAGCACAGCCTGTAAACAGATACACAAATTAGCACAGCCTGTGAACAGATACACAAATTAGCACAGCCTGTAAACAGCCTAACATTATTAACACCAGCCTGTAAAGTTAACAGCCTAACATATTAACACCAGCCTGTAAAGTTAACAGCCTAACATATTAACACCAGCCTATAAACAGCCTAACATATTAATACCAGCCTGTAAACAGCCTAACATATTAACACCAGCCTGTAAACAGCCTAACATATTAACACCAGCCTATAAAGTTAACAGCCTAACATACTAACACCAGCATATGCATACAAGATATTAACACCAGTCTGTATCATTAAACAAACACACATATGAACTAAACAGTTGATACCTCATCTTTTTTAACATGTTTAATGAGGTGTAAATTGATAAAGCATTACTAACATACTACATTATCATCTATAGTTTGGAATTTCATTCTGTGTTCACATTCTAATATACTCATGTGACTAAATAGTCAAACAGTTATCAATGCTGTATATTTCTCAGCAGATCAAAGAGTTAGTACTGGTAAGGCCATCAATTTCACTGAGTTTAGAGCTTGCAGCATTTTCTGCGATAAATAGGTCAGGCTTACATCATTTCACATTTGTCAGCAAGTTCAGACTCTATGTGAGAATGTGCATTGTTTAGTGACATTCTTATATATTGTTTTACTTTTAAAAATTAGTTCCTATATAAATCTATACTAAAACAAGAGGCCCATGGGCCGCATCGCTCACCTGAGCACATTGGCTTGGCAAAAGCACAAATCAGTTCAGTATTGAAAAGATTACCTATCCCAGGGGTCATCATTTGAACAAACTTGAAACTACACTACCTGAGGATGCTTCCATATCAATATGACTAAACATAGCTTTTCTGTTCTTGAGAAGAAATATTTTTTCTATATGTTCTTATATAAAATTTTTGACCACCCATTGTGGCCCGACCCTATCCCCGGGGGTCATCATTTTAACAAACTTCAATCTACACTACCTGAGAATGCTTCCATATTAAAATGACTAATCATTGCTTTGCAGTTCTTCAGAAGAAGATATTTTCCTATATATTTCTATTTAATCCTCATTTCTGGCCCCACCCTACCCCCGGGGGGTTCATGATTTGAACAAAACTGAATCTACCCAACATGTGGATGCTTCCATATAAATATTTATATATAATAAATCATGGCTTTGCTGTTCTTGAGAAGAAGATTTTTAAAGATTTTTCCTAAAATTTCTATGTAAAACTTTGATCCTCCAATGTGGCCCCGCCCACCCCCCGGCGGTCATGATTTGAACAAACTTGAATCTACACTACCTGAGGATGCTTCCATATAAATATGACTCTTCATGGCTTTGCTGTTCTTGAGAAGAAGATTTTTAAAGATTTTTCCTATATATTTCTATGTAAAACTTTGATCCTCCATTGTGGCCCCGCCCTACCCCCGGGGGTCATGATTTGAACAAACTTGAATCTACACTACCTGAGGATGCTTCCACATGAATTTGACTCATCATGGCTTTGCTGTTCTTGAGAAGAAGATTTTTAAAGATTTTTCCTATATATTTCTATAAAACTTTGATCCTCCATTGTGGCCCCGCCCTACCCCCGGGGGTCATGATTTGAACAAACTTGAATCTACACTACCTGAGGATGCTTCCAAGTGAGTTTCATCTTTCCTGGCCCTATGGTTCTTGAGAAGAAGATTTTTAAATGATTCCATTATTTTTTCAGTAATTCCTAATTATCTCCCCTTGAAAGAGGGCGTGGGCCTTCATTTGAACAAACTTGAATCCCCTTTACCCAAGGATACTTTGTGGCAAGTTTGGTTGAAATTGGCCCAGTGGTTCTTGAGAAGAAGTCGAAAATGTGAAAAGTTTACAGACAGACGGACAGACAGACAGACAGACGGACAGACAGACGGACGCCGGACAAAATGTGATCAGAAAAGCTCACTTGAGCTTTCAGCTCAGGTGAGCTAAAAAGTCTTATAATTCATTTAATGCATAAATTTTATAAAAAAAAATTAATTGTTTTATGACCATTTTGAAGTTCTTGTCTCACTGTCATAACAAATTACACTTCAAATTCAAACTTTTAATGACTGTGAAAACAACGTTATATAAAGTTGTCTATGTTTTTTGTAATATTTATCTAAGATGTGCTATCTCCTTAATGATTCTATCATTATTGATCAATTTTAATTCAAAACAGTGAAAAATATAACCTTTGGTGATTGAAATTCCCAACTTTTTCACAGAATTATAAGAAAATCTGCCTGTCCGATACGTATTGGAAGTTATTTTTTCGATACGATACATATTTCTTAAATATCAATACATATCGATTAATCGATATATTGATACAGCCCTATCAGGCAAACAGTTTGGTTCTTGGGTCCGACAAAATACATTTTGCCCTTGAACCCAGTCAATAAATGTGTATTATTTGTTACTTACTTTGATTTGTTTACAGATGTTGCCATAGTCACTGATGGGTCTAACAACCTTTGACTCCAGTCTCTGTACTTGAGCATGCCTGTAGTCCTGTATCACAGATAAGTTCTCAGCACAAAATCGTAGACCTGCCTTCAGGGAGTGACTAACATTCTCTTCATCTGAATAGTCTTTACATATTTTGGCTAAAATGTCGCCTAAAGATACAAAAGCAAATTAGGAATATCTTACTCAGAAAAATTTTTATGGAAAAATAGCAATTCTTATATCATACACAAATTTTCATTGTGGGATAAAGCATGAAATTGTTAAAGCTCACAACCAAAAGGTTATACTTGAAGCTAAGCTAAAAAGGGGGGACATAGCAGTTAATACAAATATATGTACACTTACATGTATAGTAGCGTTACTTTTTTACATAAAAAAGAAAGGGTTGATATACTTTGACTTCTTTATCGCACTAGTAGACCCCCCTCTGAATCTCTGCATGTGTCCAAGGCCAGAAAAAATTAAATGTTAAATTCTCATCCCCACTCATCCCCCTGAAGGTGCCCCGCTTCATTGTTTTCATTTTGGATTCTATATAATTTGATCACGATCAAAGTTTTACAGTTATTCCCTGTTTGAATTTTAAAGTTGCATGATCATTTTTTAGCACAGGAACATGTGTATCGGCCAGAAAAGTAGTGCATATGTAGAAAAAAACGGCAATACATATGTATGTCTGTAAGGGAAAGCAGAAAAAAGCAAAATAAGTTATACTTGTATTCAGTTTTTGATACATCTAGGCACCATCAGTAAGTTTTTAAACAGATTTGAGTAAAGAACAAGGTACGGTTTCAATACAAATCTGGCCCTGTATTTCTCTAAAATTTAGAAGTGATGCAAGAAATTAAACTTCATCCTTTCTGAATTATTGAAATTCCATGCAGTAAAATTATACAAATTGTTTTTCCGATATGACCTCTTAAATGCTAATTGTGATGTCATGAACTTGTGCATTTTCCCGTATATTCTTTAAAGTTGCAGAAGACATCAATTTTCGGTGAAATTTTCTTTCAGAAAACATAGAGCGCATGCATCGCCCACACGATTTTGAGATATGTGATTTTTCAAAGCATTTTACATAATATATCTAAAAATTGAAGTGGGCGAGGGCTGCGAACACTATTTTCTAAAGGAAAGTAAGCACAGAAATGAGTCATGTTGAGGCTTTTCTGCATAAATTAAGAAATGTACCAAATTAATGACGTCATATTTCCAGAATGGTCCTCCTTCATGCCATATTCTTTAATGATTTATCAAATTCATCTACTAAACTCATGTTATAGCCAATTTAATAACTTTTTAAGAACATTAAATTTTTAGGGCACAATAAAGCCCAAACTGTACCTTCTTCTTAAAAGCATGCAAAAAACTTACAGTGAAATCAAAGGCAAAAAACATTACATCTTGTAGCGATCAAGCAGTTATTATAAAAGATTGTCAGCAAATTTATAGTGCCATAGCGAAAATATCATTATTTCAATTTCATTTTTAGTTTCAATGTTAAAATGTGAATTCTGACTAATACAAGTGTACAAACAATTAAGACCAATAACTCTGGACAGTCTTTGGAGCTACAGGAATGCCTATGTGAAATTATTGTGTCAGTAATTAGAATACTGAAATTGGTATTCTGTGGACAATTATCCCACAACATCCAAGGTCTGTAAAAACACACCATGACAATTATCCATATTTAAATGTTGCAATTACTCTGTCCAGTGATAGCTGTCTGACTATACCTTTGTCTCGAATCCTGGCCGTCTTTCTTGTGATTGACCCCATTACTTCACAAAGCGACCCCAGGTACTTCTCAGCATTGGCTACTCGAGCTTGACAAAACTTGGCTTGATTTTCACTGGAATCAGAAGCAGTTAAAATGTGGAAATTGAAATCAAATAATGATATCCTCTCTTCATTTATCTATCAACATGTCTTTTAAAAAAGTGGTGTAGAGGTAAATGAAACACAAAAGTTAATGTTTGTTATACTAAGCCTTCATTTGTGATAGAAAAAAAAGACTTATATAAGGCATCACAAATACAGTTATACTTTTGCCCATCAATGTAAACACATGCACAAATACGTAATTATAAATATTATACACAAGTGCAACAGAATTGAGTAACCTTCACCAATGGAAAGGTTGCATCTTTATGTTGGAGATTGTACATATAAAGCAGTGTTTAACAGACAAAGTGCAAATCCCTTCTCATCCAAAAAGACATTGATGTGAAAAAGAGGTGTAACATATATGGGTTTTAGAACTATCAATGTCTATATTATATTTACAATCACTTTTGACAAACACAACTCTTGGGTGCACAATAGACTAAAGAATTTTAGTTTAAGATATATGCAAGGCAAGTGCAGGCAAATCTTTAGTTTAAACTTGTTACAAAATTTTCATCAAGTTTAAAAGAAAGATTTTGCGGGAACAACATAAAGCAACTTACGCCTGCTGCCCTATGGTCATGTTCATCCTACTAAAAAAAGGAGGTGGAGAATAAGTAATGGTACATCACTGAGAAAACAGTCTCAGTTCCGATTCACAATATTTTAATGGTCTTACTTGTCTTCACGTTACTTTTGATTTTCAATTCAAATTATTTTTATAAAGTGACAGATGCATATCTAAAGATATATACATAATTATCTACATTGTATATAGGTCAAAAACATTTTTATTATCATGAATACAGAGACATAAATTTATATACTCAAATAATAATGGCTGAGATAATCATTTCACAAAGGATTAGTGGTGCTTGTTTGAACTATAAATTCATGGTGTGCAAATATTTGATATTTCTACCTTATTTTCTAAATAATTGCATCTCTCTCCCATCTCAAGCAATCATATGTCAAGATACATCTTTATGACATGCTCAAACAAGATTATTTTTGTAAAATCATATTCAGTGTAATTATGGTATATATCAACAATTAACCAAATTAAACAACCAGACCAATTTTCTTTCTTTCTCTCTCTCTCTCTCTCTCTCTCTCTCTCTCTCTCTCTCTCTCTCTCTCTCTCTCTCTCTCTCTCTCTCTCTCACTAATACCCATCACCAAAGTTAGAATTACATATATTAATATACAATTATATTTATTCACCTATAATGGTTATGAAACAACTAAAGCTACTTTCATTAGTATTGTTTTTTTGATCCAGTGAATATCAATCTATGACACACAATCTTTACTGCTAGATACTTTTAACAGAAACTTATTCTTTAAGTTAATTTACATGGTAGACATTCCACACATGTATTTCGAAAAGTTTTGAGATTCACCAGACTTCAAATGATACTAGATTCTCTGATTATATGTTACAGAATGTTACATTTAGAAATGACACTACAACATTGAGATTAAACTGAACTTGACTAAGTTACCTCTCTCCCAGTGATCTAGTGGTACTAGTGAAATCATCATCCTCACTTTGGAAAACAAACAGTAACAAGTTAAAGCAATATAGTGATTATATGGCACCAACAAAATACCAAGGGTAACACACACTCAAAAGCTGCAGGGACTTTAAAGATTCCATTAGTCACAGTCTGATACACTAAAACATAACCTTGTGTTGTTAAATTTCTTTTCCCCCCAAAAAGGGGCACACTCTTAATTTTCAAAGACTGTGTTTATTTAATGGAAAGCTTAAAAATCCCTTGAGTCTTAGTGCAAAAATGCAGAGTAAAATTGTGGGTACACATTCTTGTTTTGGTGGCAATTGAATTTGATATATGATTCATATTATAACAGAAAAAATCTTACGTAGAAAGAAATATGAAAGTGACAATGCCACTCCAATATTGTGTGTAAATATATACACAAAGTTCATGAAATATTCTTACTGGCTCATCTTTCACCTAGCCTACATTAGTAAAGAAATATAATAGATATAATAGATATATAAGTATGATGCTTGCTTTAATTTTGATTTGATTTATCAAACATGGTCATGTATAATGGACAAACAAATCTCGCAATGATGGAAAACAAATTTCTTGATGAAAAAATGCAGATCAATTCCACCTTAACAATTTCTTTATGACTTTATAAATGGAGGAAGGTTTGTCAACAAGTCCATGATTATTGTACTAGAGAGAGATTGATTTACTGTGTACACAAAAAAGTACTGATTTGTGTGTGTGTGTGGGGGGGGGGGGGTAGGGAGGGGGAGGAGACAGGTCACATTTATTCAAATATTTTTATTAAATGCATAAAACATATTGTTCTAGATTTCTGAAACACATACTATACTGTCCAAAAAAAAAAAAAATAAATAAAAATAAAAATAAAAAGTTCATCGTATACGTATAATGCATTCCAAACATAACCATAGCATTGTTTTAAAATCAGTTTAATTAAAAAAAAAAGATTGTGTGTTTACTACGCTAACAAATGTCATTATTATATATTGTAAAATAAAAGGTTTTACAAAAAAAGTACAAAACAGGACATAAAACATAGGTTTCACAAACTATTACATTGACCAATCAAGCGGAAACTGAAAACACAAGTCTGTGCAGACTCGTCGTCAACTGACCCGAATTTACCGCCAAGTGTTTACGATATAATTTCTTCGAACCATGTCTCTGTACCGCATACTTACTTTCCTGAAGTTTCATTCTGACGGCTGCTCATACTTCTGTCTGGTCTGAAAATTTCACGATGGAATGCATAAATGTTGCTACAGAAGCTTCTTCTTCACTCTCGTCGGTATGTGCTCATAGACGAAACGTACCTCACATAAAGAAGAGTTCCACCAACTAGTTATAGGAGTTACCTCCCGTACGCTGTTGATAAACATCACATATGAACCTTGAACAGTGCCTTTCAAACTTTAAAAATATATTTAGCTATTTATTCAATAGTTATTTACCTCATGATTTTGTTTGGGTGGAGTGATGTTTTTCTCCTTCCTGTGTTTTTTTTAAACAGTTGTTAAAATCATTGTAAAATTCTCCTACTCAGCAGTGGCGGATTCAGGGGGGTTTGGGGGGGTTCGGGACCCCCCCCCCCCGCCCGATCAAAAAAAATTTTTTTTACAAGTGTCATTTTAACAATATATTGCATACAGCCACCATGCGAAATCCCTTTCCGCTTGAGCGCACACAATATCCATACAGGTAATCAACAGTACTGTACAGAGATCATGATAGTTCCGTGCAGCTAGTGATGACACAACGTCATACACTAACAACCAAAACTGCATAGTTATTACGGTTTTGTTCTGGTATCGCTAAAGTAATATTGTTTTCGTCTTTCTTCGATAAATTGATTGTTACTTTATTGAACTACGTGAATAAACTGTGATTATTATTTAAGGGAGCCGACTGGGGTTTTATTGTGTGAAAACTACTATAGAGAAACTCTTTAATTTTATACCCTATATACCTTACATTGACTTCCGTATACATGCCAAGTTTAGTGAAAATCTACCGTCTGGTTATTTTTCAGGGACCGTCTCAAAATACGGGTACATTTACTATAGGATTATATAGGAAAATACCATTTTTTGGCACTTCGGAGCAAATTATACAAATACTACTGTAGACTATTTGCTCAAATTTTATTATTTGATGGATAATACTATATTGTACATTTTGTGCAAGAAACACAATATTCTACCGTCTGGTTTCCAGAGGGGGCATCTCAAAATGTCAAAATTCATGATATTTTCCTGTTTTTATGGAGTAAAACAAAACATGACAGATACCATAGATTTACATAAAAGTAATAGTAACAATGATTGCTATATTCTCAATTTCCTATGTTTAAAATTCCAAGAGCATACATTTTATACTTTTTATTTTATGGCATAATTAATGACCCCGCTTAAAGAACTTCGGTTATTCATAACGTCAAAAACACACTATAACGACGTCTTTCTACCCATCATTTGAAAAATCGTTAAAAAAATCAGTTAATTAAAAACGTAATAAGATTTTTTGACCTCATATTTCCTAAATTTGTTATTTTTCATAAATTATGTAAAACTAGTTGCTTTAAAAGAGTAAATACGCTTTATTTTACTATGCTGCGCGAAGTATTGCGCAATGAAAACCCCAGTCGGCACCCTTAATAGAAAAAAAAAATTAATACGAGACATTAGGGACGCATATTAGTTGTTTACGTTGTGACCTGTAACAAAAAGCACATTGAAAGTATTCCTTTTGTAGATGGAAGTTACAATGCAATTTTGAAAAGCAAAAGATCTGCATCTTTTTTAAAATTACAGTTGAATGATGTTGAATAAAACCCAACAAACGGTTACAACTTTGTACAGGCCCGTAGGAAGCAATTTCAGTTTGGGGGGGGGGGGGCACAGCCAAACATTTTTCAGTTGACAGTTGAGCACTACCAAAAATTTTCTGACAAGCAAAAAAAAAAAAAAAAAAAAAAGGTCGTCAACTACCAAATATTCCTTGACAAGCAAAAAAAAAAAAAAAAAAAAAAAAAAAAGGTCATCAGGCGGTTTTATTGAGGGGGCACATGATGTTTATAGTATCTATGTTTACTATAGTAATCTATATATCGGCAAAATTATTGGGGGGGACACGGCCCCCCCGTGCCCCCCCCCCCGGTTCCTACGGCCATGTTGTATAATGAATTGTGGTAAAACTGATATGTATAAAGTAGAGGTCCTGTCAAAACAAAAATTGGCCACTTTTTTATTGATTGTTTTTCAAGACTTTTTTTTCAAACATTGGGTAAAAAAAAAAGTAGAATTAAAGAGTGCATTTATGTTAGAAATTATAATTAACCCCCCCCCCCCCAATGAATAAGCAATAATTCCAATTATTCTTCAATATGAAATATCATTATTTGTTTATATTGCAAATTATATGAACAGTATAGTCAAGTAGTTGAAAAGAGTAATTAGGGTTTCTACACAGAATTCGAATTTTCTTAGTGTTGGAAAATTGCACATCATGCGGTTGTGTTTTGGTAGACAAAGCTTCTCATGCGACAGTGTGTTGGACGTGCATTTTAAAATGAAGAATTGGATTGTATGGCTATTAAGATTTTATGTATGGGAGAGGACTATCTAAGTACACTTGACTTAATATTTTCAATATTCCCAATTTAAATGTTTCTAGTTTTGATCCAGAAAGTCTCCACCCTCCAAAACAGGTGATTTTTTGATTAAGCAATCATTTATTCATAGTAAGCACCAGAATGGATGATACAGTACATCTGTGTCACACTTACTGTATTCGCCTGACAAAAACTTTTTGAGAATACAACATACTGTAGATTCCCAAATATAAGCAAGGAATTAATTATTGTGTAATTTCATGAGAAGCACCACTCACGAAATAAAATTACTCGCTTTTATTTTCATGGTGCTGAAATGCATGTAAAATCTCTAGATCAGATCTGAAGGCTTATTCACATAGAAACAAACAGGTTTCCCATTACACAGACTATAGATGCAAGCCTTGGCCATTTCAACTGTGAAGATTAATGACGATAAGGAAAAGACTTCTTCATTTATTTTCATTCATATATCCATTCATATTCAAAAAATATCTCACTTAATCAGTTACATTTTCAATAAAACAGAGCAAAAACTAGTTCACACTTGTGATAAATCAGAATGATATACACATAGGTATCTGCATTTTGTCTCTAAACAAATAATCCCTGTAAGGAATAAGATATCAAAATCAATTTAAATATGTTTTTAAAATAATAATTCTTAACATGATTGGTTAAATGAAAAACCTGAACACAGGAACTCCTTTATAGTCTAATGTTATAAAAATCTTTGAAAACTAATTTTTCCTTCTGTTTTCAGTTTACACAGGTGATGTTTCATTTCTACAATCATCAAATACTGTTTCTGGAATGTAGCATAAAATAAGCTTCAAATGAATACTACATGCAACCAGTGCACTACAACTAGAAATCAATGTAATATGAATATAAAAGAGGTAGAAGGCATTCTCCTCACAATAATACAAACAGGACCATAACTCATCATAACAGTTCAGGACCTAATGTTCTTTGAGAGTTGTGTTTTCTAGATACACTGTTCTACCACTTGCTGATAGGAAAAAAATGAATATTTTACAGTCATTTTCTGTTCCAGTTTATATAAATCTACAACATGACTGCTCAGTTCAGAATGGGAATCAGGAATCCTGCTGCTCTGGAAACATTGCTGGGATTGTGCATGCGATCCTAGATTTGGCACGGTCTACAAGTATTTCATTGTAACCTTGACCTGTTTCCAAGGCAATCTTGCGCTGTTTAACCTCAGTCATGACCTCTAACCCATGTTTGTTCACTAGATGTTTGTTTAAGTTCCCTTTTAACTTACAGCTGTGATCACAAAGGTGGCACTTGTATGGTTTGAAATTCTGAAAGAAGAAAAAGTACTGTAAATATTTTCCATATTAATCAAGGTTTGATGGATAGAAAGTTTAATTTGCATTAATTCATGAATTTAACAATTAAGTGTGCAAGCAAATCTTATGTCCTTAGTTTTTACTGGAAAATGTAAAAAAAAAAAAATACATGCACTGAATACAGTTTAATTCAACTTAATGTCATTAATAATTCCCATCAGTTAAGATCAATATAAGGCCACTTGTCTGGAAAATATATCACAGAGTGTCAGTATGCAACATACACTCATGTTAAAAAGCCCTCTATACACTGCACACTAGAGAGTTCTGATACTATGGTATTTTTATGCAGATAGAGTGATCTGCCCTTTGATCAAGAATAAAATAAATTAAATTGTACAGTTTATTACTTAATTTGTGATCAAATCAAGCATTCATAACACTTTAATAGGCCAAGATGAATAGATAGAAGACTTCATTTGCAGATATTTTGCCCACTTATGTAAACAACAGTGATTTATGTTCATCAGTACTTCATAGACTTTGAACATTTTTCCTGGGGGTAAATGCAAGGCAACCTATGTTGAAAATGTGATAGATAAGCTCAATGCTTACACCTTTACACACTATAATTTTCTCAATGTCCAAAAAAATATTTTCCTCTAATTTTTAGAGGGTCTTTAAAACAAACTTCTCTTCAAAATATAGCTTTTTTGAGTATCTAATCCAATAATTGTATTATGCATCATAAAATAGATTATGAGTTTGTTCAGTTTTAGGCTTTATATAGTTATTTATGCATATTTTTTGGTGTTTATGAAGGGATGACCAACCTGTGTATTTAATGTGTTGGTGTGTTTTCCTATGAACTGAAATGCTCTATACTTACTGTGTTGGTGTGTTTTCCTGTAATATGGTTTTTCAGGATATGTTTGAACTTCGTGAAAAAATTACAGCCTTCATAAGGACAGTTCACTGTCTCTGCCTCTGCAAACAAAACAAAGTCAATTCAATATAACTAGGTATAACAAGAAAACTGACATCAAACAGGGTCTCACACCATGCTTATACTGTATAAGCAGGAATTTTAGCTAGGATTTAATTTTGGCATTATAAGCGAGGGTTCTGAGGTCGATAAAATTGAATATCACTAACATTTTATGCTGTGTCATTTGTTATAGTTATCTCTCTTGACATTATAAAATCGCTAAAATTACTTCAAAAATATATACCGACTTTTTTGGGATAAATTGCTAAATTTGCGTCCCACCAAAAATTTCCATTTATACGGTATATATAATTATGTTCCAGTCCTTTGAGCAAGTTGCCTTAAATTTACAGATGCCTGTCTTTCTTTAATTGTATAGTAAATATGAAACACAATTTAGTTTTTGTGTCATATGAATTTGTTTTCATGAAAAAAATAATTTTGACCTTTGACAGAATGACCTCAATATCGACATGTATTTTCTCCAACCATCTGTTCATTTAAGTAGTGAATAGGTATCAATAGCTTTGACTCTTTTATAGTCATGACCTTTGTTGAAGAGACAAAACCAGTGCGTTTCTATTCATGAAGAAAAAAAATCCTAACATTGTAGTTTTCTAAAGTATCTTTTAATTGACACATGATTAGGAAAAACACATATAATGAAATAGGGAAATTATACATAATTTTTTCATTGAGACTGGTCTACAACAGCAAAACTCCCCATCAAGCTATAACATGACCTGAGTGTTGAGCAAACAGATAGACAAAATAATTGCTATAGAACACCAACATATGGGACCCTGAAGAAACTAAATTCAATCATCATTCTGAGTATATATACTCATTTTTGGGTTTAATACCTATGATCAAAGAAATACACTTTTGTAACAAAAACAATTCACTGTTTTTATCTTGTCCTTGTAGGTTTACATGTTTACTTACTGTGTAGGTTTACATGTTTACTTACTGTGTAGGTGTACATGTTTACTTACTGTGTAGGTGTACATGTTTACTTACTGTGTAGGGGTACATGTTTACTTACTGTATAGGTGTACATGTTTACTTACTGTGTAGGGGTACATGTTTACTGTGTAGATGTACATGTTTACTTACTGTGTAGGGGTACATGTTTACTTACTGTGTAGGTGTACATGTTTACTTACTGTGTAGGTGTACATGTTTACTGTGTAGGTGTACACGTTTACTTACTGTGTAGGTGTACATGTTTACCGTATATAATCACCTATAAGTCGGTCCGCCTATAAGTTGGTTGTATTTTTGAAGCTTATATTTCTTTTTATAACTCGCCCATAAGTCGGACATAGAGTTTTGGACCAAAATTTAACTCCCAAAAATCCGACATATAGGCGAGTATATACGGTACTTACTTTGTAGGGGTACATGTTTACTTACTGTGTAGGTGTATGTGTTTACTTACTGTGTAGGTGTATGAATTTACTTACTGTGTAGGTGTACATGTTTACTGTGTAGGTGTACATGTTTACTTACTGTGTAGGTGTACATGTTTACTTACTGTGTAGGTGTACATGTTTACTTACTGTGTAGGTGTACATGTTTACTTACTGTGTAGGTGTACATGTTTACTTACTGTGTAGGTGTACATGTTTACTTACTGTGTAGGTGTACATGTTTACTTACTGTGTAGGTTTACATGTTTACTTACTGTGTAGGTGTATGTTTACTTACTGTGTAGGTGTACATGTTTACTTACTGTGTAGATGTGCATGTTCACTTACGGTGTAGGGGTACATGTTTACTTACGGTGTAGGTGTACTGTGTAGGTGTACATGTTTACTTACTGTGTAGGTGTACATGTTTACTTATGGTGTAGGGGTACGTTTACTTACTGTGTAGGTTTACATGTTTACTTACTGTGTAGGTTTACATGTTTACTTACTGTGTAGGTGTACATGTTTACTTACTGTGCAGGTGTACATGTTTACTGACTGTGTAGGTGTACTGTGTAGGTGTACATGTTTACTTACCGTGTAGGTGTACATGTTTTCTTACTGTGTAGGTGTACATGTTTACTTACTGTGTAGGTGTACTGTGTAGGTGTACATGTTTACTTACTGTGTAGGTTTACACGTTTACTTACTGTGTAGGTGTACATGTTTACTTACTGTGTGGGTGTACGTTGACTTACTGTGTGGGTGTACGTTTACTTACTGTGTAGGTGTACATGTTAACTTACTGTGTAGGTGTACATGTTTACTTACTGTGTAGGAATACATGTTTACTTACTGTGTAGATGTACTGTGTAGGTGTACGTTTACTTACTGTGTAGGTGTACCGGTACATGTTTTCTTACTGTGTAGGTGTACATGTTTACTTACTGTGTAGGTGTACATGTTTACTTACTGTGTAGGTGTACATGTTTACTTACTGTGTAGGTGTACGTTTACTTACTGTGTAGGTGTACATGTTTACTTACTGTGTGGTGTACGTTTACTTACTGTGTAGGTGTACATGTATATGTTTACTTACTGTGTAGGTGTACATGTTTACTTACTGTGTAGGTGGACATGTTTACTTACTGTGTAGGTGGACATGTTTACTTACTGTGAAGGAATACATGTTTACTTACTGTGTCTTTTTTCATGACTTTTCAAGTTATACATAGAAGGGAACGTTTTATCACACTCTGAACACTTGAATGCATTCTCTCCTCCTGTAAAATATTTAGGGATGTCAAAATATTTATTTTCCTTAGTCAAACATTCGATTCCATTATTTGAACGATAGTCGACTATTCGGAACATCAAAATGTTTATATTACAAACAGATATTCAGACTCACAAGATTTTGAAATGAAATAGATATACATCGGCAATTCTCCAAAATGTATGATCATGATGATTTCCCGTAAATCACATTCATAAAATGATCTGTACAGTCAGATTTTATTCTCGTAAGCTTAGAGAATTGTCAATATGGTATTTTTAAACCTTATTAAATTAACTGGGGAAGGGGGAGGAGTAAACACACACTTTCAGGTGATATTGTTAAATTAATGATTGTCCCGCCTATCAAAATGTCTTTACAGTGTAAAATTAATGTTTTAATAATTATTGAAGTTTCAAAACTTCACGGCTATGGTGTGTTCCTAGTGTTTAAACATTCTTAGAAGTAATAACATATAATTTACTTATATAATTTACTCATAATTGGTACAATGGTTTGAGATTAAGTCCAATTAATAGTTTTACAAACAAAGTTGCATAATTCATTACAAAAACTAAAAGGTCAGTCATTGAGAAATAATTATCACTGTGAACATTTGTAATTACTGTACTATCAATATGTACAGCTGTACATTGAAAGTCAACAGATTTTGTTGTGGAAAATTATTTATCAACTGCATACATGTGATAAGTCAAAGACCACAAAACTGTACAGGAGCCATAAAAAAACTGGAATTTGGGTGAAAAAACTGTACACTGCCTATCAAAAAATGGTACAAAAAATGGTATAAAATATCGCTCAAATTCTTCTGAAATTCCATCGTAATCATTGTAATAAACATCGTATATTTTATACCTACGAAGATCTGGGTCAGATTCACGTATATTAAGTCATGTATATCAACTTTAGAAGTTGGCTTAATTTTTTTCAATCAAGTTACGTATACGAAACATTAACAGTAATTAAGTACCCCTTAAAAAATAAAGCTACCTAAAGGGTATTTGATACGAATTTATAGCAAGATAATTATCCCAATTGGCAGTTCACACCTTCGCACGCGATGGTTTGTGTACACTACACAATTATCAGAAGGTCAAGTGTCAACACAGGTGACGTTTTCCAGTGTCTCGCGAGAGAGAATGAGAGGAAAATGGCGTCATTTAGCGAGAAATTCAAAATACTGTACAAATTTTCATATTCCGTGAATTTTGGTGTCCCGCCGGTACACGATGAATGGGCTCGAAAATCTGTACATTTTGCGTACAGCCGGTACATATCACATGTATGCAACTGTGATTGCGTTTGAGCTCTTAATCGTCTGAGGATGTATATCATACGGTTTGAGGAGGGACGCTTTTTCAATTTTAAGACGAGAATTCCTTCTCTTTATCGCCCCCTTTTCTTGCATTTCTTTGATATTCGAATGTCGTTTCATTATTTGATCGTCAGTCCATCTGACTGATAGTCGAATAGTCGACTATTCGTTGACATCCCTAAAAATATTCAAAATAGCACAATAAATTTTAAATTTCACACTTTTGCAAAACATTTTTTTACATTTATAATTTTCTTTTCAAATAAGTTAATAGCTTTATTGTAGATTAAGGTTTCATACAGTATAATAATATTACCATCATGCATAGCTACATGTCTGTTGAATTGGGTCCGGTTCAGGGAGTAGTAATCACACTTTTCACATTGATACCTGGAAATCAATACAAATATATTACTTATATACCGGTCTGACCAGTTAACATCTCTTTTTTCTGTTTATATAAATCAAGAGGCTCATGGGCATTTACTTTCACTTAGGTACCCTGAATAACTTTACATATAAGTCACATTTACATCATCATGTTGCTATGTTATGAACTTAGTGCTCAATCAAAAATACCATTCTCTTCTAACAGTGTCTTTAACTTGAAAAAACTGAGCTTGAGTAATGCTACCCTACCCCTCCCTGTCAAGATAAAGTAAGTTTATGTATAAACTATAGTTTCCTTTGACAGTGAGAGATTCTGATTGTGGAGTTTAGATTTTCACATTCTGAGGACATTAGGTTTATACATACACTTTAGTTTTCCTTAGTGCCAGAACATTAGGTTTCCCTTGGTACCAGAACATTATGGAGTTTCAGTAGGTTTATATGTACACTTTGGTTTCTTTAGTACTGGAACATGAGGGAACTTTGTAGGTTTATACATACACTTTGGTTTTCCTTGGTACTAGAACATTACGAGGTTTCAGTAAGTTTATACTTACATCTTGGTTTTCCTTGGTACCAGAACATTACAGAATTTCAGTAGGTTTAATTTATACATAAACTTTGGTTTACCTCGCTACCGGTTTTCCTTGGTACTGGGACATTATGGAGTTGTATTATGTTTATACGTACACTTTGGTTTTCCTTGGTACTGGGACATTATGGAGCTTCAACAAGTGGTTGTTTAACTCCTGCTTTCCTACGCTGCTGTATGGACACAGATGACAAAGAAGTCTTTTCTGGGTCCCTGTGTGGTACTCCATGTGTTTCTAAATTATTAATGAATCATTAGTGAATTACAGAAAAAAAATCACTTTTTAGAATTGTTTAATCATAAGTTATTATTATTGAATGTTATAATTCCCATTTTTTAATTAAATGTACGACATAAAAAGAGTGTATGAATCATGAGGTACATTTGCAGCATGTATTACCCTTAAGTACATAGGCTGGTCTGGATTCTTTCTTATTTACCTTCAGTGTGAATTAGGATTTGTCTAAAATGCGACATATACAGTAAAACACGGTTACAATAAAAGTGCATATAATGAACTCACACTTAAATCAAAGTGATTTTATTCCCTGAACTTAATGGATATAATGAATTATTTTTATAACAATCAAAATTACCCATCCCTGGCACTTCATTATAAGCTGGTTTAACTGTATAAGTGGACCTGTTCAATGTGTTGTCATTCCCGGCACTTCATCATAAGCATGTTTTACTGTAAAAGTGCCCAGGGGCCCATGTCACCTAACTTCAATGTTTGTACCATGAAGAAGTTTTGCCACACGTAACATATAAAAGATGGGCCCGGATTCAATGCTATATATACCATTAATAACTGAACTTTGAAGTGTGTTTTTTTTACATAAATAGGTGGGACTGGATACTTTGATACATTTTTACCTTCATTGTCTGAGCTGTAATTTGTTAAATATACAAGAGGCCAATGGGCCACAACGCTCACCTGAGTAACTTTGGCCCTGCTGTTCTTCACAAGAGTTCCCCCTTGTAATACCTACTGTGGCTCCACCCTACCCCAGGGGGGTTTAGGCTTTTCTGGCCCAGTGGTTCTTGAGAAGAAAATTTTTTAAAATTTTCCCTATATATTTCAATGTCAAACTTGAATTCCCCCTTGTGGCCCCGCCCTACCCCCGGGGGTCATCATTTGAACAATTTGAAATCTATACTTCTTTAGGATGCTTCCACATAAGTTTCAGCTTTTCTGGCCCAGAGGTTCTTGAGAGGAAGACTTTTTAATGACCCCACGCTATATTTGTCTGTTCTTGATTATCTCCCCTTTTAGTGGGGTTTGGTCCTTCATGTTAAAAATTTAAAGTCCCCTTCACCAAAGTATGCTTAGTACCAGCTTTGGTTAAAACTGGCCCAGTGGTTCTTGAAAAGAAGTTGAAAATGTGAAAAGTTTACAGAGGAATGGACAGACAGACAGCTAGATGGACGGACGACGGATAACGAATGATCAGAAAAGCTCACTTGAGCTTTCAGCTCAGGTGAGCTAATAAGTACACCAGCTGACCTTAATTCTGTGTTATTTACCTTCAATGCCTGAGCTGTGAAGTAGGTTTTCCCACAGGTGTTACATATAAATTTAGGCCTGACCCCTGAGTGGTTGGACTGGATGTGGTACCTCAGGACACTCTTACTTTTGAAGGCTCGGCCACACGTCTCACAGATACAGGCCAAGCCTGAGTGCACAGTGGTCTTATGCTCCGACAGTTTGTAGGGAACGATAGTTTGAAACTCACAATCCTATAAATGTTAGTTTACATTTTTGATATAACACTATAATTTAATTTTGCACATTAATCACACTAACACAATGACTTTATTCTTTAATATGCATTCAAATTTTGAATGTGCTATTTTTATTATGAAGTACACTTTATACCTGTTCCTCACACTTGTAAATAGGATACTTGGTTTTGTCATATGCAACTCCATGCTTCTTAAATTTGTGTTCCACAAGAGTGACATGATTGTTGGGTTTAGCATTACATATATCACATACAAATCTCTCTTTTTTATAGTTGGATGGATGGATTTCCCGTCGGTGCTCTGCAAGTGACTCCACGTCTTTGAACACCATCTTGCATTTCCTACAGTTGACCCTCTTCTCCACTTGGCCCACACTGAGGAACTCTTGGTCCCTTTCTATGGCCTCAGTAATGGAGCCATCAGGGTCAAACTGTTTGGTGATTTTTTCACCATAAATAGGTTTTGAATGATATACTTTCAGTTCATTTAAATCCATAAACATACAAAGTTGAGATGATGTTGCTGCATCATCAACATCAGTGGAAGTCTTTTCTTCTCTTTTGAGCTCAGTACTAGACTCGGGCAATGAATTTTCAGCAATCTCATCTTGTTCTGGACTCGAGTTGAATCTAACTTCCACTGATTCCTGTGAGCTGATATTTTCTTCAGAAGCCTCTACAGAGTGGGGCTCTATTGTGATTATTGATTCTGTGGGGTGACTCTCTTTATCGCACACATTCCGAGTGGGAGCTACCATCTTGTTTGTCTTTGCTTTCTTTACAGCAGGAGATTTTGGCTTCTTCTGAGTCCTCTCCTGGTCATTGCTTTCACTTTCAGTGGCAGAATATTTCCGTTTCAAACTTGTTTCATCAGAAAATCTACCTCTGTCAATCTCACAGCTAAGTACTTTAACACCTTGCCCTTCATGATTTGTGATGTCGGTATCAATAATATTGCTGTCAACTTTGTTTTCAGCTTCTTTATCTTTTGCTGGAACATCAATTAACCCTAACATCACATGATTAGCAACACCAACCTCAGTCATAAACACAAGGCATTTTTCTAGAGCTTCGTTCAGCTTCAATTCAGCACAGATTGCTGCTACTCTATCAACATTAAACTTGCTGACAGTCATTTTACCCGTGTATAGCAAGCTCACAACCTTCCTCACATCCTCGATGTCATAATTAAGATGGAAGTTTGGGTCCATAGAGTCAAAAGAATGTCTTGTAGTTTCAGCATCATAAAAATATTTACTTGCGGCCACAAGTACAACTCTGTGAGCTGGGATAAAGCCATTGGCAGTAATTATCATTACATCACACAGGTATCTTTTCTGTTGAAACAGAAACAAAGTTTCTGATAGCTTTGATGTCAGATAAGGAAGTATTATATGTTCACTTTCAACCATTTTCACATCTGCAAAAAATAACAAGATGATTTTTTTAATATGTTGAAATGATGAATCCTGATGATAAGAAGGGTGCTGGAGATGTCAGGCCAAACAAAAAAATATGTGTGGTTCCGGTTACACTTCCAAAAAAATTAGGGTAGGTAGGTAGGGAATTTTTTTTTTTTTTTTTAACAAAATGATTTTCTTAATTTTTTCTAATTAATACCTATCACTGCTTTGCAAATGGCATTTAGATGAGGTGTCATAATATACTAGTCAATATTGGTAGGGGACACCTACATGCTAGCTTGCTTTGGATTTAACACTATTAAACACTTGCAGTATGTTTTGCAAGGAGGCCGTCATTGCTGAAACTAAAACTTAAATTGGAGCCATTGATGGAAATCGGGGAAAATTCCGGAAAAAATATGAAAATTGCCAAAAAAAAAAGTTTAGGGTCGGGGGTGTTAAATAGGGAAGGTCGGGTAACCGGAACCACACATATTTTTTTATTTGGCCTGAACAACATGTCAGACATCTTGTTCATGGAAGGAAAAAATAGGAGTCAATCCTACAGAATATTTATCTAAGTAGTTTTGCCCTGATTCCCTGTTTGCCCTGAGTGGATTCGCCCCCGTTCCCTATTCACCCTGAGAGGGTTTGCCCCCAAGTGGTTAATGTATGGTCAAGCTAGAAAGCGATTGTCAGACTGTCATTTGATCAGTGCAGTTGTTAGATGTATGAATGATGAGCAGAAAATATAAACTTGATAATGAGATGTTGGTCATTCACGATTTATTGCCCATCATTCTATCAAAAAACCATTGTGGTAGCTGCATCAAATGTGGAAACTCAAACAATTCTATTTTAATCAAAACTTCTTAATACATTTATGTCATTATATTTAATGATTGATATTTCCATTAGCTGTGCTTTTTACTAAGCTGACTATGAAATTGATTTGAACGCCCATTTTTTGTGTTTAGTCATGTGTAGAAATATACATTCAAGGAGAAATATGTTATGACCTCACAATGTTTCGATGGAAATGTAAAAAAAAATGTTAAAAATATATAACGATATAGGACAGCAAAAAATTCATATATTAAGTGTATTTTTGTTTGTTTTAAAGCTTTCAAATGTAAATATAAAGGATATTTTTCAGTTTTTGAGTGTTATTAGTTTATAAATCACACATACTTGTACATAAGCATTTTTCATGAAATGCCATATTATACTGTAAGCGTTTTTGAGGTGAAAAAATCACTCTAATCCTAATCTGGTCTTCAACTGTATATATTACTTGCAGTAAAAATGGGGTGTAGTAATTTAGGCTAGACTGAGGATATTGGCCTGGCCAGCTCAGTGGTTAGAGCACCTGACTAGTACTGAAGGGGTTGTGGGTTCGATTCCGTCCAGCCATACATATTTCTTAGAGCAATGGAAGTGAAGCTGGCATTTTCATTCATGTTGAGAAGATGCACTCTAACCAATTCAAAAAATATAACAGCAAAAAAGTTGGAGATGCTTGTGCAATATAGCTTATCTAATCAGACAAATTCATTCCATAATTAGTCTCATTCTCACCTCTCACTCAATTCCCTTTTATGCATCTTTCTGCCTCAAATTCATACCTGCTCCAAACTTGAATAACGAAAAAAAGTTAGAACTGTGTTATTTATTTTGTTACGTAACTTTAATTTGCAGAGCTGTGGAAAGTTTTTTCTTTGAAAGACTGCCATTCAGACAGACATGTCAACAAACTTTCCCTGTCCAAATGAAATTAAGCCTGTCCGAATGTTAACAATTAAAATATTTATTTAAAAAACTTAAATAAAACACAAAATGTAACTTTTAGAAGTGTATAAAAGTGACATGAATGCATGGGCTTGAGGTAGTAATACATGTTATAACAGGTTTTTGGAGGATAGCTAAATTCAATATGGCGGCCAAAATTTTTACCATATATGGAAACCGCGTTGCATTGTGGGATAGTTTATCCTCCGATTTAAGAGGATAACACAGGTAATTTTCAAACACCTCGTGCCTACCTTTAATCAAAAAGTGCAAGCACCAGAGTACATGCAAATAAAAGTTCAAACATTAAACTATCGATTGTATGTGGCGATTTGAAATTCTATGTCTAGATATTTTGCAATTTATTTTCAAAGTTAGCACTTTTTACGCTCCATTATTACTGAAGTTTTCTTGTTATTTTGTTTTATTTTTTATGATCTTTCCCTATTTCGACAAATAAAAAAGGACTTTAATATTTCTTTTATATTTTCTTTTAATTAAAAAAAAAGGAAACGCATTTTAAGCGTATTTAAAACGCCAAATATACTCTGCCTTATAATTTAAGCAAATAAAAGTACAAATGGATTGAATGAATAATTATAAAAAATAAATAAATAATTTGAATAGCAAAAGTAAATAAAATAAATAATTTGACATGTTTACTAAGAAATTAACATATATTCATACAGCCATGTGTATACATAAACAAATAAAATATTACAAAGTGATGTGCTTAAGAATTATTAAATGAAAGAAATAATAAATTATTGAACTTAATTTTTCAAAAAAAAATTGTTTATCAAAATTTCTTAACTGCTTATCATATAATTACGGTACTGGAAAATCAGTGTGGTTATAATTAACCTCAGTCACTGGCAGGTAAGTGCAATATTTGTTTTCCAAGCTGTATACCGAATAACTGATTGACGGAAATTAAAAAATAAAAGTTATATTGATTTAATATCTTGAATTATCCATCAACAAATGAAACTGTACCTTTTGTTTATTCTGATTTCGAAATCAGCGTACGGTTCATAAATGCAAGAGTTGCTGTTATTTGTTTGGCTAAGAGTTAACTGCCCTTAGTTTTGAAAATTCCGGTAGGTGGCAAGACCGCTACCCTCTGTTTTCAGAGGATAAAATCTATCCTCCAAAAACAGAGGCCGCCTAGACCTGTTATAAAGTATTATCACTACCTTAAACTATCTTTCTTCTTGATATGTGTTTGTTCACAAGTTGTCTTCATATTCTTTGGGAGGAACAATATTTAAAAAAAAAGAATGAAAACAGAAAAAAATATTAGTTCTGTAGGAACTTAATAATCAGCTCTATACACATTTCTTCCTGGCAGTGGCACTAGGTCCTTGTTCGTAAAGTTTTCAATAACTCTGATGCTACTAACCTTACACATCCATCTCAACGTGCATAAGCACTCAATCATGTTGAAAAAAGAAAATGAGTAAGATTTGCTTTCAAACTAATTAGATAACTGACAATTTATCTTTTTTTTTCTTCTATTTTTTTACCTGGTAAAAGGTAGTAAAGCGTCTTTGTGACTTTGGTGTGAAATGTAAATGCATATTTATTAGTGGAAAATATTTTCCCGAAATAATTTTTGTTTCTCTTTCGCGACAAAATGTTATTAGGTGAAGTACATTACATATAGACAATGTATCAAAACTATAGAAGAAACTAGAATAAAATATTGGCATACATTTAAAATCAATTTTACACAGTTTACATTGTACAAAATGCCGTGTCGTAATTTCAGATTAGGGGTTACGGGGGGGGGGGGGGTATTATTTACAGGGTATAAGCACAGCACAAAAACAAATAAATCAGCCAACCATAATTCTGCTCTCTTTCTCAAAAGTAAAAATACTGTTTCTAGACCCCCTATTTCATAGCAGGAGTGGGGAGTACTTTCCATGGACACTCACAAGCCTCTTTCCTTCATTTAATGACACTTCTTTCTTACTACGAAATCCTCGTTACCCAGGGGAAATTATTTTATTTGGAAGTTTTGCTCTATAAATTAATTTCCATAACTCTTTATATCGTTGGGACCCGTCCTACTCCTTGGTAACAACATATTACACCTCAAAACACATTCACTTGCTGGTTTACATGTCATCTTTCACTACAAAGGAATCAAGAGTCACTAGAAAGGAAAACAAATATTGGATTATAAGTCATAGAGACATTACTTTTTTTACTCCCGTAATCGAAGATTCGGGGGCAAATATTTTTTGCCATGTCCTTCCGTCCGTCTGTCTGTCTAGTTGTCTGTTTGTCCGCAAAAACTTTAACCTTGCCCATAACTTTTGACTGGTTGGAGCTATGGTTTTCATATTCACATGTGTATTTCTTGTGACAAGACCTTTCTTTAGATACCAACAACTTTGACCTTTTGACCTTGACCTTAGAGTTTGAACCACTTTTGCAAAATTTTATGAGACTTTAACCTTGGCCATAACTTTTGAACAGTTGGAGCTTGGGCTTCCAAACTTCACATTTGTATTCCTTGTGACAAGACCTTCCTTTGGATTCCAACAACTTTGACCCTTGGCCTTGACCTTGGATTTTGACCTACTTTTGAAAAAAAACCTTTAACCTTGGCCATACCTTTTGAACAGTTGGTGCTAGGGCTTTCATACTTCACATGTGTATATCTTGTGACAAGACCTATCTTCAGATACCAACAACTTTGACCTTTTGATCTTGACCTTGGAGTTTGACCTACTTTTGAAAAACTTTAACCATGACCATAACTTTTAAAGAGTTGGTACTAGGGCTTTCATACTTCACATATGCATTCCTTGAGACAATACTTTCATTCAGATATCAACAACTTTGACCTTTTGACTTGACCTTGGAGTTTGGACTACTTTTGAAAACTTTAACCTTGGCCATAATTTTTGAACAGTTGGTGCTAGGGCTTTCATACTTCACATGTATATTTCTTGTGAAAAGACCTATCTTTGGATATGAACAATTCTGGCATTGACCTTGGAGTTTGACCTACTTTTTAAAAAAAAAATTAACATTGGCCATAACATTTAAACGTTTGGTTCTAGGGTTCTCGCATTTCACGAACATGTGTATCACTTGTGACAAGACCTTCCCTTGGGCACCATTTGACCTTGACCTTGACGTTTTACTTACTCTTAAAAAAACTTTAACTTTCGCCCATAACTTTTCAACGGTTAGTACTAGGGCTTTAATTCATATT